TATGAGCAATGAAAAGCTCTCCAATAAAAGTAATCAGCTGGACAATCATGAAATTATTCGTGAGGATAGAGATGTCAGTGAAGAGCTGGTTGACGGTTCTTCGGGAAGAAGGCCGACGATGATATTGAGACGAGACATAATTAGGCAGATATGATGTTCGAAATGGTATGACGACTTATGCTAAATCATATTGATCAGCTACCACAATGATTGAAGATGGATCATGAGCTGCTCTGCTGGTGGCGATCATCACAGTCGAGCTGGTGGGTGGCGGTGCCTCAGGCAGGATGACAAGTCCTCGAGAAGGAATGGATGGCGATGGTGCTCTTTAAGGGTGACAGTGAACAGCCACAATAGTAATCAGACCTGTGTGTGGTGGCCAGCAAATTATACGCCCAAGGCGTGCACTGTTGGGGCGTAGGGGTTATAGTCCCAATTGCGATTCGAAATAGTCACCCATCGACTGGGCAGCTCAACGGTCATTCACGTGGACTTCCATTTCAACAAAATCAACCTGACCAGCCCTGGGTTCGAATCACGCCGCAATACACGAATTTTAGAAATTTCTCGACGACGGGAGCTGGGGCTAACTCCCAACCAACCCCTCGCTACGAACCATCGGACGAAATCTCGACGACGGGAGCTGGGGCAAACTCCCAACCAACCCCGCTATAACAACGAATTGATGGAGAGAAATTTGGGGACTCGACGACGGGAGCTGGGGGCAAACTTCCAAACAACCCACCAAATGATGGAATAGAAACTGGGTACTCGACGACGGAAGATGGGGCAAACTTCCAAACAACCCCCACCGATGTACTAACAACAACAACAGAGAGAGACGTAGGTCGTGAGCTCGTGTCTCACGACCGAACTCTTTTGCTTCTCTTCTTTTCTTGTGATTCATCTCTAAATGTTCAATATTCTGTTGAAACACACCTTGAATTTGTCAACTTCATATCAAACTCTTTGGGGGCCACATATTAGCAAGCGGTGCCAAGTGCTAGGTTCGATACACTTTAAAATACTCAGTGCTGCTGGTCGAGTCCAATATGCTTTGAGCACCCAAGACAGCTTCAAGCGCATCATCGACTGTGTTATATCCCCTTCCTTACTACAGATGACTGCTTCATGCTAACTCAACTACGGCCAATCGATTGACTAAACAAGCCTCTTCGATAACGAGCTCGAAAATTAGCTGCCATTTTAATGTCTAGGGGGAGATTTTCTGTGGCGACCATCTTTCTGTCATCGATTCAATCTCCTTGTTAGCATCATTGGCAATGATGAACGAAGTGGCGTGGACCAATCATGGACTCCTGAACCCAGGTAGCATCCTTTTCCCCAACATGAAGATCAAAGCATGACATGAGACCCATGAGAGAATGAAGTACAAGATGGTTACCTTCCCAAATTCCCGCTCGGGCGCATAGTAAAGTGCTGGCTCTAGACTGCAGCATTCTGCAATCAATCACCTCCGCGTCTGCCGAGGATTGCCATTGGGAGACGCTAATTCTGACAGGACTCGCCTTTTTTGAGAGCGTGATTCGAACGCATGAAATCCAACAAAAAACCATCTCTGTGGACTCACACTAGAAAGACACATATGATAATCACCTCAGAGAACATCTAGAACATGCCTTACGGCAAGAGGAAGAGGCATGGTAGGAACGGGGGTCAGTTGACAAGGTGGGCAAAGCAGACAGGGCAGATACAATCATGTGAAATTGTTCATCATATATGGGCCAGTTACCGGTAAGCCCTTCATTCAAAAAGACCCAAGTGAGTGGCATCAAATCAAGGCATGCGGTCACCTTCATCTTCATACAGTCGAGAAACGACGTCAAGGTTTGGCTTGCAGGGCTGTTGCTCATCCGTAGAAGCCTTAGTAAGCAACACTTGCCCCACAAATTAGGATCTAGGCTTACCCTATTTATGGACCCCCCGAAGCTTGGGCCATCTGTTTTTGTTTACATTTCCCGCTGCGCAACCGCCTCCAGATCGCGCTTTCATTCTTCCCACTATCAACATCAACGTCATACCACTCGCTCCAGGCCTCAGCCGCCCACATCATTCCTGCAAAAGTCAACAATCGCTTTGAGTGCTTAATTTCCCCTTGAAAATCACTTACTCTCAAATCATCAAATACACCCAAACTACCAGCCGTCATGGCTCGTCGTCGATCTGCTCGACTGGCCGGGGGTGCCAAGGTAAGTAAACAAAAGCCCCTTTGAGAGTTTGACGCCGTGGCCACGTCGCTCACGGCCATCGCAACGCGTGACAGACGTCTAAGAAGACTCCCGCTGTTGGACTCGAGCCTGTTGCCGAGCGAGAGAACAACGCAGTCGACAATACCGTCCAGAATCCCGACCCTCCCATCGTCTCCTTCCCAAACCAGCCTCCTCATACTCCCCGGACCGCCACCCTGATCAAACCGCCCATGTCCGAGATGCACCCCTCCAAAGCCCACACTGGCACAATGGCAGCTCCTTCTTCTGCTCTGCGCCTCGGCTTCACCGACATCAAGCCTAAGGACCCCTCAGCGCCAGGCATTGGTCCCCACCAGTCTACCCCTTCCAAGTCAAACATGCCATCATCCCCCTTCAGCTTTCAGTTCAACCGCGACAATATCAGGACTGCCGACTCAACTCTCGGCCCCGAGGCCCAGCGCATGATGAATGATATACGCGTGGAGGCAGCCAAGATCAAGGCTGAGCTCGCTGCCAAGCGTGATCAGGAGCGTCTGGAGGATGAGCAGGCTAACACACGCAAGATTGCCCAGCCAAAGGGTAAAGCTGGTCGATACTCCGAGATTCACATGGCCGAGTTCAAGAAGATGGATTCTATTGCAAATCACCCTTCTGCATTCCGTGCCACGCCAGGTCGCGCTACCCTGGCCGCTACCAATAGCAAGGGCATCAAGCGCTCCCAATCCAAAGCCAACCTGGACGACGAGGAGGCCCCCCAGATCAGAACTCCAGCCAAGACCTCCTCGTCCAAATCGTCCAAGAAGGTTCATACTCCAGGCAAGGACACAGACTCGCCCGCCAAGAGAGCGAAACAGCACCTCGAAGACGATGCTTCCACCAACCGCCCTGTGTCTCGAGATGGCAGTAACATCCCTCGACCAAAGACGCCCGGCAAGGACTCTCGGGGTATTCCTCGTCCTAAGACGCTCGCGCACTTGATGTCACCCACCCAGTCGTCCCTCGCCCGTACCGCCCCCGCAAAATCTACGGCTCTGCGATCTGCACTCAGAACACCTTCCAAGGTCTCTTTTAGTCCTATCAAGAAGTCTGTTACCATCGCCGACATGAATCCTGGCGATGCGACGAACGTTCAAACGGAGGATGCCCCAGCCAAAGTGCGAAGCGCAAGTCTGTCTGCTAAAGTCAGGTCCTTCTTGACTAAGCACAGGTCTCCGGTCACCTCGAAACGCGGTATTCTCAAGTCGACCGTGGGGGCTTCTCTAACGCCTGCTCCTGTTCGTGCGCAGAACGAGCTTCCCGCTGCCCCCTTCACGACTCCAGGGAAGAGGATGACGCAGCGTGGTGATTTTACTCCTGCACCCAAGCACGCAGCCTTGGCGCAGAACTCACCGTCCCCGGTCAAGACTGGCATTCCCCGGTCCAAGGTAAGCGCCGATGTGGTCAACTATCCATCTCTGGACACGGTCATGGAGGGCACTGCAGGTGATGCTGTCTCATACCCTAACCTGTCTGGGATTCGTCCTCTGTCGGAATCGGCCACCCCGACAGAGCCTACTTCGATGGTTGTTGAGGCCTCGTCCGGCAGCTCAGTGCAGGCTCCTGTCGCTGTGCCTGGTACCTTCTCATTTCGCAGTGATCATACTATCAGCTTCGATGGCGAGTCACCTAAGGGGTTCGGAGCCAAGTATGGGCAGGCCAGTGTTCGTCATGTCCGCTCCTCCATCATGCCTCCTATGCCTGGTGCTTTCCCCACAGCTGACATTGCCAAGACGAGTGGCTCCTACGGCAAGGAGAATGTGCCGCCCTACATGCAGCGGTCTTTCGACCCGAAGGCCTTCTCCCACGGCGTGTCGAGCAAGAAGCGATATCGCGTCGAGGATGACGAGCAGGAGGCAGAGCGAGAGGCTGCGGAGCGGGCCGCCAAGAAGCAGAAGAATGCCGCTGTCCCTGAGGGCGAAGCTCTGATGGCACCTCGGTTGGCCGGGGTACAGAGAAGCAGCCCTTTCAGAAGCCCCAGCAAAACTCTGAAGAAGTCGCCCATCAAATCGCGGACCCCCGCCGCTCCCGCTACTCCCGGTAGTGCGCGAAAGACGACGGGTATCAGTATGAGCCGTTTGGCTTATCTGGCGCAGCCGAAGCTGCGTAAGTGAAGCAGAAACACTGCGGCAGGCCTGGAAAGGGCCGAGCTCTAGAGACGCCATCTTTGCTGTGATGAACTTTGTTTCGTTGACTGACAAGGCTTCGATCGACGAGGTCGATTTGCTTCGGGCTCGCACAACCCATTTCTTGATTGTGCCGGAAACCTTTGGGCATTATATCACGGCGTTTGCGAGTCTCATGGCTGTGTACTTCTTAGGAGTGATTATTAGGGTGTGGCATATGCAACGTGTTGGAAGTTAGGAGGCTTGGCAAGAGCTGCGGACGAGTGGTCTTCTTGCCCCCCACCACACTCGTCTTGCTCTGCATTGCACCTCTTCAGATACAGGGCTACGGGTTGCATTTCGGCATGCTGATGATCGTTTGAGGCGTTTGGACAGGATTCAGGATGGATTTGGCAATTAACATGGGAGTTTTGTCGTGATGTCACCAGGACGCCAAAGGAGTCTTAGGAGAAAAGGCAGATGGTCCGGTGTTGATGATAGCTTCTTATGCTTGATTAGATCGAGGAGGACCACACAAGACCGCCATGGCCTATGTAGGATCGTAAACACAGAACCGAAATCATGAAGGCGACATTTGGTGCTTCAGGCTTATTGTTCATATTTATTTCAGCTCATTTGAGGCTTTGCGATGGATGCGCCCAACAGAGCCTCCGAGGCAGGCTGCCTCCTTCTCATGTCCTTCGTTCTGCTTTTCAAATGTGGTATGCTGTGGCAGGTACGACTGCTGATGGGCCGCAATTCTTTTCCGCTACTGGAGACGACCTCCGCGGATATGGTCCTTTCTCTGCACCGGCAGAGGCCACTCACTCCACGAAGGGACCAATATCATGAATTTGGTCTTGCGGTCCTCAACAGTCGTTTATGATTTCATTACACATTCGCTTAGACTCTCCACAGCACCAACCTATCGCTCGTGGCCAGACTCCCTTACTATGGCTGACGTGCCACCACGATACCATCGCCCTGATACAGATCACGATGCTCCAGACAGGAGCACTATCAGACTCGATCCTCGCTTCGATCCATTCATACCGTCTGCATCTCGGACTTGTAAGGAAACGGACGCACGCCTCCCTCAGCACGACAACACGAATGGCGAGGCGCACTGGCGTCACCAGGAGTCTCCAGTCTCTCCACCTCCCGAGTTTCCATCATCTTCACCTCCCGCGCACCCAAATACCTTTCTTTGCACATTCTGCTGGCGCCCACATCAATCCGCCACCACGCCCAGCAGGGTCGTCGGCCGTCGTGCACGCCTCGCTTGTCAGACTTGTTACAGCGCGCTACTCGATCTCGCTGTGTGTTGGGTATGCGGAGAGATTGTGTTCCGCGGCGATGAGTGCGTGAGCTTAGGCTGGTGTTTCTGGCATAAGGCATGCTATGGGTGTTTGATGTGTGGGGATAAAAAGATTTTGGAAGGCGTGAAGGTTGAGGATCTCCTTGCCGATGATGAAAGGCAGGGAGATGGAAACATGTTTGGAAAGAGTAAAGGTAAGGAGATTGAAGAGATCCCACTTTGTGCTCAGTGTGTCGAGGATGTTGGGATTGGCTCGAGTGACGACGAACATTTGATCCCTCTGGCCCTGGACAGGATTGAGGGATTCGACGGCGGGCTCTCGAGGCGGAGATGGGAGGCGAGGCACAAAGATCAGCGGACAACGGCCGCTGGCCATTGCAATTCACCTCAGCGGGTTGCTGGAAATATTCGACGCACGCCATCTCCCATCTACGTTTCCTCGCACGATCCCCTTGGCGAGCCTGCTTTCCGGGCCAGCGCGGCGAAACCCATTCCAAAATGGATGCAGTATCTCCCCAGCTATAGGCGGAGTGAACAGGCTCGCTTCGAGCACCCTGCATCTGTGTTTGACAGTCTCCTCTCCAAACCCAATCTCAAGTCCGTCAGCTTAGATACCGACGAACAGGACTCATTGCCGCCACCAGTTCCTCCGCACATTGTTCCTGTACGTCCGAATGCTCTCAACTATTCACCTCCTCTCACACCTGCTCAGAAGTCCCGTCCCTTTACCCTGATCGCCGAAGAACCTGTTCAGCGACCGTCGTACACCAGGTTTGGTGCAGGTCAGGCCAAGCATGTCCGGTTCGGCAGCAATTCACGAGGCTCGTTATCGCCTATATCACTCCTCAGAAACACGGCCCAGTCGCCATCCGAGTCGGCTGAGTATCTAGATGAATACAACGTTTCCATTCCAAGAAACGTCAGATCGTCTGCCGCGCCCATCCGCTCGCCACCGGGAGAGGCGAATGAACACCATGCAAGAGTCCTCTCGCCTTTCCTTAGACGCGTCGACAACCATCCACTGTTATCAAATGCCTCTTTGGACAGTAGCCGAAAAAGCGCCGACGAGATCGATGACGAGGAACGCTTACCATTCTCGACGCTGCCCCAGCACAGTGCTGCCGAAGCAATTTCGGCCACTCAAAAGCAAGCACTCGGCCACACAAGGTCTCACAGCCATGCAGACAAGGGTTCGGGAGATCCTGTCAACTATGTGAAGTCTTCCAGCAGCAACTGGCGTGCTGGTGCAGATGGGCCGGGTGAGAACTCACGGAGGAGGCCACCGACGTTTCAAGACCAGTTGAAGAGGGTTTTTGGATTCTATTGACCTCGTATTGTTTCATAATCGTTGTGAGTATCGTTTATTTAATATTATAATAGTATGAAAGGCGCGTGAGCCCTTGCAAAGAGAAAAAAAAAACAAAAACAATTCAAGTATCGTCGTTTCGGGATATGTCTCGTGTGGTCCGAGTTATATCCTCAAATTCCGTCGCAGCTCGGACTGCAACAGAGAAGTGTACCTGATAGCTATTAATTACAACAGGAGGACGGAGCGAGCCCCCTGGCTCACAGAGAAAACAATCAACAGTTACTTGGTTGTCTTCAGGAAAGTGAACGAATTACTACGTTCAGCAAGTCAATTTAAGAACGAATAATCAACGGCTGTAAAGTTGACGTCGTTCTCCAGGGCACATGATATGGCAGCACATTGGCTCGTATGAAGAAGACCCCTTCCCGCGTCTCCTTTTTTCCTTATTTCCATTACTTTCTCCTTCTCCCATCTCTTTCCTCCCCATATTTTCAACTTTCTAAAACCCAAGTTTGATACCTTTTACATCTCAAAGGCCTTCAAAACTTACACCACCAAAGCTCTAGACGGTAAAGTCCAAGGCCTCTTACAAAACACATGCAAATAAATACAGACGTCAAGAGGTCTTATAGGGGTTTTAGGGCAGCAGGGATATCCTTGTCGACAAGTAGTGCACCACCCCAGCTCCTTGCATGCAACTCCACACAACCCGTTCTTGTAGTACTATTGGTACAATGCCTTTGCAGCTAACAACCACTTTCAACCCTACAAAGTAATACAGCATCAACCAGACTTCCCAATCTAATCCTCTCCATCTTTCCACTGAGAATTATCTCCTATTACAGCTGTCGAGCCTGGAGATACGTCGTACTCTCTTAGCTTCCTCAGAACACACAAGACGCAACAATGGCGCCCATAGAGCCGGACCACAACGCCGTCGAGCGTAAGTCACCCTCCCCTCGCCTCCTCTTCCTCACATGCTCACCAAGGCTGCCCCTTCCCCAGGCCAGCTCAAAATGATCCTGCAGATCCTCTACGAGACCATGATCCAGGTCGCCACCTATGACGCCAACACGGGGCCCTCCACCACCACCGCCACCAACGGCAACGCAACCCCCTCGCGCCTCCCCCCAACCACCAGCAGCGGCCCCTCCTCGTCCTCCTCCTCCACCACCAACACCACGCCACCGACGCGCGAGGTCCTCGCCGCCCAGCTCACCCACCTCTCCTCCGCACTACAGGCCGTCCACACCCTAGCCGCCGAGGCCGGAGCCGCCGGCTCGCTGTCCGAGGTGCCGCGCGAGCTCATCACCTACGTCGACGGCGGGCGCAACCCGGACATCTACACGCGCGAGTTCGTCGAGCTGGTGCGCCGCAAGAACCAGCTCATGAAGGGCAAGATGGGGGCCTTTGGTTCGTTCCGCGACATCTTGGCACGCGAGATTGCGACTGCGAACCCGGAGCTGCGGGAGGATGTGGCTCGGGTCGTGGTGGGGACGGGAGGGGAGTGGCCTCCTAAGGCGGAGGGTCCGCAGTGAAGAGGAGGAGGACGGGTTTGGCTCTATCCTTCCAGAGCACATCACTTCTCTGCAGGCTATGTTCCGTTAAAATGGATGGGTGATGGAGAAGGGACAATGTCTCGTGCGTGTGCCGAGTCGTGGGATTCTTGCCAACCTTCCGACTGACGGTTGCCATCCCGTATGTATGTCTTTTTGAGGCCAGGCATGCGGTTGGCCTACACAGGCTCATCTTTTCTCGGAAGACCATGCCATGGGCGCGCACTCACTTCACGGCAGGTGGTGATACCACGGGAGGGGCATGTCCACGCCAGCTTGTTACATCCACGGGCGGCGATTCGTTGATCGCTGTTAGGATTACACGCAGTCGACATTTCCCCTCACAGCAACTACGCAAGACGAGGAGGGGTCAGAGAGGTCGCTCTGGTTGCCATCAAACGACTCTCGGTCCACTGCTGTGGACTCCGCCTGGAGAGAAGGAAAAAAAAAAGAGGGTGGCAATTAGCACCGGGGACAAAGTGACCACGCCTTCGGAGCATGAAGTCGGTGGCCGTACAGCACGGCATGGTTACTCAGATCAGAGGAACCGAGTCCCTGCCCTTCTTCGATTGCAATTTTAGTAAAGTTCAAGGAGTTGGGAGTAGAAGTGATACCCTGTTCCGCCCACACGAGGCGAGACAACCAAGACAGAGATCGGGGAAGACATTGTGACCGTCAGGACGCGGCCACGAGTAGGTCCTCTAAGAATAACCCATAAAAGGAACCTCGAGGTGTCGGCCCCCATTGAAAGCTATCAAATATCAAATAGTGTTCCTTTATTGAATTATCTATTCGTCGCTCCCTATGTCGCACATCATTGCCTCCCTTCCCCGCCAATGCAAGTAGGTATATGACGAAGTAGCACAAGCAAGCCACCCCAACGAAACACTTGCCCTCCAATCCACCGCCGCCAAAGATGTGACCGTGACGAACAAAGATAAAGCCACTTGTACATAGATACAGTACGCCTTGATGCACCATCGCCGTTATACTTCGCTTTAATCTGTATGCGCGCCCGCCATGCATGCGAAAAGTTGTAACATCCAGCTCGAGCTCGCCCTCCTCGCTGTTGTGATCGAGTACGGGCGGGTATTCGAGCTGTGAACGCTTCAAAAGAAAAAAAACATTCGCCGCGCCTCTATCATCTCTTTCAAAGAGCTCCCCATACCGTCCTATCATCGCTCTCAAGTAATGGAGTTTCTATCACGAGTTGCCCAGCACCTGCAACGCCTGTCCGAGTGACACAATCTTCAAACTCCTCGTCCGCTTCAAGGCAGATGGCCGCCCTCCAACACCTTGGCCAGCAGCATTCGAAGTGCTGCTCGGCGCCGTCCGGGTAGGACTCAAGTCGTCCCGCCACTTGCGGAAGCAGCTCCTCATATCCCGCGGGATGCCTTCTAGGACCACAGTCGAAACCGGCACAAACGGGCGGTCCTCCATACCGGCGGCAAGGATGGCGTACTCCTGCGCGAAGTCGAGTGCGTTGTGGAATGAGGCATATTCAGACTGCGCGTTCTTGCCGACGATAATGTACATCTCAAAGAAGGCGTCGAGGACATAAACCTTGCTTGATGAGAGATCGGATTGGCTGAAGGGGTTGATTTCGTTGATCTGGAGTGCAAGTCAGTATGGTGGGCATGCAGATAGATGTCAAAAGGAAAAAAGAAAGAAGAAAAATTACGTACCTGTTTGGGATCGGCTGCATCGGAGCAGAACAGCCGTCCGCAGTACTTATCGTAACTCGGCTTCAGTCTCCAGTGATCTGCAGAGCTCATCTTCTTCTTGCCGTCGAACAAGCCCCAGAACTCCTCTGGCTCCTTGCCCTCCTCGACCTCGATCAATTCGCCCATCAGCGCAGAGTCCATGCCTATCAGCCTTGCGCAGCTGAGCTCGTCAATGCCAGACCCTTTGCCCTTCCACAAGTAGCACTTGCCCGACTGGGTCACGATGTAGGGAAAACCAGAGCACAGCGTCAACGGCGCAAAGTCCACCTCATCGAAGACGATCTGGCCCAGAAATGAACGTCCGCAGAGCATGTTTGGTGCGAGTGAGTCGTACTTGTTGCTAGAGCCGCGGCGAATGGTGATAATACCACCGAGTGCCTGGATGAACTCGGCCGTCTCTTTGCCCTGGGACATCTTGATCAGTGTCCCGCCCAGTGACCTCGCTTCACGGTTCACAAAGACTTGTGCGTCCTCGATCACCGACAACGGAACCTCGTCGCCTGCCCAGAAGTATACCTCCTGAACCTTCTTGCGCGCAGCATTGGTGAAAGTGTGTGAGCAGAGATACATCTCACGCTCAAAAAGCACGCGCTCATGGTGGTTCGGCACGGGAACTCGTTTGCCTTGCTCCGTGATCTGGTAGAGCTGCGCCTTCTGCGTTTGTACGGTGGATCCGCTCCTGGGTCGGTTCATCAAGATCTCGGCAGCGTCTGCGCGATACTCTCGCCTGGGTCGCTCATTGCCGAAGAAATCCTTTAGCATGGCAGAAACATCTGAGCCGCTCTTGGAAGGAGAGCGTGTGGGCGATGTCAATGGGGACGGGCTCGCAGCTGCAACGGGCTCGATCGGTACGGTTTTTGCCGGAATCGTCTTGGAAGGGGATGTTGGAGGCAGATTTAGTGGTTCTAAAGCAGGTTTGGGAGGCGGTGCAGGCTTCTTCTCCTCCAGCTCCTGAGGCTTAGGGGATGTGATCGATCGATCGAAGACGGCTGCACCATTCTTCACAGACATGGTCGGCTGCGAATCGACCTTCTCCATACTTGACACTTTTGCCGGTGATGGAGGGCCTCCGAAGGATTTCCTCACAGGAGATATAGGCTTCGTAGGCTCGGGCTCGTTCTTTGGAGATGGCAGACTTGACTCGTCCAAGAACCTTGACATCCTCCTCGCGTCCAACTTCCGGGGAGAGGGACTTCTCGAAGTTGGCTCGTCGGCTTTCTTTTCCTCCACGGGTTGTGTCTTCGCAGCAATAGCAGCAACTTGCTCAAAGATCTTGTTAGGGGAACCTGGCCCGGCCTTTGGTTTCGTGGAGTCCATGTTCAACGCGCTCCTCGATCCAGAGGACACCGGTCGTTGCTCCTCGGATCTCCTCTTTGAGGAATCCACCAGTGAGTTGATGCCACTGCCGCGCGGCTTGTCCGCTGCCGCGACTGGAGCTTGCTCAATGGGGGACTTTATGGGAGATTCTACCAAAGGCTTTGGCGATACGACCGGTGCCGAGGCTGTTGACTGATCCTGAACGGCAGCTGATTCTGCTGGCGGCACTGGTGGCGATGGGTCTTTTTCTTCAGACTCCTTCGCCACAGCCGCTTCATCTTTGGGAGCCAAGTCTGCAGCAGCGGGCTCTCCGGCACCTGAAGCAGGCGATTTACTTGCCGCAGGAGCCTTTCTTCGAGGACCACGGGCACGATTCTTGGTCATGTGTGTCAGTTGGGGACCTTGGCCCGGTTCGTTTCCCGTATCTGACGTGCTTCTTGTTGCTCTTGAAGAGGTACCAGGAACATCATTTGTCGTACCGCCCATTCCGGGCGGCCCACGTGCCAGCAAGCCAGCGAGGGCCGGATTGAAACGATTTGCCAAAGCGTTACCGCCTATTTTGTTCGGTAGCTTCCCCGGGATGCTCTTCTCTTTGGATAGTGCTGGAAAGGGCACCGGATCCGTCTTCTGCTTTGCTTTCAATGCTGGTTCCTCGTCAGGGACAGCCCGAAACATTGGCTGAGCGGGCTCGACGGGTTTAGACGGCTCCAGCACTCTTGCAGGCTCCTCGGGCGCTAATCCCACAACAGAGGGGCCTCTTGAGTGGGAGATGGATTTGGACCGACTGATCGTAGCCCTCCTTGCGATACCCTCCGGGATCACCTGCTCCTGAGGGGGCTTTGCATTCGTTGCGACACCCCGTCCCTCCTCCTTTGCTTGTTTGAAATCTGCCTTCCTCGCCAATATCGCATCCTTGAACTCGTCCTTCTTTGTATATGGCCTAGGTCCGCCTGTAATGTTGAGCCCTGACTTGCCCCTCAAGATGTTGTCCTTGAGCTCGTCGGGAGCGACGTAATTCTGAGTTGTTGTCTTGCGCAATTTGCCAAAAACGTTTGCCAATTCATTGGTAGAGTCACCCTTGTCAGCATTTCCGAGCGTTGTTCCTCGCTGGCGCAGACCCGCTCTGAAGTCCTTCTTCGGAGGCGCATCCGGCTTCTCCTTGCCAAGCTCGTGTCCAGCGACAGAACCCCTCCTATCAGGCTCTGCAGTAGGAGGACTCAATTTTCCAAGAGCTGGGCTTTTGTTGAATTCACTACTGCGGAGGCTTGGTGTCAACGGTTTCTCAGTGGTGGTCGGACCTGGGCTGGCAGCCGCCGTGCTCTTTTCGAACCCACCATTGCGGAGGGTCGGTGTCAAGGGCTTCTCGGTGGTTGGGCTTGAGGTGCCAATAGCGGGGCTCTTGCTGAACCCACCACCACTGCGCAGGCCTGGTGTTGTGGGCTTGTCGCTGCCAATGGACGGTGATGTAATGCCGCTAAGACCTGGTTGTTTAACAGTTGTGCCTAGCGGTGCGGGCCGCACGAGACCACCCGTCTTGACCTCGTGCTTCTTGACAGTAGAAGTGCCCGTTCGATCGATATCAGCACTACCGGTCTTTGCTTTTGCAGCCTTGGCCTTGTTCAGCTCGACCATCCAAGCCGGCTGATTGCTCATGGCGGCTGGCTTGGGCTTGGGCGACTCAGGCTGTTTGAGGGCCGCGTCGAGCCAGGAACTCTTGGTCGGACTCCATCTTCGCGGGTCCATTGTCCTTGACGGGCTCGTCGGGATGGTCTGCTCGGGCTCAGGCTCCGGTACTGTCAACTCTGGCTTGGGCGATGCCGCCACGCTCTCCTTGACTGGGGCGGTTGTGTCAGTGGTGGTGGTGGAGAAAGAAGAAGGTGCATCCTTCGCATGACTGGATGTAGGTCTGGATGTAGGCCTAGACGTGCTCTCCTTGGATCTGCTGACAGGACGCGAGGTCGTTTCACGTCCTGGACTGTTGGCACCGCTCTTGTTGTCGTAGCTGCTCCGATCCCCGGTCGGATGTCGATGCAGGCCAGGAGTTGTCACGCTCCACCTCTTGACACTGTCTGTCCGCTTCATCATGGCGCTTTGGACGAACCCGCCCATGCCTTTCGTGGGCGACGCAGGTCGAGTAGGCGACGCACTTCCTGACGTAGGCGCAGATGCATCGTTGCCAGACTGGATATCGGCCGGGGGACCAAGCTTCTGCGCCTCGCTCATGAGCAGCAGAGAAGGGCCAATTCTCGAGTTCCTTCGAGAATCCTGACGGTCTCTGCCGCCCGCATCACTCTCCTGTTCAATAGATGTCGGTCGCGACATGCCAGCTAACTGGGCGCGGCCAGACGACACATCAACGGTGTCAGAGTCCTCCACCTGGTTCTTTCGGTAGGCAGCCGAGTTCGCGCCTCGGTCTGCCGTCTGTCGGAACCATGTAGGGTCCTTGGAAGCGAGCGCCTGCGAGATCTGGTCTCGAGTAGGGGTTCGGTCCGGGGAGGTGCTCTCTGCAGGCGGCGTAGTAGACGATCGGGCAGCAGCATTCTCGGCCGCGACCATGGAGAGTGGTCGTGACCTCGGGCCAGGGCCCTGAGAAGTCGGTCGTCTCTGCCAAGAGAGGGTGGGCGTCCGCGCCAGGCCGGCGCTGGGTGGTGGAGATGCGTAGCTGGCGCTCGAACGCTTCAGGTCAAGATCGAGGGACATCTCGGCCTCCTTGGTGGGAGAGCGAGCTGTCGACAGGTCCATCGGATCGGCTGACGGAGACGGAATCGTATAGCTCTGCAGGGCAGCAGAGAGATCAGGAATAGGGGACGAGGCTAAGGCCGGTGGTGCGTCTGCGACGTGTGGTGTTGAGTCCTTGCGACGGGCCGACGGTGGTGGGGTGTTGGCAGGCGAGGACTTCTGGGGGGATATAGACCTGGCGCGTTCTGCATGTATGACATGGCGCAGCTCGTCAGCAACCGATCGAGAAGAGAAGAAGAAGAAGCAGTAGCAGAAGTAGTAGCACTATGGGTGGGAAAAGCAAGCACGATAAGACCCAGCACCGGCCTGGCCGAGGTGGGTGTGGATGGTTTCCAGCAAGCGGTGTCCAAGCCCGGACCATCGTGCCCGGTGTAGAGGATAAAGATGCTCGTCAAAGGGGGGGGGGGGGAGTTGAAGGGGGCCGAACAAAAACAAAGACCCGACCAAGACCTGACCGAATTGCGGCTCGGCGAGGTGTGTGTCTCTGAGTCGTCACATTTCTTTTTCTTCCCAACATACAACACAACGTACCTGCGCGACGTGCCTGGCGTTCTCTTCTCTGCTGTAGGATCTTTTCCTCAAGCTCCCTGGAGCGGGCCTCCTCATTCTCGTCACGTCCCTGGTTCAGCTGTTCGACCGATCGAAGGAAGCTCGAGACCTCGTCTGACATTGTCGGGAGGCGTCGTGGGGCTTAGGAGGGGGCGTGGGAGGCGGCGCGAGGATGCGGGTGCAGGTGCAGGCGCAGCAGGCACAGGTGGCTGGGATTGTTGACTTCGAGGAACAATCGGATCCAACGTGACAGTGACAGTGACAGCAGCAGCGGCGGCAGTAGTGACGGGTCGGCTGATAGTTCCGGCTGCCAATAGAGACATCGGATCTGTGGAGCTTGAGACTGGCGTGACACGAGATTGACACGCATACAACAAGACGCAACAACGATAACAACAGTACTTAGTGCAGCTGACGACGAAAGTAGTAGCCGTGCAACCGTGTCCGTGTCCGTGTCCGCGTGTGTGTGTGTGTTATGTTTTGTTATGTACGTTGCTGTGATGTGCTGTACGCTAGAGCCGATGGGCCGCGCAGTAGTGGCGGTGACGGGGGCAGTTTAGGCGGTGCGCGCTCAGATAGATTGTCTCTGAAGGTTTGCGCAGATCCAGAAAGGGAAAAAACGGAAAATTCTCACGATCTTCTTTCTGCAGGTTCTAGTCTGGTGTTTGGAAGAAGAAAAACCGAGCGGTCGAACCTTACATTAGCGTTCACGTACCAGCCCAATGACAGTGCCTGATCAAGAGGCACAAATGCAGGTCAGGTTGCGTCCAAGCCAAGGATCCGAAAGTTGGGCGCCGTGTGTTCCAACTTTGGGCCTCTAGGAGTTGGATCCAAATTCCTAAAGGTGCCCACTGTACGTACTTCTTAGGGCGATGAGGGGGACCGGGGGGGAGGGTTCCAATTGAAAATGACCCTAAGTGTGTAGCAACAACCGTCCGCCTTATGAAGTTGGGGGATCCACAGAGGGCCTGCCAGGGGGGGGCCAGCACGCCCCTCAGCCGCGTGACCCGCTATAAATACGCTAACATCAAAATTACTGTACCATACACTGTCCGGCTTGTTTCGTTCTCACTCATGGTTTCAGTGCGGGATGAAACCATTCCTCCGTCAGGTGTGGTGGTGTCTGACTTTCGCACCTGCATGAGCAGCAGCAGTAGGGCTGTCTGGACCCAAGAAAACCCTCCCTGAGAAACAATCGATGGTATCAATTCCTCTGAACCTGTTGAATTGAACACCGGCGCCTGTCAAGCTTCAATACAAAAACAGCCTTGCCTTTGCATCTTGGACAACCCAGGCCAGCCCTTCGTCGAGGTTTTCGCCCGTCATGGCGCTGCACCGCAGGACGTGCCACTGGTGAGTTCGGATGTGCTTTAATTTCAGCGTCTCCAGTATCTCATCTCCCGTCATGCACCCTTCAACGTCGGTCTTGTTGGCAAAGACCAAGAGGCTAGCACCGGCTAGCCTCTGTTGTTCATCTGGGAGTCAGCCTTGTCGTAATATGTATGTCATCCTGAGTGCTGGGTTGCGGCATTTAGACGGCAGCATACCTCTTCCTGCAGCAGGCCGTGTAGTTCGGCCCTGCAGTCCTCAATCCTCAGTCGGTCCGTAGCATCGACCACCCAGATCAGCACATCTGTCTTCTCAAAATAGTTTCTCCAATATGACCGTAGCGTCTTTTGCCCTCCGACGTCCCCTACAGTCTCTCTTGAGTGGTCAGGCCGTGTATCTACCCCATAATGATGAGCTTTGGCCATTCGGAGACTGACAGATGTTTAACTTGTACCTGCGCAGAAGGTCAGCCCGCTTTTCTCCCAAGACTTCAGAGAAGGGAGGAGCAGTCGTCGCCATACTCACCCCTCGTAGTCTATGGTTTTGATGATGAACCCGAGGGTCGGGCTAACGGTGTTGACGTCCTCGCCCATAATCTTCTTGACGATGGTGGTCTTGCCCGCATTATCGAGACCTCTTGGCGGGATAGTCAGCATCCTCGCTGACCGATTTGGGAGGAAGGGGGAAAGGCTGTCGGCTGGACAACAGGGCAGGTGGTTGCCTTACAGCATCAATATCCTGAGTTCTTTGTCCTTCAATCTGGCCTTCCTCAAAATTGAAAGCATATTGTCCAGGCCAGCAGGGCTGCAGTCTTGAGCGAGGCAGGTTTGCAGATTGGTAGAAGGCAACGATGGGACAGGTGATTTGCTGAGGGGGCACCCTTAGCCTTCAGGGTTCGGGGCAACACACACACATGCCTGTGATCCACATAGAGAGCTTCCCCTGCTGCCCGCCAATGACGGCATTTTGCATAGGCAACTTCAACACATCATGGGCTCAGGTATGCCTGCACACAACCTCCACAGACAAAAAAGGAAGAAGAAAGAATGAAGTAAAAGTGATTCTTGCTATGCCTTGACTGACAAAATCATAGAAAAGGGTCAATCAAGGCAACAAATAGTCGAGGCATTCCCCTTAGGAGACAATCCTCCCTGCTGCCTTCACCAGCACATAGGCAGATTATGAGGCTGAACTGGCCTGCAAAGCAGATCATTGGAGCCTCGGAAAGACATTCTAGACATCAGGCCATCAAAGAGCAGTTCCAGGATGCCTTGACTCTCAAGTACTCCAGAAGCAATGGACAACATCTCTCAAATTCCTAAATCCAGCTCATCTCCAGATTGGCAAGTCTGGAGGGCGCAATATTTACTTCAAAGTGATGGAATTTTGAACTCCTCTAGACCTGGCCTCCTTTGAAATGACTTCAAGAACTACTCTGCGATGCTCGTCAGCATTTCCTCCAGGGAAGGGACTTGCATAGCTTGCGCGAGTAATCTCAGGTGACCTCTTTCCTCGCGGGGTATCCTCGCAGCAGAACACCACGGCTGTCTGCCCTACCAACACCATGATGAGCCCTCACGACGACGACCACCCTAGCTCCCACAAATCGAAATCAACAAATCTGGAAAGTTTCACAGCATAGCGACATAAGAGGCGGGGATCTCGAAAATTATTTCAGGGTCTTCTTCAATTTGCTGTTGTCTGTCTGAACCTACAACTTCTTTCTTCCTCTTCTTCACCCTCCATCCTTCCTTCTCTTCTTTCCTCTTTTTCAGCAGCACAGCAAGCATCACCAACCCTTCTCTCTCACTAAAGTCCTCCTGAGATATCCTCATCTTCTTCTGATCAATTTCAGCATCAAGTACTGTTTCCCCCCTTGGTATGTATCAATCTGATCTCTGGATTTCATCACTTGCATTGTTGACCACCCAGCACCAACACGTTCCCATCATCACCATTGCCCAGCACCCATCACCTTAACGTGTTCATTTTACCAACCCCTCCTCTATTACACTCCTTAAGAAGGCAATAAGAACTTCTTTACTCTACTCCTGTGTACTGTCCAGAACCTTCAAGCAAGCCAGCTTCATTCCTTTAGAAACAGGCACACAAAACATTCACTTTACATCCCAGCAGCCTTGTGGAGAAAACATACGAGATTCGAATGGAATTATTCCATGACACGTCCTACTCATCTATCTATTCCTCCCTCTTTAAACAAGATTCAGCACCTAACTACCTAACTGTCATGTATCTCTTGTTTGCTACGCAGCTCCCTTGCCCCTCGGTTGTCCTCAAGTCAGTCCAGCTAATGAAGCTGATTACTGACTGGTACTGACAGATACCAGTTCTCTCTGTTGTGACCAGGTCTGTCCTTTTGCAGCTGTTCTTTTTACTCCCCTGTGAGTCCTCACCCATCAGACATTCGCACATCTTCTATCTCTCCTCCTTCTCTATGATCAGATCTGCCATGATCCTCAGGTTTCTCATGAATCTTGAAGCTGGGAAAGGCGTGATCCGAAGCTGTAATTTGGCAGAGACTGACATTATTTGACTATTTGATTAGGGTGTCACCAAGGAGTTCTTCCTTGTGGTTCGCAACGAATTTCTCTGGTCGAGTTTGTTATAGACCATCAGCCCTGGGCGACTGGGTAACTCTCGTGAGTCACTCAACCCAACCACAGTCTTCAGTCAGGTAGGCCTCCGATATTCCCAATTTCTGGAACAGTTGAGCTGATAAAATCGTCTGTTTCTGAGGCCAGGAAAATCAGATACCCTTCGTTCCCTGACAAGGATCATCATGGCGCCTTTCCACCGGTTCTGCAAGCCTTCCCATGGTGACGACGGACCTGAGCAGCCGGGATGGAACGGGCAACGGCATCTCGACCATGGAACAGCACTGTTTCTCGAGAAACTCAAGGACCATGCCATAGCCAGAAAAAACAAGGGACATGGTAAAGCTGAGCCTGGTCTTAATGCTGGTTTACCTCGCCACTTGCTCCGTCAAGACGATGAGCGTTCAGTCGGAACCCCCGCCACTGGTCTTTTGAACACGCAAGTATCGACCACGGCTCCTGCGAGCGTCTCCAAGCCCCAAGAGCAACGTCTCCACTCGTACCTCGAGGAGCGAGCTTCCAACTTCTATGGCTTCAAAACTGTGTTTCCTGGCGAGTCTCGACCCCAAACCCAGACGCCCCAGCACCCGTACGACCACCAGCCTGAGGAGCATCACTCGGGAGCTGCTGTGCAGGTTGTCAGTCGTCGCCCCTGCAATGACTCCTTTCCTGTTGCTCCTGCATCTAGTCTTGTCGTCCCCGCTGGCATGAACCGGTCGACTCATCAACAGCCATCCAGCTCTCATCCACCAGCGGCTCCAGCTCGTGCCTACCCCGAACCCTCTCCAAAGCACGCAGTCTATCCAAACAACAAAGGCGCGCCTCAACGCGAGTTCCCGCCCACCCCGTCTTATACAAACGATATGCAACACGACGTCGAATTCATTCCTACCAACGACCGCAGCGGCAATAGTCCTGCACCAAAGGGTATGAAGACCTCTCGATGGGCCGAGGCTGAGCTTCAGATGCAGACTACCGCCAGCCCTCACCATGACAACGGAGCCCGACTGTCTGCGAGCACTTATCGTGTCGATTCTCCCAAGAACACACAGCAGGAGACCGCCATGCACGTGCAGGAACCCAACAATGGCCAGAAGAAGCCTGCTAACGTTCAGCCTACTCGCGTCGTTCAGCCTGCGCCCATCCCTCAGCAAGCTCATCGCCAGCCCTCGGGCAATCACCAGACAAAGGTGTCACAGGTCGAGCACCTGCCCCAGCCTGTGAAGCAGAAGTGGCGTCCCAAGCATGACTATGACCTCGAGTCGCAGTCACTGCCGGATACCGTCTCGTCCGTGCATTTCGACGACGACGAGCCCGTCGCTTACTTTACTGGTAGTGATGCCGGCGATGTGCCTACAAAGGACATTCGAGGCCAGATCGCCGACGAGTCTAACCTTGCTCCCACCGGCGATGGCCAAGGTTGGTATGACCAGAGCCAGTTCAAGGAGTTCGCCAGCGATGACGACTCCTGGGGCCCCAGCAAGGCCTGGTTTGCCGAGTCTGTCGAGTCGTGGCTTGACAACACGAACAAGTACGAGCTTCCCTCGGTCTGGTTCCTCACCTCCAACATCGAGCGTCACGAACATTGTGACGTGAATACCTTCAACGGCTGGCTGAATGCTCCTGTGGACTACCCCGAGACGTGTATGAATCCACTGGACGAGATCAAGCCGCAGGAGACCAAGCGCCGACTCACCTACTCTTCGAGCCTGAAGAGCGCAACAAACTACACCAAGAACAAGCGCCGCCTTGACAACGCAGAGGAGATGCACGGCGAGCTCGTTGCCAACCCCCAGCCCGCGCAGGTCCCCGCGCAGGCCCAGCCGCAGGCCCAGCTCGTGGCGGCCAACAGTGCTCAGGCGCCTAGAGGTGGCCAGATGGGCCAGCAAGTGCAGGCTGGACCCTCTGTGCCAATGGCATCCGCGAACTTGGACGACTACGAGCAGACCTACGTCAAGATCCCCTGCTTCCTGCGCCCGGCTGAGCACGGAGACCTTGAACAGGTCCTGACCATCTACAACTGGGAGGTGGCCCACGGCACTCAAGCCATGGATACCAAGCCCCTTGTGGTCCAGGACATCCGCAGAATCTTTCAGCGGTGCAAGGTTTCCGAGACTCCCTTCATTGTCGTCATTGCCGGAACAGCTGAGGAGGCTGTTGCCCGAAAGGAGGTTCCTGCACGCCCTCAAGGAATGCAGCCATACATGCAGCGAAATTCCCACCAAGATCAGCCAGAGAAGCGCGAACAAGATAAAGTTCTGGCCTTCGGATTCATCACGATCCCTGACGCGGGCCTCGCTGGTGATGTCCACCACAACGTTGGTCGCTTCCAAGGCCGTCTGTACCTTTATGTGGCCCACGATAGTCGCCGCAACGGTCTCGGACGAGCTCTCCTCTGCCGTCTCACCAAGTGCTGCTCCACCATGATGATCTCCATGGGCGAATACGACTGGTACGACCCGACTAAGAACAAGGCTTGCGATGTCGCCCCATTCAATTCTCGAAAGTACTCCCGCCTGTTCCTGGAGACTGCTTCGAAAGGCAAGACAGATCCCGACACCAAGTGGTACGCCGAGTTCCTGGATAGTGAAGCCTTCACATGCGTCTCCACTACCGACAGGGCCCGCAAGATTGGCTACGGCGACGGCGGTAAGTGGATGGACACCATTGTCTGGCAGTATGACTGCTCGGACCCGAAGCACCTCACCGAGGGCGCTGCTTACCAGAGCCGTTAATGCTTGTCTGGCAAGGGGGTCTACTCCGGTACCCCCCCCCCCGCCTCGCCCAGATAAAAGACAACCGTTTGGACCATATACACGATGAGAGGTTTCCATAAGCTGAGAAGCTGCAGCTATGGTCTGCTTCTGACCCTGATGGCTTGGGTTGTGGACCGTGGGCCGATGGCATCGGTGTACAATCGACGAGGTTGCACGTTAGGTGCGTGCATGTGTGGGAGAGCGGTGGAGCTACGATCTTGTCACCCCAGAGCTGATGATATCATGAGCCCGTGGGGCTCTTGTTGATGGTACTGCAAGGCCTTGCTTGTTCGAGACACAGCAGTCTACCTCGTATCACGCAGGATCTGGAAGGGAGAGGCATTGTTGAATGTCCGGAGTCGGTCCACCTATGTGATGGGAGGATTCTCACTGACGGATGTGGTATAGAAGAATCAGAAAGGAAGAAAAAAACATTGGTTGAGGGTGGATGAAATGCCAGGACGGTGTGCAATGGACGGGGAAACTCTTGATCAAGCACGCGTTGTGCTCCTGCTCCTGGTCATAACGGATGAGGGTTTTGCCCCTTTTCTCAGCTTCAGATAGCACACTCTATGGGTGAGCAGGTCTGGGCTGGGCTACGTACGGGCAAGGTGAAATCAAACTTGAATGGCCCCGTGCAGCAGTTTTTTTTTGAAGGGGGGGGGGGGTCCCAGGGAGATGGAATCATGAACGGAAACTTTTTTGTGTGCCTATGATTGTTAGGTCTTAGCTAGACTTTGACTAATCTCAGCCGGTATTTGTCAGATGCGTTGTATCTTTGAGATATTGGCTGTGGTATGATATGATGGCAGAACGCTTCGAGTTGAAGGCTGATGTCACAAAAAGAGAGAGAGAAAGAGAGTGTGTTGTCTGGTCAGAAAGAAGGGGAAGCAGAAGGAAAAGACGCCATTGGGTGGCTGGCTATACATCTACATGTCCTTGTACTCTTCACATAGTACGCCTCCTACTCCAACTTCTTTCTGGCTGCCTCGTCGAAAGCAACTTTCACCATGCTCTTAACCACCCCCTCCCAACCCTTTTTCTACTGGCGCCCACATCTATACAACTACAGTAGAGAAGATGACAAGGGAAAAAGAAACCTCATCCATCACATCCAATTCAACAGACCCTCAATCCGCACACCTCAACACCCTTGCCCTCCACCCTCGCCTGCCGGTCGAAATACATGGCGACAATCTCCTTTACAAAGGCAGCGTCCGCGTGACTCCAGACATCGAGACCCATGGCCGCGAGCGCATCGCTGTCTACCCGGACCTCGGCGGTGGGAGTGGCGGCGACACGGTCTTGAGCCGCCTGTAGTGGCAGGAGACGCTCTGACTCTTCACCCTCGTCCACCTCGGACTGGGTCCGCGAGGTGTCGAGATCTGTGTAGTCGTCGTTGTACTCCTCCTCCTCCTCCTCCTCGTCGGTCGCGGCGACGATCTCGGCCAGCGTCCCGAGCACGGTGGCCGTGAAGCGGTGGAAGTAGGTGATGATGCCCAGCTCAACCCTGGCGCGGTCCTCTTCTGCCTCTGCGCCATCAACACTGGCGCCAGCGCCAGCGCCAGCGCCACCTGCTGACGCGGACCCGTCTGCTGTGGTGGTGGCCCGTCGCGCGGTGAGTGAAGTTGTGCTCTCGCCCAGCCCGCCGCTCATGCCCGTAACGTTGAAGCTGCCGCTGGGCCGTCTCTGCTGGGGAGTCGGGTTGCCGGGGGAAGGGCCTGGTATCAGATCCGCCAGCAGCCCGTTGTCGTGCGCTGCCTCCTCGGCCTCGTCGGACCGCCTCTGCTCGCCTGCAGACGCCCACCATATGAACCCGCTGTACGCGAGGGCCGCCCACGTCACAGGCTCGACGATCTTGTCGGCGGCGTCGGCGAGGGTGTGGGAATCCTCACCGTTGTGCAGGAACGAGGTTGTCTTGACAGAGGAGGTAGAGAGGCGGGGCTGGCGCTGTTGGTATAGGGCGGCGGATGATGGTGATCTTTCTTCGGTTCCGTTCGTTGTGGTGGGCTCGTCGTCCTCGTCGACTACGGCGGTGCTTGTGGCGGCGGCGGCGGCGACACGGCGCAGACCGGCCTTGAGGGTGCGGAAGCGCCGCAGGTCGCGCTGGGTGGCTTTGACTGGTATGCCTTTGGGGGACTCGACGGTAGGCCAGACCTTCTCCTTTGTGTTGGTGGGCTGTGTCTGGGGCATGGTGATGAGGACGTCCCACAGGTCGTCTTTCATGGCGAGGATGCTGTCGGTCGTACAGGCGACCCAGCCGGAGCTGGCGCTGCCGAGTGGGTTCGATGGCTGCTCGGGCGTCGGGCCTGGCCTTTGGGCGCTGTCGGCCATGAGGAAGGGAATATCATGAACGCCGATCGTGAAGAGGGGCCGAAGCCTCTGGGCTGGGGCGGAGGGATCTAAGAGGTCGAATACTGAAAATGGTATGTTGGCGAGGACGGAAATATTGTACACTTTCCGAGCATGGTCAGCAGGCGCGCCACAATGAAATAAATAGTTGGGAAGGAAAGCAGGAGAAGACAAAACATACCAAAATTACACGCCTCGTTGACGGGCGTGTGGGTAGAGATCAAGATGCGCTTCCGTAACAAAGCTGCTCGTTGTATGGGGAAGATTAATGGTCCAAAAGTGTCCAGCAGATTGTTCAGACTCCAGGCTGGATGAAAGGGCGACAGCCTGTGCCCAGGTTGCATCAGCGCGCCTCCCTCGGACGCAGACCTGTCCCTCACGTGTCCCTTGGGAAGAGCCCTCTTGCCCAGCGCCGGCGATGCCATTGGCGAGTCCCTGATGGGCTCAGGCAGATGGTTTGGGTCCCGTGTCCTGCACAAGTCCCAGTACTCGTCCAGCGCCCACGTCTGCTTGCGGTCGACGGCCAGCTTAGCGGCCAGATCCTTGAGGGCATCCGCATGCCGCCATGCCCTGCCCAGTCGCCCATAGCTGAGGGGCACGAGTACGCCGACGGCGATCATGCGGGCATGACGGGATTCCTCCTCGTCGGTGGGGGCGTTGACAAAGGCGCTCAGGCCGGCGTAGCCATCCTCATGGACAAAGTAGATCAGGTCCTCGGAGACGGTGTGCAGGCCAGAGGGGAGGCTCTTGTATTCCACCACGCCCTCGAGCTCGAGGCCCGGGATCGACTGCTTCCATATGATTGTGTACCCGGCCTTGACATCGAAGTCGATGAGGAACAGCGCTGAGATGGAGGGCAGGTCGGGAAGGGTGTTGTAGTGCGAGGATGACTGGGCTTGCGGCCCTCTTCGAGGTGCTGCCATGGCTGCGTATGTGAAAGAGCGATTGGAAGATTGTGGGTGGCCGATGTTTGAGAAGAAGGGTGGCGGTCTCGAGTCTCGAGTCTCGAATCTCGATTATCGCAATGGGATCATCTTAAAGAAGAGAGAGGGCCTGCGCGGTCGCGTCACCCAGGCCAGAGACGTCGCAGAATCGATGTCACAGCGCGAATCGTTGGATCTTAAGAAGTATACAACAAAGTCCTTGTCATTCGTCGTTGTCGTCGTCAAGAGAGATAGAAATGTGTTCAGAACAATTCAGAGTTACAATGTAATTCCTGCGAGACCAGGGGTTTTAAGAGTGCAGCAGTATCTCTCATCCTCGAGGATGAAGTGACGTCCAGATAAGGTTTGGTGTCAGGCCACCACTACCACAGAACGCTGCGAACTATGGGCTTACTTGCTCCCCACGTCAAACCCCAAGCCAGTCCCGATTTCAAGCGAGGGGTCTACTATACAGATTCCGAAGTTTTTACCCATGTTCAAGTCTCATACAAAACATTTTGCATGTTCAAGAAAAGAATTCATAATCTTTTTGATTCTGGCAAATATGAATTGGTGAAAGAAAATGCTTCAACATACCTACAATTATGTTCTGCTGTGTACATATTGTAAGAGGCATCGAGACTCAAAACTATGATAAAGCCCCCCCCCCTTTCTCCTCGAATGTATCGTTTAGGCTTGGACTGTCACGGGTCCCTTAGGGCCTTTCCAGGTGAGCCAGGGGAAAGGTGAGAGAGCTGCTAAGGGTACTGTACTATACAGGGGTGCTGCCCACTACCCCAACAAACCGGCAGCGCTAAACCGTGGGAGTAGACACCTCGGCCAGTTACTGCTGTGCCAGCCCCAGCCATGACAACTTTTTGGTGGGGTCATTTGATGATCTTCTCCATCGAGTCCTCAAAGTGCACCACCTGCGCCAAATGTGCCAGCTGACCGACTTGACGCATCCCTCGCCATTACGCACGCACGCACGCACGCACACACATACACACCCACAACTCTCTTTTCGCACCTGACCTGAGCTTGCCCCAAGCTGAGAGCGACAGGCCAGCTAACAAACGAACTTGGCTTCAATCAGACAACCTGTTTGTGCTTCCCTGATCAGGGCCCACACCAAGTTGACCACCACCGCCAACCGGTGTTCCCACCAGAGCCGTTCGACAGACAAGGTATTTTACAGATTTCACATGCTTCTCCCCCGTCTCCCCTGCACTAATTGGAGGGGGTCATGTGCCGAATCAGAACCCAGAGTTTTGGCCTTATATAACTGACCTGTGGGCGGTACTCCAAGAACCCCTAGCAAATCCTCCTCTCCGAAGACGACCGACCCACTGCTTCCTATCTCTACCACTTTGAGCAATGTCCTTCCTGACCTACCTGGGATACTTCCTGGGAGGCTACACTGCTCTCACGATAGTCCTCTACGCACTCTCCCCGATGTTCTCCAAGGCAGGCTTCGCCGCCCGCTGTCTGGCCTCTTACATCTCGCTCGTCTTTTGTACGCTGTACGGCGTTGCCGCCTCTATCGTCCTCGGCATCCTGGGCCAGAGGCAGATATCGCAATGGGCCACGGCGCGCTGCTTCAAGTACATCATGGCCGCGACCACGGGCGTCACCTTTGAGGTGATCGACCCCAACGGCTACCTGGACAAGACGCGCCCGGCCGTCTTCCTCGGCAACCACCAGACAGAGCTCGACGTGCTCATGCTGGGGTGCATGTTCCCCAAGTACTGCAGCGTGACGGCCAAGAGCAGCCTGAAGAAGACGCCGTTCCTGGGCTGGTTCATGACGCTGAGCGGGTCCATCTTCATCGACCGCAAGAACAGCAAGGACGCGCGCGAGGCCATGAAGGGCGCTGCGGACCAGATGACCAAGATGAAGCAGAGCGTGTACATGTTCCCCGAGGGTACCCGGAGCTATGCCAAGGAGCCCATGCTGCTGCCCTTCAAGAAGGGTGCTTTCCACCTGGCCGTCCAGGCGCAGGTCCCGATCGTGCCTGTTGTGGCCGCCAACTATAGCCACGTGCTGCACCCCAAGGATTATGTCTTCGAATCGGGCCGGATCCCCTGCAAAGGTAGGTTTTATCCCGAGGTAAAGGCGAAAGACGCCATCAGAATGCATGGCGCGGCGAAGCTGACCTTATTTTTGCCTTGTGTGTAGTTCTCGAGCCTATTCAGACCACCGGTCTGACCACAGCGGATGTCGATGCACTCTGTACGAGGACGCGGGAGCTGATGCTGAAGGAGATTATCAACCTCACATATAAAGCCCGTGGTCAGGAGGCACCCATACCAGCATCGACAGCGAAAGCTAGTGGTGTCGACCTGAAGCAATGAGGAATGCCGACCACAGCGACAGCCTAACAGAGGCGCACACCTACCAGACAGCACGGGTTTTCAGTTCTTGCCATCTTGAAGATCCCCTCACTGACGGCAAGATCACATCTAAACTAGATCTCGGTCAGCAACGAGACCAGCCGAGAGTACCTATATTCAAAGATGACCTAGACGCATTACCCGGACAATAACAGACGATTACAGGAGCATGAAGAGAGAGGAGATTATCACATGCCGGACCCGTTGCATAGCTGCGAAAGACAGGAGGGAGTAAAAGAAAGAGAAGCTCCTAGCATCTTGATACCCCTCGATAGACAAAGACGCATTTCGTTTTTACGGCGCGTTTGACTGAGAGAAATGGCACGGGCGAAAGACAAGAGGCAGCTTCTTACCGGATCTGATCATGGCTTGGAGACTAGCAGGAGAGAGTCTAACTAATAATTCATCGATGTGTGTGTGTGGGTGTGTTGGATACGAGCCGAAGCAACATCAAACGGCCCTTGGTTCTTGAGACAAGCTCGGACGATGCCCACGCCAGCGGCACATGCCCTGGCCTAGACGGCCATGAATGGTCCAACGAAGGGGGCATCCGAGCAATAGCAGAAGTACTATTATATATGTATTCAATAGATCGACTGTGGATCTTCCAAAGCAGGGTGAATCAAGAGGAGAGGGGTACGCCGGGTCGGTCCAACGGACAACCTCTCGCTGCCTAGTGGGGTTGCAATCGACATCATCGTTTCGTTAGCACCTCTTCTTTTACCACTGTATCACTGCCGTGCATTCCCAAAAAACTGAAGAGGCGCCAAGAGAAGGGGGTTTGCGTGTGTGCCGTGCGCTGTAAGCTTCAACGGAACTTTTTTGTGCTATACCTAACGAAACCCTGAGACACCGTTTCACCGGTTTCTCGAGAGACAAACTGACGTCCGCGCATGCCAGGGCTGCGATCCTGCAATCTGACAAAAGAAAAAAAGCTGCGAGGATCCCCCTCCCCCAGTCCGTCGTTCTGGCAGCAAAAGGTAGTAGCAAGGTACTATAGTAGAAACGAGAGATCAAAAGAAACCCGGTTACAAGGTGCGAATGACAGAGACGAGCCTGGTCATCCTTGACGAAGGAACAATCACGGGCTACTACAAGGAAGAAAGTGGTGGAAACAGAGGTAACAAGGAGTGACTACATTGTATAATAGCAGAACCAACATGCCAACGTAAGAGAGAGAGAGAGAGAGAGTTGGCCGCTGTCATGACGTGTGACTCCTTGTTCCTCGGGCACGTTGGCCAAGGGGGGAGGGAGGGGCGGAAGAGGATTGATCAGCCCTCTTCGTATCCCGTATCTGCGCCAAGCTAAGGCTGACCTGCATCAATTTTTTACTACTGCTGTGTTGCAGTACGAGAGAAAAGCGCCTGTTTTCTGCAATTCTCGTCCCGCGTCCAGAAATGTGTTTGGTCCTCCCTGGTCTCTTATCATGGGCGTGGGCTGTTTTGTTGTCCTCTCGGATTGCGACAAAGTGAGGGACCTGCAAAAAAAAAAAAAAAAAAAGGGGACCGGCCCCCCCCCCCCCCTTGGCTTGTCGATCTTTAAGGTTTCCGTGACTGGACAAACACCAAAAGGAAAGGGTTGATGGGTCGGTGACGTCTGTCCCATCCATCGAGCCCCCCCTTTTTTTCCTTTCTCGTTGGATTTTGTTCAGCGCAGTACCCTTTTAAATTCCGATCTTCACCGGGTTCAACGAGCATAGTCTGGCGGCCCAGCCGTTTTCTTGTGTGTGGCCACCCCGGTCCCCCATCTCCTTAGCTGGGAAGATGATTGACGAGGGATTCCTAGTACAGTACACAATACTTGAGTAGCCGAGTAGTCACGTCACACAAACGAAAAGAAAAAGAACAGACGAGCAAAGAAAGGGGGGTTTCGTGGGGGAGAAAAGGGAGCAAGGGTCCTTACTAGTATGCTATCCTCACGCGTTTATGATGTTACTATCCTGATTCTGAATAGAATTGGTGATCATTGATCGTGTTTGTGCATGCTAGTGAGTACATACTGTAGTAGATTCATGTAGTACTCTCCCTCCATCTTTCTTTTTCTCGTATAAAAAAAGATGGGAAGGAAGGAAAGGAAAGGAAAGAAAAGAAAAAAAGGTCCTGTCGTTGGATGCCATAGGTGCGTTGCAAGCGTCTTCCCACAAATAACCTATCTGCAGCCAGCCTCCGGATATATGCACGATCCCATCAGGCCCTTGTTTCTCTCCTGTTCGCCTCACGATCCTGCGTGTCTTACGATACCCACTTCGTCCCATCTTTATCTTTTTGTTGTCTGTGTGCGCATTGTGCGTGTGTGTGAGTAACCTTGAAAGAAACCTGGGCTACGGATTACATTAGTTTCTTTTCCCCATTTGCACAGCTCGCACCTTCGGGACACGGAGTTTATATATTTGAAGTCGGTCCCGCCCTGTCTCACCAATTCTTCTCTCGTCCCAAAATCTCCTGCGGCTACTTCTGTTTCCCAAGCCTGCTACTTCTACTGTCTCCTACCAAAAAGTCAACATGCACTTCTTCGCCTACATGACGGTCCTCATGACCGCTGTGCTCTCCGTAGCCACCCCCATCCTCAAGCGTCAAGTCGGCGGTGTAAGTCTCCCCCCCCCCCCCTCTTTCTCCCTTCGCACACACACACACACACACACACACACACACAAACACAGCACTTCTCGCCGCTGCAACATCCTATTTAGTACTCACATCTGCATTCGAACCAGGTCCTCATCTGCAACGGCATAAACGCAACAGGCGAGTGCACCCACCTCGTGGCAGAGGTAGGCCAGTGCACGAACCTCACAGCCCCCTACTACCAAAACACCTCGACCTTTGCACCCGACGGCGAGGAGTTCTACTGCTACCCGTACCTGTTCTCTTGCGGCGGCATCTGCAAGTCCCCTGAAGGCTGCACCTACGGCGCCGTCTCCTACAACACAACAGCCAAGACCAACTTCACGGCCGGCGGCTGGAACAACCTCATCGAGTCGTTTACTTGCTACAGCGGTGCGACGCCTGAGATCTGAGGTAGAGGGGGGTTTTCTTCTCGTCGATGGAGGCGCGGCCACACACCCCACCCCCCCCTTTCCCCTTGTCATGTATGTGTGTGTGTGTGTGTGTGTGTGTGTGTGTGTGTGTGTGTGTGTGTGTGTGTGTGTGTGTGAGTGACAGAGAGAGTTGCGAGTGAAATTGAGTGTGGTATGCAGCAATGCAATGCAATGCACAGGGTGGAAGAGAAAAGAGTGTATGCAGAAGGGGGAGGATGAGATTGGATGGCGACTCGACCGTTTGGGATAGAGGAGGGTTGCAGGGGGGGGGAACCCGTCCAAGCACTTCTCTCTCTGTCGCAGCGGGATCCCTGTCCTCAATGACGTTAGGGACCCATGTTTTTATTTTGTCTGCCAGCTGCCGGGCCTCTGTGTGGAGTGGGGTCGGCCCTCGACCGGTGCTGAATGGCGGGGTTTTGGAGGGGGGGGAGGGGGCAGGGGGAAGAGGGGAAGCTCTACCTCACTACCACCACAGCACTATACAGCGCTCATGGACTTTACTCGGCATCCAGTCATCGATATCGCAGATACGGAATTGGATGGGCAATTGGGGTTCACTTTTATACGGGATGAGCTTCTCTAATCTCTGGCTAAGTGGAGGAGAGATAAAAAGAAACAGAAAAGGGAAAAAAAGAACCACAAACAGAAACAGTAACGGATATCTATCTACTTTTTTAAAGTTACTCACGATAAGTCAAATACATACATGATACCCCTCAACCTCGTCTCTCTCTTCTCCCTCCCTTCTTTTGAGCTCATGAGATTTCTCAACAACAACATCATCCAACGACACACACCCACCTTCTTCTCCTCCTCGAGACTCTTCCAACTCTCTAGGCACCTCATCTCCTCCCCGTCGTCATCATCATCATCACCACCACCACAACAACCATTCACAATGACGTTCGAGACCAAGGCCACCATCGCCTCCTTCGGCGGAACCCTCCTCAAGCTCAGCCACCAGTCCAGCACGACGGGGACCCCAATGAACCTCAACCTCTACCTCCCGCCCGCCGCCACCCGCGACGGAAAGAAAGTGCCCCTCCTCATCTACCTCTCCGGCCTGACCTGCACGCCGGACAACTGCACCGAGAAGGGCTTCTTCCAGCACGCCGCCAGCAAGCACGGCCTCGCCGTCCTCTACCCAGACACCTCCCCTCGCGGCCTCGACCTCCCCGGCGAGCGCGACAGCTGGGACTTTGGCGAGGCCGCCTCCTTCTACCTCGACGCCACGCAGGCGCCCTTCGACGCCCACTACAAGATGGAGTCGTACCTGACCCGCGAGCTGCCGGACCTCGTCTTCGCCGCCTACGCCGACCAGCTCGACCGCGACCGCGTCTCCATCACCGGCCACTCCATGGGCGGCCACGGCGCCCTGACCCTGTACCTCAAGTACCCGGCCGCCTACAAGTCCGTCTCCGCCTTTGCCCCCATCGCCAACCCCGTCAACTGCCCCTGGGGCCAAAAGGCATTTGCCGGCTACCTGGGCGACGCCGACAAGGACGCCTGGAAGAAACACGACGCCACCGAGCTGGTCAAGGGCTGGAAGAACGGCCCGCTTAATATGCTGGTCGACGTCGGCACCGGCGATAATTTTTACAAGCAGAAGCAGCTGCTGCCTGAGAACCTCGAGGCGGCCGTCAAGGAGGCCGGCCTGGAAGGGTTCACGCTCAGGTTCCAGGAGGGGTATGACCACTCGTATTTCTTCATGGCCAGCTTTAGCGATGACCATGTTGCGCATGCCGCCAAATTCTTGGCCGTCTGAGCCGATTGGAGAGGAAAAGAAGAGGGGGGGGGGGGAACGGAGAGGGCATCAAGATTTGCGAACTAGGTGCACATGAGGAACGGATTGCGTGGTGTTCCTTTCTGCAAGGTTGAAACATTCAGCGCTGAAAGCAACGAGCGAGAGTGGTATATTTAGGGTTGGAGCGGAACAACACACACACATACATGCACAAAAAAACAAAAAAAAAAAAAATCAAGCAAGACGTCCGCAGTAGTCCAAACCAGATAGCTCAAAAGAATGAACCCCAACCCCAATGTTCATATGCAGAGAACAAAAGATAGCAACATAGCAGCGAATGTCCCCCCAAAAAAAATGTCCTAAGCGCTCCCGAGACTCCTTCCTGCAGCCAGAGGAGACCTGAACTCCAAGTAACAGCCCCAAAGACCTTCCGAGTCTCTCTCTCACCCTCTGTGTCAGAAAGGCTTTATCTCTCCTCAGCTGGCTCTCCTCTCCTCAGGAACAAGCACCTCTCCGTTCGATTTAGTCTTTGCCTCGGCGTCTGCTTCCCTCTTGATACGCATATATGCCAGCTTCTCGAACCGCGACATGCCTCTCCACCAGTGCTGGCCCGCCTCATGTTCGCCAATGCGGTCCAGCAGCTCCGCTGTCTTGATCCGCACCTCCCTGTCCTTGTGAAAGAGGCCCAGGGCTAGGTAAAAGAGCCCCGCGTGGGACTCGGGTGCCACCGACAGGAAGAGGCAGATTTCGTCGTAGCTGTTGACAAACCGCGAGAAGGAGAGGTAGATCTCACGCGTCTGCGAGGCTGTCATGCGCTGCATACGGAGACGATCGTGCAGGTGGTGCAGGTCCAGACCCTTGAGTGGGCGGATGGTGTAGAGCTTGGCCATGTCCTGTATTCTGTTAGCCAACCTGTCCCATCCTCCCTGTTCGTTAACAAAGCCTAGGGAAGGCCTTACCTGGATGAAGCTGTAATAACTCCTAGTGTTTCTCCAGCCTTCTATCCTCGTCACGTTGCCAGCCAGCTCCTTCTGCTTCGATAGCTCATCCGGCCAGACATACCCGTGCCCGCTCAGGATCCCGTTCGTCCCGAACTTGGTCGGCCCGGTTCCAGGGGTTTCTTCTACGCCGTCATCGCCTCCAATGTACAGAGCGCTTGCGCCATACACACTCTCCTCAAACGCGGCCGCCACACGGGTAAACTTGGCAACCCAGTCTCGCCATTTGGCCCGTACCACTCGCTCGCCGTGACGAGCGGCAATGCTCTTCAAGACGTCTCCGATAAAGGCCTGGTCGCCTGTCAGATCCGGAGCGGATGAGGATGTCGAGAGGGGCACGTTGACGAGAGACGCTTGCCCTGGGCTTTGCTGTTGGAAATACATCTGCCCTTCGGTGATAGGTGCGGGCTCGACCTTGCTGCTGATCTTCACACGTCCAGACGGCAGGTCGCAGAGCACATCCCACCACTCGGGGTGCATCTCGAACGTTGGGTTCGTGACGCCAGCAATAAATCCAGGTACTTTGAGGAGGTCATCGATTTTGGTCAGGTCCGTGTACGGGAAGGCATATCGCGTGAAGCCCTTGAGCACGCCGCCGGATGCCAAGGCACATGCGCCCAGGACAGCTTCAGCAACTTCGCCAGAGGGCATGTTGTGGCCAAGGAAGATGACTCTCTTCTGCGTCAGGAGTGCGTTGGCGAGAACGATGATCGGGTGGGTAGATGGGCCGTTGGTGGTCAGGTGTGCGTGTGGCGGAAATGGTTGTGGTTGCTTGGTGTGCGGGTCTGAGAAGTTTTGGATGAGCTTGATGAGGGAGAAGTCGCCCACAGACTCGGGCATGACAGCCACAGGCACCTTGATCGGTATCGGTATGCCCTTGTACATGACCTTGGTCTCGAACTCGTGCGTGTCCCTGGGCACAGAGTACTGGCCCGTTCCTTCGAGATGGGCCTTCGTCCCAGCGCGAGATATCTGCGGTCGTTTCAGCGCGTCACGACTGCTATCCACAGACTGCTCTGCCCTGCCGGCTCCTCCCGTGTCCTTATTCTCTTCTATCCTCATCTGCACCATCTTCTCAAATTTCTCAACAAAGAGATCCTTGTTTTCACTTGATTGCAAGAGCTGTCTTTCCAGATAGCTCAACCTGGGCATCAGGGAAAGGTCCATGGCGTTGACCGCATCGTAGAGCATAGCCAGCGTTTCCGGCACCGGTGACTTGAAGTACTCTTCCAAAGCTAATAATAAGAGGGGCTGTGCGGCATGTCAGTGCTGGTTCCATAAAATGAGAAGGGCGATGATGTGCGGGAGATAGATCTCCAAGAGCATGCGGGACATCTTTCCCGAAAACACCCCAAATTGCCACTCACCTTGTAAATGTGAAGGAAAGGATGTCTCGTGCAGATGGCCATTGCCTTCACTATTGCTCCTCTTTTCACCGTCTTGTCCTGTTTCGTGTTGACCAGGTTCAAAACATAAACCAAGGGCGGTCCCTCGCCACCCTCGGCCTCGTTGTCTGTAGACTCATCGTCGTCGTCAAGGTCGTCGTCATCGTCGTCCCCCTCACTGTCTTCGCCGTCGTCCCCAGCCCCCTCAGGGATGATGCCCGCAGCTCTGTCCCTCCTCCTCTGCCGCCTTCGTCTCCTCTCTTCTTTTGCGCGCTTCTCTTGATCTTCCTCCTCTTGGCTTGTGTCCTTGTGCAGGAAAAATATTGTCCAATCCTGGTTCCTCATGTGCGCCTGGTCGGGCAACATAAGCTCTGCCAACATGTGTTCATCGCCCGTTATAGCCACTGGGTACTGGTGCTCCATGACCGGCCCCCGGTCAATATCAAAGGACGCAACCAAGATATACTCGACATGGTTCTCCGTCGACCCGCGTGGGTATTGTGATTTTAACTTGCGCCGAGAGTGCTTTTCCGAATTATAGCGTGGCATGTGCACCATGCTGCTGCCTGAGAGCGAGGAATGCTGCGACGAGATGCCCGTGCCCGTCGAAGGCGTCTTGGACTTGGAACTTGGATCCGAGGTTCGGTCGGGTTCGGAGGTCATGCCTTCCGCGAAGACGACCGGCGGTATGGGCGACCGCGATGGTCTCGAGGAGTGATGCGACATTTGAGATGCGGAGCGTGAAGAGGGAATAATGGAGGCCAGCGATGTCCTTCGCGTGTGCTCCAGTGTCGAGGAGCTCCCATTTGCCTGACCAGATCTCTGTGTATGGTAAGGCTGCGCCGTCTGCGCCGTGGCCATCTCTGTTCTCTCTTTCTTTGCAGTCGGCCGGGGCACAACGCAGCTGCTCGTGGGTTCGAGGACTGGGGTCGGCTAGTAGATGACCGGGCGAGGTTGTGTTTCTGGGGGGTATCGGAACCCTCGTTTCCTTTTATGAGGCAGGGGGGCGGAAGTGTAGTCTGAAAACTCAATTCTCGACGTGAGATGCTCTGAACGAATTCTGGTTCGCACAGTCCTCCTGGTAATATCACTTTGGCTCCGAGCAGTCGGACGGGACGAGAAGGGGACAATGTAGCCAAGACGAAACAATCCTGATAAAAGTCGTGAACTCCTCGGCGCGAAGGAGTCGAGGGTATCAATAGTCGCGATTCCTGCGCCGGTCGAGCGCAAACAGGATTGTCCTGAGATCGCTGGTGTGGTTTGCTGGTCTGAGGGGTAGCTGGTCCGAAGTAGGATTAGAATTGATGCGATTCGCTTCGTCAGGGCGGCGAGGCAGACGGTTGAGAGCCCAAGTTTGTCGAGAAGGAAACAAGACTTCAGACGAGCCGAGTTCACCATCCGTGGCGTTTTAGAATCAGGGCTCGGAGGGCCAACAGCCGAATCGAAGAGCAATTGTCAACGGGTTGTCTGCGCGGGGGCCAAAACTCGACGTTGCACTGGGTGTCAAGATTGGAAACGAAAACAGAAACAGAATGATAAACCCATAGAATAGGGCTGTCGAAGTCGTCGAAAGATCCGCTGAACGGTCTGGATGGTCTGGACGTTGCGCACTGAGGACAGTAACGGTCACGACATTGGGTTCGAGTCAATGCGTTGGAAGCTAACAAACCGAGACATGATCTGCAACTCGAAGAGAGAGAAGAGCCCGAATTCGAAAAAGACGGATGGGATGGGTGAATAGATAGATCAGATTGCTGAACGTCTTCCACTCCCACTTCCACTCTTACAGTACAACATTGTTCATGATCCACCGCAGGGAGGAGAGAGTGCTCTATTTCCCCCTCACACTGGGACAGTTTCGCAAAAAAGAGGGACGGACCCTTATCGATCTGCCACTCCACTCCTTCCCCCTGACAAGGATGCCGATTAAGCGTCGAATCAAGCCAGCGAGTTGCCTAGGTTCTCTGTATTGTAGGGGATGCTGGGGGGTTTGGGAAGGGTGGGTTGGAGCAGTGAGGTCTTTAATGGCCTGTAGAGGTACAAGCCTGACCCCTGACATGAGCCCCCCTTCATTAAGCCACCCCTCCCCATGAGACGGCCCATCCTGTGAAAGGAGTTGCTTGCAGCGCATTGCCCAAGCTTCCCGCCTAGGGACAAGGACTCCCACCTGTGCCCTGTGGGGTCGGTTGTAGCCGGTGTTGCTGGGTTAGCCCGCCTAGCTTGTTTACGCACCACGCCGTGACTGGAGTCGGTATCCCAGATCATCGCTCCCACTCCCAGCCACACAACCAAAGTTTCCGAATTCTACATCTGATCTACACAGACACCAAGAAGAACAAACAACAGTACTTTGCATTTCCCGAATAATCACGGGCCCTTTATCAAGTTACCTTAATGATTGACCTGAAAGCCCAACGATTTATTGGACGTTGACGACTAGCCCTGACCGCATGATGGTACGTGTAATCCATGATTCGTGATGGAGTCTTGCTCCACACACTACGACATAGCCAAGAGTGTAAGGCTAAAAGAACAATTTCAATATAAACAGGCTATGCCCGCTGGTCATATCAAGACCTCTTCCTTCGGAGGAGGAGGAGCAAGTCTTGGCTCCTCCCCACGCAGCTCACCCTTCCGCCGACCAGAATCACCCGCCTCGCCCTCTCCTCTGCGACAGTCCACGCCGAAAGCAAGTCAGGTGAACAGCCACTCGAGGTTCGCCTCCGGCGGCAGCTCGTCGACGCCGAGCGGAACCGCAGATAGCCTTACTCCACGAGGCCAAGCGGCGCGGCAGTCTTCAGAAGAAATGTACGGGTCACCAAGGGGCCAGCAGCGCCCTCCTCTTGTGTCAAATGCATCAGCGGCTTCTACGATGGGGCACGGGAATGCCCTGTCGCAGCTGCAGCCTGCGCAGGTGCGGACTCTGCGTGAGGGTTACCAGATACTGGACCGGGACAGTGATGGGTCCGTGAACAGGGAGGATGTCGCCGACATGCTGAACCAGCTTGGTATGCAGCCCCGCGCCACCGCACCAACATAACACCTCCAGCAGACCGCCGCTAACATTCTTACGACAGGACTACCCTCCACGGCATCAGATGTCTCCTCATTCTTCCCTCCCTCCGCCCCGCAGACCATCACGCTCGCCACGTTCCTCAACACCATCGCCACGAGCCTGGCCTCTCTGTCCCCAAGCTCGGAACTGCTGTCTGCATTCTCGGCCTTTGACAATGATGACAGCGGTCAGGTGGACTTGGCTGAACTGCGCGACGCTTTGTTGCATACGGCGCCGGAGCCCGGCGAGAGGACGCTCACAGCTGCGGAGATAGACCAGGTCATGTCTGGATTCTCTGGGAAAAGGGCATTTGGCGGCAAAGCGAAGGGAGCAGGCGCGGGCGGTTTTGGCAAGAGGGGAGAGGTTTTTAGATACCAGGAGTTCGTGACCTCGATTGCCGGTGGGAGTAATGGGAACGCCCCGGGCGAGGATGGGGACGAAGAGACGGAGGAATAAGGAGACGTGCGGGAAGGGAAAAGAAAGAAGAAGGGAAGAAAACGATACCATAGTTTATGATTGTAACTGATATTTGGCGAGCATGAGCATAAATATTCAAGGAGCGTGGAGAGTCTTCTGTAGCTGAGCCTATGCGTCCTGAACAGAGCCTGTGCCAGGCCGAGCAGGTGAGGAAGAACAAGACAAGCATGCTGCTATATCTCTCGAGACTAGGTTTTTCGAACGGTCCCATTGTGAAGTGTCATGAATTCGATGTCCTCGAACAGACGGTATATTGTAAAAGAGTTTCGATCTTCTTTCCTCACAGCATTTCGTCTTCGTCCCCTCAACATGTCCTCCAGAAGGATCGATAAATAGTACTGCAGTAGTTATAGTATCTCTGCCAAAAGGCTCTTCATATTCTATACATACCCTAGATCTTTCAACGGAATGTTACCATTTCTGGGATCTCCCCGGACCCACGAAACAACCAACGGGAATCCATGCCGTGTGTGCTATGTCCCCTGCATGGGCGCTTCGGTCCCGGCCGCGCTCTTCCTTTTAACTTTTCCGTTTGTAGGGGTGAGGGGAGGGGTTGGTTTGGGCAGAAACTTTGTTGATATGATATTGTCGATGCTAAAGTGATCAATGTTGAGGATACATGGTGGGAGACACTTTTTTTTTTTCAAGTCGGTAGTAATCGATTGAAAACAAGATAGGGACCCAAATCAATTACTATGACCACAACGTGGTCTGCGCATCATCACAGATGCAAGCACAGCCCCCAGATGCTAGGCAGTGGAGATTTTCTTGTTGACATGGGGCCTCTATTGGCGCCGATCGAAATGGAGGTGGTTGAAAAACTGCGGTGATGAACAGCGTGTTTAACCCAGTGGGCCACTCGGATGGTTGCACCATCTGGCAACAAGAACGCATAGAATGCACTGGAAGAAACCAATAGAGCAGGGGGGCTCGGAGTGATAGGCGCGTATCAAGGCGTTGCTGCTTACCTTAGGTTCTTCTACATGTTACTCTGGCTTCTCTCTTCACAGGGCGCAAGTCAGAAGGGACAGCTCGCCTCCCCCTCTCTTTACTTACTCGCTCGCTCGCTCTGTGTAGTGCCATTGATACGACCTCGGAGCTGTTCGCCCAGTAGCAGTGGCGATCGATAATCCTTAAGTCTGTCCTGGGGCCGTGCTTTTGTTGTTGTTATTGCTGCCGACATCCACAATATTTCCTGCTGTGTCCACTGCCGTACCAGCTTTCGTTTGCTTGTCGTCCACTGCGGAAAGCCTCCACCCCGACCAGCGCATACCCTGTGTGGCCACCATCAACAGCAAGCAGTACTCACGGACGGCCGAAAAAGAGTCAGTCACCAAGATATTTGTGACAGATCTGACAAGACAGCCGCAGCCCAGCCCTGCGGCCTGCGGGAACAGAGACAGGGGAGAAGCTATTGCGCCTCAATCTCAACGTTCAGCTGCCCAGCTGCGCTGCCCCCCCCCCCCCCCCGGCCTCTTCTCAGCGCCCACAATCGCCAAAAAGTCGGCGAAAAAGAGTGTGTGAGTGAGGGAAGGCTGAATGTGAGGACGGTGGACCGTTGAACTTTAACGGAACTCGGCCTGGAGTGAGTGGTCTACAACAACCTTTGCATATTGCATCTATACCTGCCATTACTGCAACCTCCTCCAAATAACCGACTACCACATTTTACTGAACACCTCTTTTGCCCCTCCAACAACGACGCGTGTCTTTTTAATACTTCAACACCTCACAAACGAATTTGTTTATTTTACTTATTTGTTTGTGTGTTTGTACCCCTGTGTGTGCTCACAAAACGAAGTACTCATACGAGCATCACGTTTCTCACACCGGGACAGAATTCAGCCTGTTTCACCCCCCAAAAAAGAAAGAGAGAAGAGAGGGAAAACGAGGCGAAGATTAGAGCATTGCTACGCGCTGCTGAGGGGACCTTTTATTTACGTTCTCACACAAACAGGCCTGAATTGTGGCTTACCAAGCTGTACCCTGTCGACCGGGCTACATATCTCCTAAGTGGCAACAAGAAAAAGAAGGGGGGGGGGAGAAGAAAAAAAGAAAAAGGTTGACCCCTCACTGCCAACAAGACACCTGCCAACCACAAATTCAGAATCAAGAGTCGACGACAACAAGATATACCAAGTGTCGAGCAGCCCTTTGTCGCGTCCAGCAACCTCAATAGTGCGCAGTGTTTGGTCGACTCATTCACTCACTGATTGTTGGTTCGTCGGGTGTACCATTTCGAGTCAGTCAAGGTCAAGGTCAATCCTTCACAGCTCAGTGCTATCTTTTTTTTTTTTTTTTCGGGGGAAAAAAAAAGAGAAGGATTCCCCGCTGGCCAGCACCGTCTGTACATTACTACGGATTACACTAGCGCCTGTTTGCCCACCCAAATTCGACTCAATGAAGTTCTTCAGCAGCAGCAAGAGGCAAACCAAAAAGTCCCACCCGGAGGAATCAAAGCTTCAGGACCACAACCTGCGCCGCGACCGCAGCCGGGACGACGACGACGACCTGCATTATCATTCGCATTCCGAGTCGACTCCCTCGACCAAATCGCCCTTGAAGTCCCTGCACAAGTCAAAGTCGGCCTCTGCCTCGCCCACAAAAAAGTCCGTTAGAGCCGCCTCGCCGGCTTCTCCCAACCTTGCCTATTCCTCTTCCTCCACCGCCACAGCCGCCGCGGCCGCTGCCGAGTCAAAACGCTCCTCCCGACGCTTCTCCAGAGTATCTTCCGACCTGGGCAAATCTTCCTCCTCTAGCCGGCGGAATAAGGTCGACCCCGACACTCACCCCCTCAACCTCCCACCCGACGAGATTAGGAGGCTCTCTGCCTTATCAGCCATGAGCGCGCGTGACTCCGTCGACAGGATGGACGTTGATCCTCCCAGCGCCGGCTCAGCGCCGGCCTCTCCCTCCCAGAGAAAACCCTCGCCACCAGCAGCAGAGCGGTCGCCTGCGCAGACACCTCCTCCGGCCACCAATGGAGCATCGTCGCCCAAGAAAGAGGACGCTCCCGCACCACCACCCCACACAAGCGACCCAAACAGCCCCCCTCCCACGCCGGCTGACGAGGCTGAGGTCTTCAAGACCCTGGGCAACAAATTTTTCAAGGAGAAGAACTACAAGCGGGCCATTGAAGAGTACACTCGAGGTACGCAACAAAAGGCCCACGGCAGGGGTGCTTCCCCTCCTCTCTTTTCATTGATAAGCTAACACAAAGACATTTGCAGCCGTCGAACTCCAGCCGGATTCGGCCACTTACCTGGGCAACAGGGCTGCAGCATATATGGCTGATGGTCGCTACGAGGCCGCTCTCGACGATTGCAAGAGAGCTGTCGATCTGGATTCCACCAACGCCAAGATCTTGCTGCGCCTCGCACGAATCTACACGAATCTTGGCCAGCCCGAGGAGGCCATGGTCACCTTCCAGCGCATCCAGCCCGCTCCTTCGGCCAAGGACATGCAGCAAGCTAAGGATATGCTGCAGTACATTGAGTCGGCCCGGCAGGGTCTGCAACAGGGATCTGGCCCCTCTATGGTGCTGCACGCCCTGGACATGGCCGAGAGGCTGCTCGGTCCTGGGGCGCGGAAACCGCGAAAGTGGCAGTTGATGCGCGGCGAGGCCTATCTGAAGATGGGCGGCGAGAATAATCTCGGCGAGGCCCAGAATGTTGCCACGCAGCTATTGAGGACAAACAGCCAGGACCCCGAGGCCCTGGTGCTGAGGGCCCGTGGGCTCTATGGGCAGGGCGACAACGACAAGGCCATGCAGGTGCTCCGTATGGCTATCGACTGTGACCCTGACTTCAGAGACGCCATCAAGTGGCTGAAGGTGATCAGGAACCTGAACAAGCTGAAGGAGGAGGGCAACACCAACTACAAGTCCGGACGGTGGCAAGAGGCCATCGACAAGTACACGGAGGCCCTCGCCGTGGATCCCGCAAACAAGTCAACCAACTCCAAGATCCTGCAGAACCGTGCCCTCTGCTACAACAAGCTCAAGGACTACGAAAAGGCTATTGGGGACTGTGACGAGGCGCTCCGGTTGGACCCCGCCTATTCCAAGGCCCGCAAGACCAAGGCGAACGCCCTGGGCGGTGCCGAAAGGTGGGAGGATGCGGTGCGGGAGTGGAAGGCGATTGTCGAGGCCGACCCATCCGATACTGCAGCCCAGAGGGAGGCCCGCAAGGCCGAACTGGAGCACAAGAAGAGTCAGCGCAAGGACTACTACAAGATTCTCGGCGTCTCCAAGGATGCTGATGACGCCACAATCAAGAAGGCATACAGGAAGATGGCCATCCAGCACCACCCCGACAAGAATCCCGGCAACGCCGAGGCGGAAGCCAAGTTCAAGGACATTAGCGAGGCCTACGAGACGTTGAGTGACCCTCAGTAAGTTTTGCCAGCCCGGCAGTACAAGTCTCTCCCATTGGTTTGATCACTAGCTAACAGCCGACGCAGGAAACGCGCTCGATACGACGCTGGTGATGACATTGATATGTCCGACATGTTTGGAGGCGGAGGTGGAGGCGGATTCGGCGGCGCTCAGGGCGTGCCTCTCGACCCAGAGATCCTTTCCCAGCTCTTCGGCCAGTCCGGCGGCTTTGGTGGCGGTGGCGGAGGCTTCGGTGGCGGCGGCGGCTTTCCCGGTGGTGGCTTCTCCTTCCCCCAGGGCGGCGGTCGATCACGGGGCTACCCAGGCGGCTTTGGTGGAGCACAAGGCGGTTTCCATTTCTCTTGACATGGGGACGAGGACGATGGCGACGATGGCGACGATGGCGACGATGAGAGTGGATCAGCCTGCTCCGACGACGAGGAGCAGGGTCAGCAACAGAGCAGTAGATGTGAGAAAGATCAAGATGAAGAACAAGACGGCGGATACTGTCGAAATGCGGCATCGTGGTGGCATGCCCAGGTGGACGCATCTGTCAAAGCGCGCGACAGGCAGCTCCAACAGCTTCGCCAGATCGGCATGGCCGTCCTCGCCTCCATCGTCCTCCTTCCCTTGCAGACATTGGTACCGCTACTGTTGGTCCTCGGCGCGGCGTATCCGTTGAGGTGTATCATGCAAAGATATAGGGCAACCTGATGATGTTTATCCAGCATAGAAAAGAACAAAAGCGGGAGCATTTTTCCAAAGAGACAACGGGGCAGCAGGAGACAGGAGGAGCCATGCTCTGGCCTGGGTCTACTGTCCACCAGGTATAGACGGGTTTGGTATCATTTCTCCTTTATTTTTTTTTTTTTGTTTCTTGAACATTGCATGGGGAAGGGGCTCTGGCGTCAGGAGAAAACTGCTGGGGACGAAGAGCGGTGTTTCACTCATGGAGCATGAAGATATTCAGAGACCGCCAAGGACAAGGGACGGCCAGTGTCTCTTTTGTTCCTCCTCCGCTTGCTCGTGTTCTCATTTGCATCTACTTGTTCAGACCTGTTTAGCTACTCTACCATGTGGCTATTTGTGTTGGGGCCATACAGATAGAAGAGAGCCCCTGAGCTCAATACCAAGTGAAAAGGGAAGAAAAAAAAGTCTGTTACTTGTACACGTGTGTCTTTTGATGGTGATAAGAAAACGAAAATCAATACTCTTTGTTCATTCTTTCCCTCCCCTTGGATCACCCCGCCACCAACACCAATATTTTTTTCTCCCTATTTCGACCTGTAGGGAGCCTAGTGTTGATCTTGCCATTGTCCTTACCAAAGGTGCAGTGAGGATGAGGCTGACTATTAGACATTCCAGTCCTAAATTAGTGACGCAGCCGGGGGTCAGCACAACTGGGGAGGGGTGCCTATATTAGTGGGGAGAAGGACGGCGGCGGCTCTTTTGGGCCCCAGACCTTTTCTGGGTTGTTCCTTAGCGGGAAAGTGGCCCATGTGTTCACTTCCGGGGTCGCAACTGGTACTTGTGGCTTAGTGCTTGGGATGACTGACCCCTGCCCAAAATTTCCAGGCCACCTGGCATCCGGTTCAACAACCTCTAGGAAGCTTAAACTGGCCCTTGCATATCGCCGTTGTTGTCGTCCTCGAGTTCAGCGTCAAAGGCTCAGCCAAACCCTTCTCTCCTGGGTGAACCTCACCGTTATCTAGTATTTCCCATAGGACCAAGTCCTAGCCGACATCCCGAGGACGCAGGTCGCCGATTTTGTTTCTGTCTCCTTGCGTGTTCCGCCGCGCGCCGCCCGGTCTCGCAGAAACGTCGCTCATTTTTTTTGGTTCCTCTTTGGTATCGACCAGACAGACGACCTGAACCCTCCTTACGACTTTGTTGATTCCCTTTACCTTCTCTTTTTCTCCCTCGAAACCTTGGCAATAGCCTGCATTATCGCCACATGTCCTCCTGCTCATCATGAGTTCCGACTACACATACGGTGCGTAAACCCCCCCCCCCCCCCAATGGCTCGACCAGCGAGCGCTTTGGAGAGGAGGAGGGCACTCAGTTCTGTTGCTGACCAAGTTTCCATATTTTGAAGACGCCGAGGGCAACCTCTGGCCTTTCTTTGCATTCACAGTCACGACGATCGCGACGCTCCCTCTGACCTACGTCCTGACCAACAGCTGGTTCAGCGATCCGTCCAAACAGTTCACAAGGATCCAGTCCGACTACAGGCCCAAACATGCCGACCTCGTTGATGTACAACGCTCCAGGGACCGGAAGCAGAGCCGACGCCCGGTTCTGACTCTCTTTGTGATCCTGGGCTGGGCTATCATGGTGTACACGGCGTACCTGATTTACTACGTGGAGGTGCCGGTGGAGAAGCGGATCTGGAACCCGTATGATATACTGGGCATCTCTGAGGTACGCGCCGCCTACTTTCTTATGGGGAATTTCTGACTGCTCCCACCTGATTTTCCCAACTGAATGCTGACCCGTGGCTGCTGCTGCTGCCGCTGCCGCCGTGTTTAGTCCGCTACCGAGAAAGTCATCAAGCGCACCTACAAGAAGCTGTCGCTCAAGTTCCACCCCGACAAGATCAGGCCCGACGCATCCAAGAACGAGACAATCGAGTCGCTAAACGACCGCTACGTGGACATCTCCAAGGCCTATCAGGCGTTGACGGACGAGGAGGTGCGCAACAACTATCTCCTCTACGGTCACCCAGACGGACGTCAGGGTACGCAGATCGGCATCGCCTTGCCCAAGCTCATGATCTCGGACGGCAACGGCAAATATGTCGTGCTCGTTTACTTCCTGCTGTTCGGTGTTCTGCTGCCCTACCTGGTCGGTTCGTGGTGGTACGGTACCCAGGCTCGCTCCAAGGAGGGTGTCTTGGTGGAGAGCGCCAACAGCCTGTTCAAGGAGTACAAGCAGGACGCCGACGTCGGCGGCGTCATCACGGCGCTTAGCACTGGCAAGGAGTTCGCCGAGGTGCTCAAGGGCGACAAGGCCGATGCGGGACTGTCGAAGCTCGAGTCGCGTATACTAGCGCCCGGTGAGGTGCAGCCTTTCGCTGGCGGCCTCTCGGTCAAGGACAAGGAGAAGCTGGAGGACCTCGACAATGGCGTGCGGAGGAAGACGCTCGCCCTGCTATGGGCCTACCTCGGCCGCGTTGAGCTGGACGATGCGACGCTGGAGAAGCAGAAGTTTGAGGTTGCTCCCATCGCTGAGTCCCTGATCAAGTCTTTTAACGCCATCACAACCGCGTACCAGATCACTGCTCCTATCCTCGCCTCCTTCCACGCCGGCCAGCGGATCATCCAGGCCTTGTCTCCCCAGGCGTCTCCTCTGCTCCAGCTCCCGTACCTCACTCCGGCTATAGCCAAGGCTATCGATGGTGACTCCAAGGTGCCCACCACGGTGCAGAAGCTCATGGACCAGCCAGATGCGCAGCGGCGAAGGCTTGCTGTCGGGAAAGATCTCCTCACCGAGGAGCAGTACCAGGCAGCGGTCAGCGTGGCGAAGCAGCTTCCTTACTTCCGTGTCGCAAAGGCCTTCTTCAAGGTGCAGGGCGAGCGCTTCATTATCCCCTCGTCTCTGGTCCAGCTCGTCGTCAAAGGTCGTATCATCCCGCCTGGTTCTGAGAATGTGCCCGAGGTAAATGCGCTCGACCTCGTCGATGTGGATCCCGCTGAAGACGACCTGGACGCCATCCTTGGACGCAAGACGCGGACCATCAAGGGAGACGACGGCAAGCCGGTCACAGTCGGAGATGATAAGCCCATCTTGCCTCCGCTCGCCTTCGCCCCTTACTTTGGCCGCGAGCACTCTCCTCGGTGGCACGTGTTCCTGTCCGACTCGAAGCAAGGCAAGATGGCTGTGCCGCCATTCACGTTTCACACATTCGACCAGCCCATCTTTGAGGAAGACGGCAAGACGCCCACGTACAACATGGTCATGTTCAAGGCACAGTTCGCCGCGCCGCCCAGCCCCGGTCACTACACCTTTGTCATGCACGTCGTGTGCGATAGCTATGTTGGCTTTGATACCAAGATGGAGGTCACCCTGGTAGTGGAGGACGCTGCTAAAGCGGCTAAGATGCAGGAGGAGGATGAAATTAGCGAGCCTGACGAGGGTAAGTTCTGTTTGATTGTTATTCTTCAATACTAGCGTATGTCACATGATGAAGCTGGGGAAACTAACTCGATACAGATTCGATAGCCGGCATTATGAACGCAGCCAAGGGCAACGCACCACCACCGCCCAAGAGAAAGCAGGCTCCTGCAAAGAAAGATGACTCGGAAGAAGAGAGCGGCACGGAGGAGGAAGAGGATGATACAAGCGCTACTAATACCGACACAGAGCCGGAGGACTGAAGCAGGGGATTTGGCGACAATGGAGTCTAGGGGGTTTTTGATCAGAGACCTTTATTACGTACATAGTGCGAGGAAGGGCTGGAAAGGGACACTGCGAAGCGCACTGCGGAAGTGCACATAAGTGTTAGAAACTCATTATAAAATAAAATAAGAACGAAGAAAAAAATCAACCCTTCGGCATATCTAGGCATATCTAGATCTGCATGTTGATTAGAATTGAAACGGACACACAGAAACACGAGGCGCATCTTTTATGATACGTTGACGCCAATTTCGATACCGATGTCTCTTGGGTCCCGCTTGTCTTCTGGTCTATCTACTTCCTACACAAATGATGAGCCGTTCTCTACCTATGTCCACAAAACATTTACCTATGTATATCTATACATGCGCTTTTATGTTTTGTACAGTCTAATCAGTACTGCGCCCTGCACTGTTGTCATTACCCAACCGTATAAGCGTCCTCGGATCCACCCCCCACCGTTGTAGGTAAGCGGCAGACGTTTGAGCAAGTCCAAACATTATTGGTCAGCCGAAGCCACCAGACTTCCTACACCGTCTTCTTGCTCTTCCCACCAGGCCCCCACTCCTCCTTGATGAAATCCGCACACCTCTCCCCGACCATGATGGTAGGCAACATTGTGTGCGAGCTGGGCATGCGCGGAAACACGCTCGTGTCAGCTACGCGCAGGTTGCGCACCCCGTGCACGCGCAGGTGCTGGTCGACAACGCCCGACTGCGCGTCTTGCGAGATGGCGCAGGTACAGGATGTATGAAGGCTTGTGGTGGCTACTGTACGGATGTAGTCGTCGATCTCGTCGTCTGTGACTGTCGCCCACGTGCGGCCGTCGGTCTTAGTTGTGGCCGCCGTCACTGAGCTGGGGGAATCATCATTGTCGAGAAGAGGCATCTTCTCGGCTGCAGACGCGCCGCTGGTGAGGCTCTCGGCGATGGGAACCCTGTGCATCTGCGGGGGGAGCGTCCACTCTGGGTCATTCCTCGTCAGCTCGAACTCGGCAAGACGGTCTGGTCTGTTCCCCGGCGCAAAGGCCAGCGGCGTAGGATATGGGTATCCCGAGTTCTGAAACGCCTCGGCCAGGCGCATGGCGAAGCGGACAGCTTTACGGACGAGTGGGAAATCCCGCTCGTCACGCAGCATGGGGTGAGTGACTTTGGGCAGCGTCAGCGGGTCAGCGTCAGCGAGCTCGACGCGGCCCTTGGAGAAGGGCTGGACGAGGCAGGCGTAGAAGGTGAGGAAGGGCTCATAAATGGGCCGCTTGAAGCAATTGCAGGGCATGATCATGATCTCGATGTCCGGAACGTTGCGCACCGCGGTGACATCCATGTTGTCCTCGTTGGAGTCCGGATCACGCGCTGTCACCGTCATGGTCGCGTTGTCGAGGGCGCCACTGCGCACGAAGATGGTGTTGACGTTGGAGCCGTGACGCAGGAGACCTACGCCAAGGAGGAGCCAGAGCAGCATGTGCCACAGGCCGTAGAGCGCCGTTGTCAACAGGTGGACGGATTCCTTGAGGGGCACGTCGAGCTGCACGGGGATGGCGTAGTGGTCAGCCAGGGATGCGCCGACCTGGGGCAGGTCCCGGACCACGGGGATGCTGTGCTGCTCGAGCTGCTGTTTCGGGCCCAGACCGCTGAGCATCAGCACCTGTGGCGTGATAAGCCCACCACAGCAGACGATCACCTCGCGTCTTGCCTTCACATAGACGTCTCCGCTCTTGGTTCCTCCACCTCTCCCTGGACCTGCTCTCTTCACAGGGCGCAGGTAGACGCCCCGGACGACACCTGCGTCGCCGTCCACATCTAGGCGCGAGGCCACCGTCCCTGTGCAGACGGTCAGGTGGCCACGTCGCTCAAGGGCGATCTTCTTATTGAGATAGGCATGGTAGGCGGTCCTCCTGCGCGCAGCACTGTCTATCGCCAGATCGGCGCGGTAGAAGCCCATGGCGGGTGCTGAGGGGTCATTGACGTCGTTTACCAGGGGCAGCCCCACAGCCTGTGCAGCTTTCTCGAGACTTTACGAATGTGAAAAGTAAGCAAGGGGATAACGAACGAAGATGGGGTATGTGCGCAAAACAAAACTTACTATTTTCCCCATTCGAATTGCACATCAAACTGCCTGCACTCGATCGGGCCTGTGGACATTGTAATGACCTGTCATCAGTCTTCCAATCTTCTTCTTCCTTCCCTGAGTCTCTTCATGCCCCAAACACAGAGCTACTCACCTTCATGCCCTCTGGCCTTCGAGTTCGGGTGTGCAACAGCGTTCTCGATCTTTCGAAAATACGGCTCCACATGCTCCCATGACCACTCGTCGAGCCCCTCGTCGGCCCAGGAGGTATAGTCAGCAGGCGGCCCGCGGGTCAGGATCATGGCGTTGAGGCGCGAGGCACCACCGAGCCCACGAGCGGTCCAGAGCCTCGCCCTGTAGTCGTTGGCGTTGGGGATGGGCTCAGTGAAGTGGTCGTCCACGACCTGTCTGCTCTGGCCATCCAAGATCGCCTGGCTGGGGAGCGGAATGCGCGAGAGAAGGATGTCGCCCACTCGGCCCCTCTCGACAACCAACACCGAGACGCTGGGGTCTTCTGAGAGGCGGGATGCTACCACACATCCTCCTGTGCCGCCTGTGTTGATGTTGAAGAAGGTTTGTTTGTTAGCGAGAGGAGAGGTAGATTTCGAGAGACACGCCCAAGTGTATGGTTTTTCCTGTTGGGGTTATGGAAAATTAAAAATAGAATAAAAAAACTCACCTCCGACGACGATGTAGTCGTACGTGTTCCCATCCAGCTTTGCAGCATCCACCTCGGGATAAGAGGACAGGAAGGAGAACATGGCCGAGGTTCTTTCCTTTTCCACGCTGCAAACAGGTACTCAACGCAGCGGCCACTCGATAGAAACACGAGTTGGAGAAGGGAAGAGGAAAGGAAAGAGTAAATGAGGGACCCACTGTCTTTTTTGCGGGAGTCGTGATGGCCCTATCTACTTATGTATGGGTCGCCGAGGTCGTTTATGTACTTAAGGTTTAGCGTGAGCTCCTCTTTCCAACGTACAATTAAAGTACAACGACACAGAACCGGCCGCGATGTTTGATGGTAAGAAAGAGATTAATTACAATCCGTTGGATTTAGCACTTATTGTAAACCTTGTCACCACGCCGCACACTACAGGCAGTCTGACCCACCTTTGTCTGGCTTCAAGCTTATATCTTTATAATGTGACTTTCTCTCTCTCTCTCTTTTCTCTCATAAGACAACAGATATGTCAACCAAGTTGTCATTTTCAATTACCGATACTTTTAAGGATATTTTTTATTACGAAAAATGATAATGAGACAATGTCTTCATAAATTTGTTTTCACAAAGCAATGTTGGGCAGGAGAAATATGTCAAAGTGAAGTTCGATATTAAAATTAATTAATCCAAACATTTATACATTGGCCTTTTGTTATAGATGTTAAGGTCTGAATATATGCAGCAGATCCATCAATTACCTATAATGACTACTAATCAAACCGATGCCTACCACTCGCTATACTACTTGCCTCATCATCCCCCGAGTCCACACTATCCAAATCCCGATCCAAATGCGCCCCGATTTCATAAGACCGTCCAAAACAAGCGTTGTACCGCCTGAAGGCTGTCTCGATCAACAGCCCAACCTCCTTCCTATCCCGCCCAATCACCCCCAGAGCCAGCAAGGACTCCGTCTCCTCGATCCACGCCTTGAGCTGGCGGAAGTCGGCCTCACTCTTGCCCAGATTTTCCGGCAACGCCTTGCCCTTGATGAGCGTCAACACACCAGCAATGGCCGTGTTCACCGCTCCCAGCACGGTGACCGTCTTGTAGAAGTCGTCCTCCCGCAGCCCAAGGCACGTCAGCGTGGCGCCCACCACGATCTGCATACCGTGGCAGCCCCAGACCAGCCCGCTGACGGTATGGTGCAGGAGCTGTCTCCGCCGCTGCTCCCGGACGACGGTGCGGTAGATGCCCGTGGCTGTCCTTGCCCGGCCCTGCTCGAGGGTGCTGTGGTCCTCCGCCGAGGAGGCCTCGCTGTTGATGCCCACCGCCCGACGAAACATGAGGAGGTGCTCGTCGTTGTTGCCGCGTGCTGGGCCGCCCAGCGGATCAGACCAGAGTGCCCCGTAGCTCAGACCGGAGTTGGTCCTCTCGGGTCCAGCAGCATGGTCCTCTTTGGAGTCTGTGCTGCTCATACTTGGTCGGTTGATGTCATGACTATTGCTGGACCCGTTGTGTTGTAAGAGGGGCGTCGAGTCAGACGACAGATGTAATATATTCGTCCACATAGACATGTTGTATCGTGTGAGAGGATTTGAAGAGGGAAAGAGAAAGAAAGGAAATTCGAATAGTCTACTACAAGACTTGACCGACTCCAATGGTGGTGATGAATTGAAATTCAGTGCTGCGTTCGATTGAAGAGGTAATTAATTATTTGGCGCTGACGCTGGGGTTTTCTTTGGAAACTTGAAAACAACTTTGGAGATTTGGTACTGCTGAGAAAAGCCTGCCAAAAAAAAAAAAAAAGAGAGAAACTTAGCGAGAACATATCTTTATACTTTGTTTAATTATCTCGTGGCATCTTTCAAACAGGTGCCATATACCGTGTGAGCCCATTTCTGGCGATGAAGGCCTCGAACCTCGTGAGGCGTATGGCGCATCGTGACCATCAGGTACGGTGGTCAGCCGCCGCGGCCCGTCTGACTCGATGCCAAACCACCTGGTTGGCCGGCCAGGCACCAAACGTCTAAAGTGATTTGATCGCATGCCGCGCAGCCTATTGAGGTATGGCAGCGGATGACTCGCCCACTTCCCTTCCAGTTCGAGAACCACAGGTCGTGTCTCGGATGCCTACCCTTTCGTCGTGGGGGGGGGGGAGGGAACTGCCATGGCACAGGCGCCAGGGGTCACACTTTGGCGCTCGGGCTTCCGACATTATTGTCGGCTGACATGTGTCCAGACTTGTCTGTAATTTCTCTTCTCACTGTTTACAGTTCATTCAACTTACTGAAGTCACGGGTGGAAAAGAAGAGAGGGCTACAAAAAGGGGGGGGGGGGGAGAGAATTCATGTCTGTTCATTTTCCGAAACGGCATGCATGAAATAGTCAAGGGCTAGAGCTAAAACATACACACATTTCCAAGAGGGGAATGAAGAAAACAAAATAAGACGAAAAGAGAAATTCCTTGTTGGAGAAGTAGAAAAGGCTGCTGTAACTGAATAGATCCAAATAGCAAAAGAAGAAACCAACGCGATCCCGACAAGATTCGAACTCGCAATCTTCAGAGGTGGCCTGCTACAACCGAAATCTGACGCCTTACCATTAGGCCACAGGACCAATGACAAGAGTTCTTATCACTTTATCCATATCCCAAAGGTAGAGGCCAACTACAGACTGGAAGATGACATCTCGTGAACTCTCACCATCCCCTCCTGACATCATAACGATATCGTCTTTCAACATTTCATCTATAAGACATCTATAAGAATTCCAAAACGAAACAAACATTAGGCGCATCAATAGACCGTTTAATTCGTGAGTTCATTCATTGACTAAATTACTATAAATAATAGCAGCAAGCCACTTGCGTTAGTCGGGAGCCCTAGTAGTCAAAAGAGAAGACAAGACAATTAGTAGTTGTTATCCGACGAGCCCAAGCCGGAAGCCTCCTCCCGCTTCTCGCGGCCCTTGTGCTCCAGGCCCTGGTTGTTCAGCTTGTCGCCAACCTTCTCCATCAGCTTGCCCAGCGTGCTGTCCTTGCCACCACTGCCGCCGCCCGTAGCGCCACCGGCGCCGCCACTGCCGTAATTGTCGCTGCCGGTGTTGCCGGAGCCGTAGCCACCACTCTGGTTGCCACTGCTGCCGTACGAGTCAGAACCGAGACCTCCCTGGTTAGAGGTGCCATAGCTGTCAGAGCCGCCCAGACCGCCACCGGTGCGGCCTCCGGAGCTGCCAAAGTCGTCACCACCTACGCCCCCCTGGGTGCGACCCCCGGAGCTGCCAAAGTCGTCGCCACCTAAGCCACCCTGGGAGCGGCCCGAGCTGCCAAAGGTGTCACCACCAGTGTTGCCGGAGCCGAACTCATCTCCGCGCCCGCCGGAGCTGCCAAACTTCTCGCGCCCGGTCGAGCCGATGTTGCTGCCGACCTCGCCGCCAGAGGCAAAGTTGCCGCCCCCTGCACCGCCAGAGCTGAAGTCGCCCGCACCCTGGCCGCCGGAGCCGTAGTTGTCACGGCCTGAGGACAGCGAGTCGCTGCCGAGGTTGTTGCCCGTGGATCCCTGCTCGTAGCTATCGTTGCCTGATCCAAAGTTGTCACCGCGGCGGCCCGAGCCCTGAAAGAAGAAGAAGGAAGGTCAGCATGATTGGGTTGCACTGGCCGCGGACGACAAGGTCAGGTAGTAGTAGAGAGAAAGGTGATGAAGGATATCATCCTTACAAGGCTCGAGTCGTTGCCGCCGTAGTTAGACTGTCATGAAGTCAGTATGGCTATGGGGGATGAAGAGAACAACAATTGATAGGGGTGGATGCTTACATCGTCGTTGCCACCGAAAGACATGGTAACAGATTTGTGGTAGGGGGTGTTTTTTTTTTTTGGGGGGGGGATGTTGATATGAATGTGGTGGAGAGTAGAAGTAGTTGAGGCACACAAACCAGACTCACTCTTCGGCATCAAGGCAAGCGTCGAATGTATATATATATATATATATATATATATATATATATACAACACTACACATTGCATCGTGCCCTTTCTCCCTTCGACCCCCTCTCCATGAGAGCTACGTCACCGGAGGCCCCCTCCTTTCTACTAGAGTAGTAACATCTCGTCAACATATGTGGGATGCAGACGTGCACTAAGCTAGGAGAGGTTTGAAGCCTGTTTCTTCAGCCTAAGGGATGCCGGCAGCGAACTATAGCCTTGCTTCTTGTGGTGCACGGGCAAGGAGGCTGGTGTGTGATTTGATGGTCCGATCCAAGGCCGTCTGGTACGTAGTACCTGTTCAAGTGTCCTCGTCCCCGTAAATCCAGGCTGTGCTTTGCGTGCGTCGGTACATTTCGTCATGTCATGTGTTGTGTGTTGCGTTGCAGGGTGTATGTATCTGGAATGTATAGGAACAAAGGAACCAAAAACAGGTATATAGGATCAGAGAGGAACAAGGCTCCTCCTCCACCCCAGTACGTCGGGCCACAAAAAGGCAACACCACTAGCCGCAACATCACACAAAGACTATCGCCATCCAGATCGTAGCCAACTTTTCCCCAAACGGAACAGGCGTCGTCTCATAGTGGAAGTCAGCGGCGCACGGCACCACATAAGAGTCCGGAAGGAAGGACATGGCGTCATTGGACATGTCAAAGATCGAGATGGAATGGTCGGTTGGCAGAGCTCTCCAAGAATTGGCTTCCTCCCGAGGTAGTGGTTGACTGCATAGCATAGCTGCCGCCAGTGTAGAGCATTGATTGATGTTCTGGGCCAGCCTTGGCCAGCTTTTGCACATGTTCCATGACGGCTTAGGGTGAGCACGTGCTAGGCTACCCCTGCTCACGCCTCTCTCTTTCCTGCTAAGCTCTCCCTTGCCAAGTTTTCCAGGTGCTGCCGAATGTAGTTTGTTCATAGTAGTGTTGCAGTGCTGCTTTTAGTGCTGTCAGCAGCCTCCAATAGTGGTTTGGGGGCGCTAGCTCGGCCGTTGGCGCTGGTGGTGCCTTTTGGCATTACGGCCACTTTTCAAGACGTTGCCCATTGTACCCCGCGTGCCCGCGTCTCGCCACGATTTCGTCAATGGCGCCTTCGAGATTAAAGGAACGACGATGAGCTTCTTAGGGGGGTTTTGCTGAAACCTGGCTCTGGTATTAGGCCACACACGTCATTCGAGCTTGGGGCACGAATCAAAGCATGGCCTGCGGCGGAATGTGTCTCATTGGCGTGGTTCGCACCAAAAAAGCAAAGGTTGTCGGTACCGGGCAAATCAGAGCGACACGAATGGCTTGGCCGTCGTACAGCAGCCAAGATTTGATATTCCCGCTTCTCGTTATTCCGTGAGAAGGAGGTAGATTACTAGCCCCCGTTGGAGATGCTCTTGCGCGTCTCACAACTTGCTCGAGCCGCCCCCGTCACCAAGGGCGCCGCTCATCATGAACATATCCTGCTGCGCCGTTCTCCTTTCTTCAGGGCCGAAGAGCACCAGCTCCCGACCGCCCTTAGTGCCCCACCAAGCCACGCTGATGGCAGCCCTCTCCACATCCATCTCCCCGTTTCCCAATATCTCCCAGAATCTATGTTTGGCAGCCTCTCGCATGGATGGATCCGAGATCTCATGTAGTGCCCTACCGATGGCGTTCATCCATTCCTCCACAATGGGTGGCGGCAGGAAAGGGAGCGCATCGATCAGTGTAAGGACCAGTGCACCCTGTTCAGACATTGGTTGAGGTGCGGCATGGCTGTGATCATGTGTCGCCGGTGATAGCAACCCCTGGCCGGCGGATGGGATGCGAAACCGGACCATTTCTAATAGTGTCTCGCCGAGTTCTGGCCTCGTTCCTGACACAGGGAATGGAGGCGAAAGGATCTGCATGAGGGTGCTAAAGGCGAGTCGAAACTGACGGGGGGAGATGTGTGACGGGAAGGACTCAAGGAGGGCTTCGGCGTAAAACGGGGCCATCTTGACGGCGATGGGCCCGTTCTGAGGACATGAGAGGACAGAGAGGATGGCGGCATGGGCTGCTTCAAAGAGCTCGGTCATGCGCTGTGACTGTATTGCCGTGCGGGAGAGGTATGCTGTGGCCGGCTGAACGATGAGGCTCTCGCAGGCCTCTGGTGATATGTTGAGAGGGAGGTGTTCGGCCGTGTTCAGGTAGAAGAGGTCCAACGTTCTCTGGAGGGCATGTGTCGGTATGGGACCTGTGCTTATCATGGGCACTGTCTCCCTCAGGAAGGCGACCGCGGGAGCCGCATACCTCGCAAGAATGTCAATAGACGTGAGATATGAGAAGGTATACACCTGGAAGCTGTCGTTCCCTCTTGAAGAGATGAAGTAGAGGTTTCGGTAGATGTGCAGCGTCTTTGCTGCCACGACAGGAGCCATGGCATCGTGTCTCAGGTGAGGGTCCAGAAGACCCCTGGCTGTCACGCCTCGCAAGATGGCCACGGCTGCGAAGAGGATGTTTGTGAGAAATCGCCATATAGCCGGCCAGGGAACTTGAAAAGTGGCCTCCATGAGACACAACGCCTCCTCGTCAGAGGCCTCGATCTCGGCGAGTCTCGTGTGTCGCCACTGGTCGAGTAACGTCGCAGTGAAGCTCACGAGGTCGTCCTGGGCCTGTAAGACCAGGCGATGGTCCCTCGCTTTCTCGACAGCAAACGCAATCAATTGGGACAAAGGACCGGCTGTCTCCACCAGGGGCTTCGACGTGAGCCTTTGTAACGCCATGAACGAGCCAGACGTCTCAGGCCACTCGAGCCTTGAGCCAATCTGCCTGATATCTGTTCCAATCACCCCAAGAAACATTCCTCCTTGAAACCCGTCTCTTCCGACCAGAGCTTGGAGAGCCACAGGCAGAAGCGCATCGCAATCGACATCCAACCTGGCCTGTTCTGACATCAACGGGAAGGCCCAATTCAGAGCCAACACAACCGCTGGTCTCGCGACAGGCGGTTCTCTGTCCAAACTCCGCAGGGAAAGATTCGCGGCGGTGACAACAGCACCTTCAAGAGTCCTCCTCATAGATCCCGACAAGCTCCGCCTGTCGTTCCCCTCGAAGCCCATCAGTATCCCCACCAGTACCAGCAGGTGCTGCCACCGGCTGCTCCTCTCATCTGCACCCTTGACCACCGCTCTGGCCCACGCCTCGCTGGTCAGCCCGCCGCCCACAGGCGGGCTCGACGTGATGCCGAACCCTAGTGCAGTGCGCTTATCCGCGTTATCGAGCTCGTTGTGCCGCACGTGGATCGCGGCCGTGTTGAACACGGAGAGCACGCGCAGGCAGGTCTCGCGGAGGGGGTCGGCGTGCGGAGAGGGAGGATGGTGCCATATCGCGGGCGCGGTGAGGAACTGGGATGTCAGGAGGGTCAGGTTGAGAGGGTTGGTCAGCTCGGTGAGGAGGGTGAGGGTCGTGCCGAAGAGACGGTCGGTATGGCGCTCATCGCGAATGGACTGGTAGTCGGCGAGGACTTGGTTGAGGAGACGGTCGGCCGGCATCGTGGGGCGGCGTAGAAAGGAGATTTTGCTATGTCATCTGAATGTGCTGCTCAGATCTGTAAATCATAGCATCTTCCTACATGCGGCATGTGAAATGAACCTGCAAAAGTATGCATGCGCTGTGCTGTCGAGATGTTAAATGTTGAAGTTTGGTCACCCTGTGGATCGGAGTGCTAAAGCGCTTGTACCACAGCGTACCTACCCTTGTGCTCAAAGCATAAATTGCCGAGGCATAGCGCTGACACGCTCGAGCCCTGACCTCATTCCCATGTGTTCGCGATCGCCAATCTCCCGCCCCAACTACCACATGAAAAGGAGACAACATCGATTTCGACATTCTCAATGCCTGACTCAACGTAAGTCACAACAATGTATATTAAAATCGATATTTGTCTATATCATCATAGCTGACCAATATATGAGGGGTTAGCCATCGAGTGGTCTACCCACCAGCGGACTACAGTCCTCCTGGATGGCCGTCCCTTTTCTGGCCTCCGCTGGAGGACCGCTACGTCCTGTACCGCCTCGGTGACATGGTGCGGTTCACGGTGTTCTGGACGCTTGTCATGTATGCTGCCTTTCACTGGGCTGCCGTTGGGATCGCTCTGTTCGTGCAGATCGGCAAGCGGCGGACGAATTGGAAGTACTTGTGGACAGTTCCTATCATCTACTCTGTGATAGCGGCATTTGAGGCGCTGATCGCGGGCAGCGTAACGGGTGCAATGTTCGTATACTCACTTCCTTCATCACAGACGTCATCTTGCTCACGCGGATTTTCTAAACAAAACAATAGGGTCGGTGCTATTTACATAGCTGGCGGATGGTATATGACGACGTGGATCCCGTTCATCTGGGGCTGGGCCAACGTCTTTGTACTGGTCGTTTCTTCGTTCTCTATCTCGGGCGGTTTATGAACAGCTCCACCAGTACAGGCGTCATATGTGTCATCTGCTACACTATACATTGACCTTTGGGGCGTCCTCCCCGGCCAGAACCTCAACACCACCCGTCTTGGCAGCCTCTTCAAGGCTCCCTGCAACCTCGATCTTGCGGATCACCCTCGCCGGATTGCCAGCCACGCAGGTGTACGCATCCACGTCCTTGGTCACAACACTGCCGGCCCCGACGGTGCTTCCCTTGCCGATGGTAACACCGGGCAGGACGATGACGTTGCCGCCGAGCCAGCAGTCCTCGCCGATGTTGATGGGCTTCCCAGATTCAGGGCCGCGGGTACCATTGCGGACGGTTGGGTCCAGAGGATGCGCGGCGCTGTAAAAGGAGCAGTTTGGGCCGCACAAGGTGCGTGCCCCGATGGTGATCGGACAGGTGTCGATCCAGGTCGAGTTGGTGTTTACAAAGACATTGGCCCCGAGTCTGTTGACGAACGCACGTTTGAGCTCTCCAAAACTCCTAGACTGACGACGTGTACTTTGACTACACAAATGGGATGTTTGCGTGTGTTTGGGGGGTGGGGGGATTTACACATACTTGACGTTATATCCGTAGTCCATGATGACAGGTGGGATCAGAACTGGGAAGTCTTCGAGCTGGGCCTCATCTTCTTCTTGGGAAGATGTGTGGTGCTTCTTGGGCAGAGGCGTTTCGTCGCTCGTGAGGCTACACACATACAGACATACATACGCTGCGTTAGCCAACTTGACAAGACTAAAGTAGCCAGCCACACTGATGTGTCGCTACAGTCGTGGGGCTTCGGGACAACAAGAAGGGCAAAATTCTAGGCGCCGCCTTACTCCTGATAGAGTTCAATCTGCTCTCGACGACCTACACCGTCCGACTTGTTGTACAAAACCTGTGCCATCTTGCACCGGTTCCTCTCCTCTAAGAGCTTGGGGGTAAATGCATAGTAGAGCTCGCCGGCCTGCATCTTGCGCTTATTCTCCTCCGCGTCAACCGCTGGTGCAGCCATGGTGAAGTTAAGGGGGACGGATTGGTCAAAGCGAAGAGAGACCAAAATGAAATCGGGAGCGTTGTCGTGTTTTCTTTTTCAACCAAAAGCAGAAATTTAGCAGAGGCTACAAGAAACTGGTCTTTGAAATGTCAGTCAAGACACGACTTTTATACACCTGGGTCTGGTAGTCAGAAGCTCCATCCTCACGCAGAATCTAGACACACCGCATGTATTGTTGGGAAGGGGGGGGGGGCGCAGTGTATAAGTGTCCAGTATCGTGTCATGCGTTGTACCGGTGTACCCATAGTAGGCCTAGGCTAGGCTGCTGCTGCTACGTCAGCCCCCACTGACTCTTCACCTTCACTGTGAATGGAGCTGACGGAACAGCTGCAAAGCACTGGATTTAGGTATATTTTCCCCACTTCTTTGTTCAACTAATTATCTCAAGATTCGGTGGATTTTTTTATGGGGTATTGGGAGGAAGGCGGGTACAATATAGAATACAAAAGAGCGACAAGAGACTCAGAATGCCTATGGGTTAAGAATTCTATGGCAATTTGTCTATTTGTTCATTTCTTGATAATTCAACACATATTGGTATACTGCATATGGCAGCTATAGGGAAAGGACCCGCTAGCTGAAACTTTGATGGATGAGAGCTCCGCTGCCTCACCTTGACCCGACCCCCCTGGCTCTATATGCGCTGGAAACAAAAATTGTCAAGAACAACACCAAGAACTGAAAGGATGAACGAAGAGGGAGAAGTAGGAAATCTAGGGAGGGAGGGCAGGTCCTTAGGCATCTGATCTCTGCGGGTCGCAAGATGAATGGCGTGGAGATGAAACTGAACTTTGCAGATTCATACAATGCAAGCTGCCGGGTTCGAGGATTTGTGTCCATGGTGAGTCTTTCATCTTCCCTACTTCGCAGGTATGTTCCCGGGTAGTATGTGAAGGTAGTGTTTGCAGGTAATGTGCGCAAGCAGGTAGCGCGAGATGCTCCAATGACTTCCGAACGCCGACTCGTGCAGATTGATGACTTCGTGATCTATGACAGAGGTTGCTGAAGCATTGCTGGATCAAGAGTGCAATCTGGCTGTTTGTAGACGTTGAGGAAATGGAAGTCAAGTTGGTTTGAGACGGGGTCCTGGAACCTAGCTGTGTGCTCTTTGTTCTTCTTGTTTATGTTTGAGAATCATCCTTTACAATAGTAGCAGAGCTTTGCGTAATAGTATGTATATCTATTATTGTAGTTTGAGGGTGTGATCACAACCACTTGCAAAATGGATAGATAATACATAGGTAGTCATAGTAGTTCCATTAATGATGTTGATGAACACGTAAAGCCCTTGTGTCCTCAGCCAGACCCTAGCAGCTTGTTCCTAAATACTGTGTGGGAAGTAGCGGGGCCCACTTGCCCAGTTAAGACAGCTGCCCTGTGGGTCCTGCCACAGTACTAACGTCGGTTCCGGCACAGCAAGTTCGAGATTTGATGCCCTGTTGTCAAGACCCCTTGAGCTGCACCTACGCAAGTACATGGGACAATATCACCAACACTTCCTATTGTTCTGGACGGTTTTTTTCTTTCTTTTATCGGTTTGTTCATTGACCTCAGGCGTACTTGTATATATGAAGGCTCCCTAGATATTCAACGGGCTCACCCGCACTGGCCCAATGGCATGAGCTGAGAAAGAAACGCCAAACCTGATCCTCCTCCTTTGTCACCGCCAGCGTTCACACAGGTTCTCTCCTATTCAAATCCTATTCAGGCTCACTCTCATTCACAAGTTTGCGATTAAGTCGCCTCTCCTCTCGACCTAGACTCACTGAGATAAGCACGTCAGGCACGCGAACCAGACGTCATGGAAAACGCCAGTATTCCTGGAACACAGAGCCGCGCGAGGTGAGGATTTTCTTGTCTCACTACCGAAAGTAATACTTCTTCTCCCTCGACTCGTTCCCCAAACAGGCAATCGATCAGCACTTGATATAATTGCCCAACCCGTCTTTTGTCCTCACGTACGCGACTTGTTGTTCTTCTGTTTTGCACATAATCAACAAAACAAGAAGAGAGGGAGAAAAAGAAATCAAAATGTCTTCTCCTGCCTCCACTACCACTACAGTATTCCCCGTGTTCCCTCAGGCCAGTCCTCGCCTCAACGGAGACGACGGTCCTCGGAAGTTCTCCTCCTCTTCCTCCTCCCTGCGCACCCCAGGTCGTGATAGCAGCCTCACGCGCAACAGGCGACGCTCCCTTGGCCACGTCGCCCTGCTGGACATCCAGTCCCAGGTCCAGACGTCCCACCAAGCCAGCCTGCGCGCCCACTCGCGCTCCAGCTCTGTGTCGTCCACCCTTGCTGACACCCTGCCCACGCTCAGCCCCTTCGCGGAGTCGCGCTTCGATGCCTACAGCCCGGACAAGCCCTACCTCCCAGGCCAGCCCAAGTCGCTCTCTGGCATCGCACTGCGAGCCTTCTGCTTGGGCATTGCCCTGACCGCCGGCCTGGTCGGCACTGCCACCGTGCTCGCACTCACAGATAGCCCGCTCTGGCGCCTCCCCTTCTTCCTGACCGCGTTGTCTACTTTCCACTTCCTCGAGTTCTGGACCACAGCCGCCTACAACACCCGCGAGGCCGACGTTTCGTCCTTCCTGCTAACTGCCAACTGGCCCGCCTACGCCATCGCCCACGCCGCCGCCTCGGTAGAGTGCCTCCTCACCGGCGTGTTTTTTCCCCACCGCCACTGGGCCCCCGCCCCACTCGGCGCCGTGGGCCTGCTACTCGGCCTGGCCTGCGTCGTTGTTGGGCAGGCCGTGCGGTCCGCAGCCATGGTCCAGGCTGGCCCTAGCTTCAATCACATCGTCCAGCACACGCAGCGCCGCGAGCACACACTCGTCACCACGGGCATCTACGGGACTCTGCGCCATCCGAGCTATTTCGGCTTCTTCTGGTGGGGGCTGGGCACACAGCTCGTCATGGGAAATGTGGTGTGCTTTGTCGCCTACGCTGCGGTGCTGGGCAAATTCTTTTCAGCAAGAATCAAAGTCGAGGAGGGTTTCTTAGTCAAGTTCTTTGGGGAGGAATATGTGAGCTACAGGCGAAGGGTGGGAACCAAGATTCCATTCGTGCCTTGAGAGGGCCGTGTATGTATGTATGTATGTATGCATGTATGTATGGAATAACAAAATCACGAAGAGAGGTGGAGGAGGACTTCTGGGGCACCAGTGCAGGGTTGAAAAGAGAGGTTGGAGGGTAAACATAAACGTCACGTTGAACATACATGAGTTAGATAAGCTTTTTGATGCTGCTGATGTATGGGTAGGCGTTGGGATGCTGTGTGTGGGTATGTTATAGTTGGCAAAGAAACACTGTACAAGCAACTAGATCACAACACCTAAAGATAGAGACGGAGGAGAGGGAGTCTTGGCATCATAGCAATCTACAATCCAAGCTGTCCAGTTTGAGCAAAAATGCCTTCGGTGTCTGACAGACGAACAACAATCCGACGCCCGAGATCCTCAACCGAAGGCTGAAGCGACGGGGCCAGATATCTCTCTTGCTTGCGCCCCCTGCCCCCTTTCTGTCCTCCTTATGTCAGGCCATACTCACATCCAGAATTATTGTTGAGATATCGGGAAGCTGTTCCCTTGTGAGGAGTTCCACTTCTCGCTGATGCTGCCGAATTTGATCTGCCAGGCATAAAAGTAACACAACGCAGCAAACGGCTGACCAAACGTCGTGAACGTGACCCAGAAGATACAATTGCCAATCATCTTCTTGGTTGGGGAGTTGGCCTTTTCAAAACGCTTGGTGAAGGCGATGAGGGGCAGCTGGATGAGCATGCCTATGAAAGCGACGCCTGGGCGGAGCAAAAGAAAAAAGAAAGAAGGTATCAGTAAATTGCTGTTTATGTGGCATCGGGCGAGGGCAACGTCATGTTGAACCAGTCAGTCACTCACCGATGAGATTATGTGTGGGAATCCCCACAGCCAATTCGTGGAGGAAAGCTGATAAAGAAAACACCATGAACGCTGCGAATTGAAACGAGTACCCGCGCCCCATCAGCGGTGAGAAGACGTGGCGCCGGAAGTAATTCGACACAGGCTTGTTCCATGTGCGCCAATACGTCCCGAGACTGTCACTGTTCCACCCTAGTTTGCAAAAGAAAGCGCCCAGTCAGTCAATCAGCACCAAGAACATTTGCTAGAGGTCGTGGCCCAATAGACTTACAGTCATCATAGAAGGACCGATCGGCAAATTTCATAACTTCTGCCAAGGCATTCAGGAAGGATTGAAACAGCGCAAAGAATCCCGCCAGCCAGATCACGAGAGAGATGGTCGACAGCTTCAGCACCCTCTCCACCATGGCGGCGACATCCCACTCCCTCCAGGCACGTAGCGAGTTTTGCAGGGTCGGCGCCGCGTATTGGGCACTGAGCAACCACATGACCACGCACAGGCCGGCAACCTCAAGCAGCCTCTTGGCGACAAAGACCCAGCGGATCCTGTCCGTTCGGGGGTACACGGGCTGGTAGATGAGGGTGGGCGCCCACCAGAAGTAACACAGATTCCCGAAGGTGACGTTCTCGGGGTACGGGCACGAACGGTACAAGTCGGGGATAGCCTCGAACTCGCCGGTCCGGGGATGCAGGTAGGCATGGCGTAGGTCGCGATTGGTAAGGGCGTAGCTGGCCGTCTTGAGCCAGACAATGATGGCGTGCATCTCAACGATCGTCCCAATGAGCGGGTGGTTGATGTAGTAATAGACGGCCCAGGATGTAATGACCAGCCCGAGCGAGATGTTGCAGGCGTGCAGCGCGGCAATGATGTACCAGGTCATGCGGAAGCGGGCCTGCTGGTCCTCGGTGGGCGACATGCTGCCATCATCATTATCCCCCTCCTCCTCCTTCTCCTCCTTCACACCCTCATCCTCCTTATTCATGGTATCACTGCCCCGGCCCTCTTGTGGTTCCTTTCCAGCATCACCACGCCTGCGCCTGTTATACATGCGCAGCCGCTGTGTCCGTGCCTCGAACCCAGCAAAGAGCTCGATGAGATATGCGATCAGGAGGCAGCACGGCACGAGGGTGTACAGAACGAAGCCAACCTGAAGATCCTGCTTCCTGAAATCGTGGCATCGGACGCAGATGAGCACACCGTACTTCTGGATGTTCTCGATCAGCAGGCGCAAGTTCCCTGCGATGAGCACGATGAGCCCCAAGTTCCTGAAACCGAGGAAGCTGGGCGTGGCTGTGGCGTCGTGGCTTAGAGTGGAGGGTCTCGAGGCCAGATGCACTGCGGCTATGTGACGGTATTTTCTACTCGTGAGAGCCCTCTTCAGTGCCTTGGTGTCCCGAGGTACGTCATCCAGCTTGGCCTGGGGGTGAGACTGCTGGTCAGGATGACCACGGCGGAAGACATCGCTGGTAGTGGTGGTCTGGACGCCTGTTGACGAGGCTGCTCGGTCCATGGTCTGTGATATAAATACCGGCGCCGTGAGCCTGAATTGGCTCTGCGGGCGAGTGGACCAGCCTCTCTGATTGATAATGGTGCAGTGCTTGCCTGACAGAATGCAACTGAGGTTGTTGAGCCGGAATGAAGCCAATTGCATTGAACAGTATGAAGAAGATAGACGTGGCGGTGAGGTTGTGATTGGGATGGGATGGACTTGACTGCCCTTCTTTTTATTACCTGTTGACGCAGTGGTTGAAAATGACGGTCCGGACTAGACTGGAATTTAAGGTTCGCTTGCTTGCCCTTGAGAGTTTGCGGGGCCAGTAGTCCCTTGAATTACCCACTCGATGCACAAAAGGTGCCAAGTCACCCTTTATGACAAAATAGACAGCTTTGGTATGGAGACTTGTTGTAAGGCGACATTGCTGGGGAAATCATTCGTCTTTTGGGAATGTGGGGGGAGAAAGAAAGAGGCCCTTTGGCTGTGAATTTTCGATCTTATGTCCCTAGCGGGATGATCCGGAATGCAAGACATTGGAGCCATGAGCGCAGACCTGGCAATGGTGGTGATGTCCTTTCGTTTTAGAGGCGGCTAAAAGGGATACTAGTGATGTAGTCACCGCTGCTACCGAGCCTCAATGATTTGACTGTATAAGGTGTAGCCCAGAAATTGATTTTCCAAGGCCTGCAGATGCCCATAGGTTGTGCGTTGTTGCTTCGCAGTGAGAGGAACCTAGTCGTGGAGGCTCTCTACCTGCTGCAAGGCATCCAGCTCGGATTTCAATTGGGAGGACCAGGGGACCGGGAATAATCGGCAGGCTGAACATGCCCGATGCATATGCATAGCTGCCTCTCTTTCACATTGAGATCTCAGAGGGCAAAAGCGGCCTTGAAAAGTGATGGCAACACATAAAAGTCTTACAAAGGTTGAAGGAATTGAAAAGATCATGGTGGGGAGGGGGGGGGGTGGCTTCTTGAAGTGAGGCAGGCATGGAAGGAAGTACCAGGCACGACAAGGTGCCAGGGGTACATCTGGCGGCAGGCTGGCGACTAATCAATACCACATCTTGATTGGTTCAATAATGTTTTCAGTGGGACTTGCTGCCCCTTAGGCTGTTCAGTAACCAACTGAGTAAATTGACATCCTTGGAACAATGCACATCAGCTTCCTTTCAACAACTTCAACACCCAAGCTCATCTCTCAACCTCTGGTCTACTCTTGACACCGGATGCCTCACCATAACAGCTAGCTGCATTTTTCCATCTTACATCAGCTCTTGTCTTCTTGTTGTTGTATTGACCTCATTCTCTGATGGTGTTTGTTCGCTACTTCATGAGCTCCACTTAACAAACATGTCCTACATCCCCAGGCGGGATTTCGACAAGGGTGGCAGAGGAGGAGGTGGTGGTGCTGGCGGAGGGGGAGGAGGAGAGGATGGAGGTTATGATGGCTTTGCGAAGGCCAAGGGCAGACGTACGTACATCTTGACTCCTTTTTGTCTTTCCCTTTCTAACACTTGGAAACATTGCAGGCCCTGTCACAGACTATGGAGCTACTATCACTCACTGGATGCGCCACCGGAACACCAAGTACAGAGGGGCCTACACAGGTGAACTTGAACGGCCAAGCCCCAGCTACCTGATCGATGTGAGTTGTATGAATTTCAGACAGCGTCCGGGTTCTTCCCTACTTACAGTGCTTGCAGATGATTCCGCCTGCTGCCCGGACCACCAATGCAGCAGATTCCATACCAGGTCGTTGGGTGCATCAGTCTCTCAACAAGGTCAAACATCCCGTTAATGTGGTCCGATGGACTCCCGAAGGCCGCCGTCTCCTGACGGCCTCGAGCAGTGGAGAATTTACGCTATGGAACGGCACTGCTTTTAATTTCGAGACTATCATGCAGGCACATGATTCTGCCATCCGAGCCCTCGAATACTCCCACTCCGACGACTGGCTGATCTCTGCAGACCACGACGGTATCATCAAGTACTGGCAGCCCAACTTCAACAACGTTGAGAGCATACGCGGCCATCACGACCCTATCCGAGACCTTGCCATCTCCCCCACCGATCTCAAATTCGTCACGGCTTCCGATGACTCCACCCTTAAGGTGTTTGATTTTGCTGGCGGGGTGGCAGAGATGACTCTGTCAGGTCACGGTTGGGATGCCAAGACTTGCGACTGGCATCCCACCAAGGGCCTCATCGCCTCCGGGTCAAAGGATCATCTGATCAAACTCTGGGATCCCCGCTCAGGTCGCTGCCTCACAACACTACACGGGCATAAGAACACTGTCACCAAGGTCATGTTTGAGAGGATCAATGGCATGTGCCTGGCTACAGGAGGTCGCGATAACACCGCCCGGATTTTTGATTTGCGAATGATGCGAGACATCTGCCTGATCCGAGGACACGAAAAGGACGTCACCACCTTCACTTGGCACCCAATCCACACCAATCTCCTCAGTACGGGAGGCGGTGATGGCGCTCTTCATCACTACCTTCTAGACGAGCCCAATGCCCCCGAAGGTCAGGCGGCGGCAAAAGCCGTCTACGACAGCCCCGATCCCGAGTCAGCCCCGCTTCAGACAATCTATCCGGCACATAGGCTTCCATTCGCCCATGACATGGCCATCTGGTCGCTGGACTGGCATCCTCTCGGCCACATCCTCGCTTCTGGATCAAATGACCGTCTCACACGGTTTTGGACCCGTGCAAGACCCGGTGATACGTCGTACCTCAAAGACCAGTATCATATTGGTGAGGCCGCGGCTATGGCAAACAATACCTTTGTGGGGTCCAAGAATCGCAGACAGAGGCAGGAGGAAGAGGCACAGGAGGCCGAGGATGAGATGGACGGCCTGGAGGATCAAAAGATGCCTATGAAGTCAGCTTCCGCCTTCCCTGGTATTCCGGGCCTGCCCTTGCCAGGAAGTGGTGGTGTACCGCCTTCGGCTATTCCAGGAGTTGGCCTGGCCTCGGGGTCCGCGCCAATGCCGCCAAACCTTCCTTTTCCGATTCCTCCTCCAGGCTTGAATGGACAGATACCGCCTCCACCCATTCCAGGATTTGATCCGGGCAACCCACCCGACATGGCCAAGATTGCAGAGATGATGCAAAGAGCCGGCATACCAATCCCCCCACCCCCTGGGAATGGAATCGCCCCCCCACCCCCTGGTCTTCTTCCGCCTGGTCTTATCCCCCCTCTACCGAATGGGCAACTTCCTGCCGGTTTTGTGCCTCCGCCAATACCGATCCCTGGAATGGACGCTGGGGCGCATATGGGAAATGATGCAGCCAGTATCGCAGCGCGGAGACGAGCGCCGTTGCCAAGCCAGGAGGAGAGTCTCAAGATGGAGCAGCGGAAGGGCCATTACACCCGGGCTCACTAGAAGGCGGCACGCAAAGGCGGTGGATTCCAGACGATGAATCAGCAGGCGTCGCGAAAAAAGAGCAATCGACGGAGGGCAAGAGCTTACCATTAGAAATCCAAGGGAGTCGGAATGCATCCCGATGGATACCAACGGCCTGATAGTCTTGGGAGGACAAATGCTTTGTTCAGCATCATCAGGATGGGTCGCTGATTGCCAATGGGATGACGAAGGCGTAGGTACAAATGGGACTGAGGAGCTGGGATGTGCTCCTGCTTCACATCCTGCTACGCCTTGAAAAGAGGACTCGATTGGAGTAGCCTACTTCTCAGACCTCGAAAGGTCCGGCGCTTCATTTTGCAAACAGTCCGACAGACGGAAACCTCACACGCACAGGGCTTCGATGGAGCGTGGACCGATCTATCGAAGGCTCCCGTATACTATTACTCGAAGAGCTTTTGACGCAACCGTATGAGAAACCATATCTGGGTATGCGTCAAGACACATACATGGTGGCTGACGCGTGCGCTTCACAGCATGCAAGTCCTTCTTGGGTAGGAGGAGTGTTGGCTTGGCGACTGGCTTTCGAGCAGTCTGGCAATATGGGCATCGCATTGGCTGCCGAGAGCGAAATACCATTATCTTGCATCGAATGGTGATCCATGATCTTGGAGCGATTTCGTAGCAATTCTAACTCTGTGCGATGGGAGGGTCGAACAATGGCATGAGATGGAGGTACGTGGTAATCACAGCAGGCGCATTTGGGTTACACAGCGTGGTCAATTCTTTTCCACCCCGAAGGCTTCTTCAAGGCTACAATTTGTAGTATTATATTGCCCAAGTGCCTACTTTGGCCCGAGCGTGCGGCAGAAAGTGGGCCCCTTCTAAAATAAACGCGGGTTCAGCACTCACCAAGGTCGCTCGGCTGACCAGATCTCTCCTGTGATATTTCCACTGGACGCAAAAATCGCAGAGCATCCGTCTGTAGGGCTTTAAGGCCTCGTATGTATAAGTATGTTTGACTGTTATTGGGTTTGTCGATCTGTCTAGTGCCATGCTGAATGTCAAGGCAATCAACTCAAGAATGCACACACGCTGCGCCCGTACCATGATTTTCGGGCTCGGTGCCCGTTCCTCCCTTTCTCCAGAAATGCTATGGTGATATGCTACAAAAGCTTCAGTCCGCCTCACCGTCCTTCGCATCATTTGTTGTTTTGCTTTGGTAATTGTTCCCATAAAAAAGAGCAAGATACATTGAGGAGTGAATAGAGAGGATTCCAGGCAAAAAAATCCTGTCATTCATTCCAAAAGAGAGAGGTGTGTGTGTCTGTGTGTGTGTGTGTGTGTGGAAGTGGGCAGCACGAGATCCCAAACTGGGTGACACGTCCCGCTCCTTTGCACACATCATATGACCTCCCACACCCGTCGCCATTCTATCCTTCTTTTGTCCCTTGGTTTTTCACCTCTGCGGGACAGGGACCGGCTTCGCGGGCTCCTTTCCAAAAGCCTTCTGCCGCTCCGCATACTCCTTGATCACCAGCGCGCACGTGTAGTCGGCACACAACCTCCGCCTCCTTGCAGCAGGCAGCTTCTCTGCAAACTCCAGGCCACTGGCGCGCTCGACGGCCTCGAGGGGCACCTCGAAGTCGGTGATGGGCTTGTTGTTAGGGATGACGGTGTTGGGCAGCACAAAGGCGCCCAGGGCGACATTGCCGCCGACCTTTCCGTCCTCGGCAAAGATGACCTTATAGAAGTGTGTGGGCACAGCGACGCTCGGCGGGTTGCCAATCATCTCGTACTTTGTGTACCACTTCCCGTCCGCCGGATCGCGCTTGGGTAGATAGAGGGGACCAGTAACGATGCGCACGCTCGGGTAGCGGTCGGTCAGGCGGCGGCAGAAGTCCTCAAAGTGGGCCCAGTAGTCCCTGTTGAAGCCGTCGCCGACCTGAGGGCACATGTTGGACAGGTAGAAGGTGTCATCCATGGCCTGCTGGCTCCACTTGCAGTCGGCGGCGGGCACCTGATGGCCCCTGTCGTAGCCTGACCGGAAGTAGTCTTTCAGCTTGGCACGGAACTTTTCGGGCACGGAGCTGTCCTCGGCAAAGTTGCTGTGCTTGCGGTCGCCCTCGCGCTGGGCGAGGGAGGCAGGGGTGATGTGCTCAACAACCCAGTGGGGGTTGCGCAGGCGCCGGTCGTAGGAGGAGACAAGGGCGGAGCGGGCGGCCAGGTCGGAGACAGGGCCGGGAAAGCCATATTCAAAAAGCCCAGCAGGGTTGACGGGTGCTGTGAGGGCCGCTGCCTGCGTAGCTGTGGTGGGCTGTGGTACAAATACCTGGGAGGCTGGGACGGGGACGGCAGGAGGGGGAGAGGTACGGGTTCCTGATTGTACGGTGGTAGTGGTCGTCGTTATGGTCTGGGGCGGTACGTCTTTCTTGTCTGATCGCATCATGGCTGCAGTGACGGCGGCGCCCGTACCTGCGCTCACAGCTGCGATTATGGCAAAAGTAGCTTTCGACATCTTGAGTGGGCGTAGAGGGGGAAATGAAGGGAGACCCTGCGCCAGATAAAAGCCTTTTTTATACGGTCACCCAAAAGAAAAACACAAGGTGGAAGAGAAGGTGAACAATGACAATGTCAGGCGAGGAGCCGAGGTGAGCAAATGCCCTTGTCCACGCGGCTAGCAGCCTGGGAGAGACAGCCTCGTGAGTTCTCGTGTGTTTGGGGCCTCGTATCGCCCTGTCTCGAGCGGATCGAGAAGCTATATTGAGGAATCGAAGCTGGAAAATTTTAGACGGCGAGAGAAAAGACGTCTGCTGGCAGGCAGGGTCCCGGGTCGTCAAGCTTCTGGCGTGGGCGGGGGGCACTTGCAAGGGTGAGCTCTACCGAATGATCACTACCCTGTTTGGTTAGCACGTGCAGCTTCGGCGGGCGGCCAGCTGGACAGAATGCAACTGTGCTAGTACCGGTGTGTAAGTACCATAGCAAGCGTGGTACCTCACTACTGCAGCAGCCGTTACGGAACCTTGGACGAGGTCACTAGCACAGATCTGTTGACCCAAGTCTTATTGTACGTGCTGTCACAAGTGGAAGTATGCCAAGACAGCCTCGTCTCACCAATCCTTTCAGCTCTTGTCCTCGCGTGGAGCCTATGGAGAGAAACATTGGTGATCGTCCTTTCATGCCAGGTTTGGTTTATGTAAAGAATCAGGTCTGGAGTGTCTCTTCTCTCTTGTGTTGGGTCACGGGTGTTCTCCTATGCTATGATTGTGGTGGTGACCATTTCCTTGTATGCACCAACTGCCTTGCGGCTACAGGCATTAGTGATCAACTTAAGGCTGAGGACCTTGATGGTTGATGACCAGGGGTGGGCCCACTGGGCCTTAAGCCTGCCTGACTGCCTGAGTAAAGGGGCCACTGCCATTTGTCAGTGGCTTGCTCTCGCCCACAGAAGCTTGGAGCGTCCCCATCAACACCCAGGCGGTACACAAGCACAGACGTCACCTCCCAAAAGAGGGCTTAGGACCACCGGTCCAACCAGGATATTTGAACGGCAAGTATGACATCGATATCTTATCCTGGCTGGCTGGCTGGCTGGCTGGCTGAACAACAGACCTTGAGGCTCGTTTTTCGACCATAAGTCAATCACCTCTTCAGCCCTGCAGAACTCCCTAGCTACCCTTCTCCCTCCAAGCCGATCTCACTCACCTGCATTTTGCAGCACTGCCTACCTTTGGACACCTGCAGCCTCACAAAGCTTCCTGCACAACGCTCTTTGTACCCGTCTTGGTGTGTTGTGCCCTCCTCAAGGCATTGTGGGCTGTCATCCTCAGTCCATCAACTGGAGCCTCAATCTCCACTAAATAAGGGACAAGGGCATCCAGCCTTACAAGAGGAGGGACTCGGCAGCGGACACCAACGCAAATAATCTACTAGCGTCACTGCCACTACTGCTACAGTACCAAACCATCCGTCCCGCACCCTCCTTCTTGGGACTTCAACCCCCAAATTTTGCGATTCTTGACTTGTCATTCCATCATCTATCACCGACATACACCCTCATCTCGATTCTCTTCCTCACACACTCTTCTCTTGCAGACTTCATACTCTACTTGACCCGCTACTGCAGGCACCAGATCTAATCATACCATCAGGAGAGGGCCACAGGGCTGAAGGCCATCCACCATGGAGGCGGCAGGTGTGAGCAATGACACTCGTGGGTGGATCATGTGCATCGTGAGCGGCTTAGGTAGGTGACCGACCTCTCTCCTCCGTCTTTTCGACGCTCCAATCCTGACACGCGAGGCTGAGATTCTGCCTCGTGTGCATCTAACACCGTATTCTTGTGATGTACACTCACGCACTGACTGACTTCTGCTCTCCTACAGCCTGCATCATCGGTGCATGTGTGATATGTGTCGATTTATTGATCCGCCACATACCAGGAAAGGAGACTTTCAGCATACAAGACAACAATCCCTTCCTGGCATGCTCGCTGAGCTTGAGCTTCGGTGTCATGGTGAGTTTTGGTTGCGTCTCCGGTTGTTGTTGTTGGGTCGTGGTGGTGGTGGTGGTTTTGCCTCGATGGACTGACCCAATGATGCCACCACGCACAGATTTTCTCGGCCCTGTTTAGTATGTTGCCCGAGTCAAAGGACTATCTCAAGAAGGATGACTGGTCCGAGTCCAATGCCGGTCTGATTATGATGGCCTGTTTTGTCGCCGGATTTATCGGCATTCAGGCCATCTCAAGACTGCTGCACCAAATCATGCCTTCCCACGTCGTCGATTGTGATCACTCCCATGCCCACGACGACCCTGACGAGGAGGATCATAAACATTCTCATGCGGAGGGTCGTCAACATTCGCGGGTCGGTAGGCCTAAACTGCGGATGGGCAGGCGGGTATCGAACAGTCACACGCATCACGGGGCTTCTACAGAAGCCTCACCACTTCTTGGGTCTCAAGCCAACGGACGGTCATCTGCTGAGCCTCGTCAGAGCGCAGTGTCGGCTGCTGCGAGTGACGCTCTCAACGCCCCTAGGCTGGGACTCGGCCGCCGCCCATCGATGATGGAGATGCGCAAGAGGGTCATGTCCTTCGTCAAGGACACAAAGTCTACCTGTGACGAAGGCGGCCCTTGTTTTGGCTACAGTGACCCCTGCGGTCAGGGATGCTTCAAGCACCTCAGCTCGCGGTCTTCCATTGCGCGGCGGGGCTCCTTTGGCGTTTCGCAGACGCGGACTTCGCCCTTTTCACCCACGGCACCGCTTTTTGCAGCAGTTCCCGAAACTGAGAGTGAGGTCGATTCCGGTACACGATCGCCGCTGAGTCCTGCCCTCAGCCATACCAGAGCCAGTGATGTGCATACGCACCATTCACCGCATGCACATGGCCACCATGAGCACGACCATGAGTATGAGCACAGCCACGAGCACGCATCCGAGGAGCCCGAGTGCGATCAGATGTCTCTAGACCTTGAGGCCCAGGACGCTGCCCACCACCATCATGTCCCCACCAACGCCTTCCTGTCCATCGGCCTGCAGACGGTCATCGCTATCGCACTGCACAAGTTCCCAGAGGGTTTCATCACGTATGCCACCAACCACGCCAACCCCCAGCTGGGCTTCAACGTGTTCATGGCACTCTTCGTGCACAACATTGCCGAGGGCTTCTCGATGGCACTGCCCTTGTACATGGCGCTGGGCTCTCGCTTCAAGGCGATCGCATGGTCGAGTCTGCTTGGTGGGTTCAGCCAGCCGCTGGGTGCAGCTATCGCATGGCTGGTATTCAAGCTAGTTGGCAACCATGCAGAACACCCGTCAGGTACCATTGGAATTGACAATACCGCTTACGCGGCGCTGTTTGCCGCTACCGCGGGCATCATGACCAGCGTCGCGTTGCAGCTGTTTGTGGAGAGTCTGGGCCTCAACCACAACCGAAATCTGAGTATCGCCTTTGCATTCTTGGGCATGGTGTTACTGGGGGTGAGCAATGCCGTCGCGGGGCATTCGCACTGATTTGATCTTTACTTTGATAATTGTATGGCTGGTATAACACGGCTTGGCATGGCACGGAGTATCTTCGAGTAACGAATGGCTTGGAAGTATGTGTTTGATGGCATTAACCAAAGACATGGACTGGATGACTTCTGTATTTGGTTTATAATGAGGTCGGTCTCTTATGGTCGGCTGGCTTGGATTTTCCTTTCTTCCTGGGCGTATTGCCGGACTGGACCCTTGACTACTACTATATGGCGACTTCGGACATTAGGGTGGATATTGTTTCTGGCTTTAGGTGCAAAGAAAGAAAAGAAAAGAGAGAAAAAGGTGGTCATCGGATACGGAGGGGAGGGGGAAAGATGCATTGAAGAGTGGCCACAGGACAAATTTGGACCTGGTCGATGGACTACGACGCTATCCGTACGCTCGTCTTAGACGATCATAGATAACTAACGCAGGGTAGATGAGAGGAAACCTCACATCCATTATACAAACCTCGACTTCTCTGGCGCTTGTGCTCCGGGCCCTAGTACACTTTGTTCTTTTAACATACGTCTGCATTCTGGATGCGAAAATCTCTCCACGTAGGTCTATCGTCGCCCCTCATGAATGTGTACAAAGTAAAACCTCTGGAACATCCTTTGCCATTTTGGGAATTTCCTATCTATGTCGCTCTTTTCTATGTCTCCTTCCCTGTGCCCAGTACGCCGTGCCAAATCATGATGGGGTATCATATGTCGCAAAAAAAAAAAAAAAAAAAAAAAAAGTAAGATGCTGGTTATAAAATGGTCTTTGGAAGAAAAGAAAAGATGGAAAACCAGAGGAGAAAAGCTAACCGCTTCCTTCTCGCCTGTAAGTAAAAGGCATTGTTGTTGGCCTGTACCTCTAGAGACCCGAACGCCATCCATGTATGGTGGTGCGTACAAGCCTAAACGAACAACTCAGGGTCAAGAGCGCCGTCCAAGTTGAGGAGTTGCATGACATTTGCGTCCTCCTGGTCCCAGTCTCCTGGCTGTCCGTCGAATCCAGTTTTGGCGACGAGGTCCAGCTTAGACACATGCGGAACAGCAGGCTGGCTGAAGGTGGCCAGGTCAGGGTGCGCAGCCTGCATGTGTCCGCTCAGCTCGGCGTAACGGATGAACCGGGCGATGCACCCAGGGACCGCACAGGGAATCTGTCGACGCTCGTACTCTGCCACTCCCGAAATGTCGTCCAGGGTGGCCATTTTGCTGTGGGAACCGGGAGCGGCATCGTATTCTGCATAGCTTGGGCTCTCGTACAAGGGTCGCTGCTTGCCCAGATGTACATAGGTGACGTGCATCTCCAACCCGACCTTGGTCGTGAAGGTCTCTCCGCAGCCCTCCTCAGCCCAGTTCCAGTCCTGCAGGCCGAGGCTGTCGCTCGTATCCAACTTGCCGCAGACATACCGCAGACCCTCGTGCGCCGCGCGATAGTGTACCTTCATATTACTCTTCTTTGTGAAGCTCTTGTCGCAGCCGTCGAAGTCGCACGGCACCGTCTTGCGGTCCTTCACCGTCAGCCCGGAGTGGTAGATCTCCATGTGCTGCTCCAGCAAGTACTGCCCGTTGAACTTCAGTCCGTCGCAGAAAATGCAGTTAACATGTTCCGAACGGATGTGACGCTCCAGCAGGAACTGCGTCGTGAAGCCTACGGGCTTCTTCTCGTCGCCGTCCCCCGCTGCCGCCTGTGAACACTCGTCGCACCAGAAACGCAACTCGCCGTGCTCGCGCGTCACGTGTGCTTTGAGGGAGTTGGCCGTGTCGTAGGACTCGGTGCAGCCCTCGTGGGTACATGGGTAGGGCTTCTGGCCGAGGTGGTCCTTCAGGACGTGTCGCTGGAGGGTCTGGTGCTTTCGGAAGGACTGGTCGCAGGGTGGGTAGCCGCGGCACCGGAAGCGCTCCTTGCCCTGGTGGGCGAGGGCGTGCGCCTTGAGCCGCTGACTTGTTGCGAAGCCCTTGTCGCACTGCGGGCAGACGAACTTGGTCTCCTTGGTATGGGCGGAAACGATGTGAACCTTCAGGTGCTTGTTGTCGCTGTAGGCCTTGTCACAGCCTTCGTAGGTGCACTTGTAGGGCCGCTCATTGTTATGCGACCGCATGTGCGCCACGAGGCGCGCTGGCCTGTTGAACTTCTTGGTGCAGCCTGCGATGGTGCAGGGGATGGTCTTATGTTGAGAGGGAAACTTGCGACGGCCGGAAGCGGTGGTCGAGGCATCCGTTACGATAGTAGCAGGAGTCTGGGCGTCGGCCGAGGGCTGGATAGTGCTACTGTCATCGTGACTGATCTGGGAACTGCTCTCTTCGGCTGGAGAATGGTCAGCTGGAACTCTTTTTAACGCCGAGGACGAGGCGAACCAGATCTTGGAAGAGGGCCATCTCGGCGTCTTGAGGATTAGGGGTGTCGTTCGTACCTGTGCTGGTGTTCTCCGCCATTGCCGCCATAAGACGTTTGTCTGGGGCTTCAAAGGTCTCATCAGTTGCTTTGCGCTTCATATTGCGAGCGCCAGGGTTTGGCTTCAGCAAGAGAGCGAATAATGCAGGAATTGTATTGCTCTGAGGTCGAAGAGCATCAAGCAATAAGTGCAAGTCTCGGGCGGTCAGGTACGACGTACTGCAGTCGCTCGAACTTTTCTGTGGGTCCGTAGCGAGTGTGGACTGCAGCATCTCTCCCAGGTCTATGCTCTGATTGGCTAGACCTGAGGCACCCCTGCTTACGTTGCCGGCCGCAGTACCTCAAGTTTTTACGACTCTTTTTAACTATGGAACTTTCGCGCGCGAAGGACAGCTTCCGTTGCCTGTTCATCGCACGAAACGTCCTTGATCCAACATTTCCGACAGCATCCATTTCTCCCGTGGACGAAGAAGAAGAAGAAGAAGCAAAGTAAAGGATCGACCAAGATGTCTGACTACGGCGGTGAGGACGACTTTGGCAATGAAGTCGGCGGTGGTGAAGGGTAAGTGGATCGTCGGCCAACCAATGGACCTTTGTGCGCCCTCGTGGCCAGCGAATGCTGAAGGAAGGCCTACAGTGAGGTACCCTACTACGAGGACGAGGAGATTCCAGAGGAGTACGAGCCGGAACCGGCAGAAGGGGAAGAGCAGCTCCAGAACGGCGACGATGAGGGCGACAACGTGATCATCTCGGGCGATCCCTCTGCCGCGGCCAAGGAGAACGTCAAATCACACAAGGACAAGAAGATTCCCAATGACCAGCGCATCACCACACCCTACATGACCAAATACGAGAAGGCACGCATCCTGGGCACTCGGGCTCTTCAAATCAGGTACGACTGGGCAGAAAGGGCAGTACGGCCGGACACGGCAAGAGGGTTGTTGCTAATACAACTGTGTCATAGCATGAACGCTCCCGTCCTCGTCGATCTCGAAGGAGAAACCGACCCGCTGCAGATCGCCATCAAGGAGCTGCGGGAGAAGAAGATCCCTCTGATCGTTCGCCGATATATGCCTGATGGATAGTACGTCGCAATATATACATCCCCTCGGCCGCTGGATTGTGCTGACCTCCGTAGCTACGAGGATTGGACTTGCGAGGAACTGCTTCAGTGAACGTGAGCCGGCAGACTTACAAACATACACCATGAGAGCTTAGTTCTTGTGTGGCCTCACGGCGCGTCACTCTCACGAGAGTCGCAGGATGCATTAGCGATGGCGTTCAGGTTGGAGGAACCAAAAAAATTTGAATCGTGGATTGCTTAGGGGTAGAGGAAACCATCGATCACTGTTGGCACTTTTCACTTCCCTTTGCAGAATCTTTGTGGACGGTTTGTGAGCCCGATGTTTCGACACGCTCATGCCCAGTTACCGGATAGTACAAGGCGCAGAGTACGACGTACTCACCGGCGAAGGCGGCCTCTGGGCATGCTCCCATCTGCTCAAATGGAGAACGCTTGTCGTCTTGTTTCCTCTTTCATGGAACGAGCGTTCGAGAACCCCAAGCGCCTGGCTCACAACGCCTGCTGTGAATGGGATGCTTGCCCTAGGCGAAGCCACTTCCGCGTGTTAGTGGGGTGAAAATCGACCACGTTCTGAACAACACGGTGCCGTTCTTCAGATGACCAAGGTCATAACAAACGATGGCTATTGTCACGAACGTTTCTCGGTGTGGAGATTTTCAGTCATGATAGCTGCTCCTCAGTTACTTGTCAAATCCGAGGCTCGATTGCCGAATGCACATCTTGCTTTCACTTTACAAGAATACTCTCGAGTGCCTGACCAATGCCACACACAACATGCGCCAGAGCCTAGAACTCAGGTAATATGCCAAGGCGAGAAAGCCTACAAGCTCCCAATCTCGTATCTTGTGCAGTTAGGGAGGCTTCGTAGGTCACGGACGAAGAGGTCAGCCTGTTTTTGGTTGTATGGCAAGCACTGACGATCACTGAGAATCAGCCGGTTCTGTCGACCATTTGGTGGAAGGAGGGAAGGAGAAGGCGAGGAGGGGCTCAAAAGGCGTGGCCCATACCTCGGAAGGCAGACCTTTCTCCTTTCTCCTCCCGCTGCGTTAAATGTCCCGTTATTCGCCCGGTCCTTTTCCAGCCCACCTTTTCCGCGTTCACTCACGCATAAGCACTTCCGCTTCTCCTGTCCTACCTCAACCATGGGATCTACAGTCAACGCTTTAGCCTCCGCTCTTGTGCGACATATTACCAGCTCTGATGGCGTTCGCCGTTGGTTGATATCATACGATACTTGAGCTAATCACTGCTGGGATCATCTCTGGTATGGACATATCATTCCAACATGGCGTCACTGGCGCTGCTCTTGCATGTGATAGAGCTTGCTGGTACGACGGACAACCCGTCAACACAACCTTGAGTACCAAGTTTCCCTAGATACAGAGCTGACCTGTCTGTCGTCTTTGATAAGGCCACAGCACCACAGTCGCTTGGGCAGCCTTGGGACGGTAGCTGTGGCGGACAGGGCATATAGTAGGCAGCCATCCGGGACCTTCACGCACGAGTATGGTGGAACTCGGAAAGCTGGCTGGTTTCGCACTCTCGGAACGACCCCGCATCAGGGCACAAATTGTTGCGTCGTGGCGTAGGCTGGTATTGCCTCCTCCAAAAGTAAGGGCGCCACAAGCATGAAAGCATGTGCCGCTCTGGTGTTGCGGACACTCGAAAGCTTCCGCCTCCAGCATCTGGCGGATTCCCACAAGGCTGCTGTGGCATACAAAAGACTCACTGTGTGGCTTTACGGTCCAGGCAATCGGATGGAACCATGTCGGGTACCGATAGCGCGGACTCGTCCTGCCAACATAATAATGATAATCATGTGTCATATGTCAGCGGTGGTGCTGACTGAGGACTACCAGATGCACTACCTTGAAGACCAGCCACCAGGCTAGGAGCATGGCTGGGAACATGCTCGGTTTCCTCTTGCGCCGGCCGAGCCTGAATGTTGCCTGGGCAAAGGGATCACTTTCGTGCAACGGCGTGCCGCTCGGTCACAAGCGTAACATATCACCTTCGAAGCCCCAATAAGCCAGCGCCATGCAGCAGTCTGCTTTCCTGGTCACGTTGCCTTGTTTTCCTCGAGCGGCGCAACCAGAGGGAAACACGAGAATAGGGCCGCCCTGGCCCCCACAGTAGTTCGGAGGATTTCAATGGACTGCGTGATAAAGCTTGGAGATGTCCTTTCTTGACCCGTAGCCCGAGTTGACGAGGGTAGCTAGCGCTTTCGAACAATATGCGCAAGTATGACTGAGTGACTGACTTCCAAGAAAGTACCCAAAGATCACGCACGAATCGGTCTCTCCCCTGCAGGCTTCAAGCATGCAAAAGCAGCGCTCACTATCGCGTACCCCTGGTTGTCAAGACGCTAACCATATAGGCTTTGTTAGAATCTGCGAATCGAACGAGCCTAGTCTGGCTCAACACGAAGTTCTCAACGTTGACCAACCCTGTGCCATTTTACGATCCTCCACACCACACCCCGCAGAGCCGTCGCTGGAGCTAATTGCTTGGCTGGATGATGACCTGCATAAGCTTGTCAGCGCGGTCACCGCTGACGTCCTTTGCAGCCTCTCCCCATCCCTATAGGAGGACGTTGAGGTCTGCACGCACCTCGAGGTATCTCACCGAAAGTCCATTACCAAAGTTGCCGAACTGGAGAGGAGAAACTATCATAGTCTCAGACGCAACTCAGAGACACGCAGCGCTCTAGTGTGTGACCCGTCCATTCCCTGCTACAAACTAACCCACAACTATCCTGCTCGTATTAGCAGTGAGTGCTATTGGGGGGGTGGTATTTACGAAGGAGGAGAAGAGTGGTTGCCAGCGCACAAGACAGGGAAGAAAGAAGAAGAAGAAGAAGAAGAAAAAGAAGAAGAAGAAGTGGTTGTTGTCACCCTGGCAGCCTTGAACGCATTATCCTGTCGATTCGAAATGTCCTGTCAAGAAGAGGCCTGTCGTCATGGGAAACGACTGGATGTCAGCCTCGATGCTAAGTCAACAGGGGTTCCCCTCGGCTGCCACACCAATGTCCTCGGTTGCAGCAAACCAGCCAACACAACTTTTCTCATTCGCTTGTGCTGCATGACAACGCAGCCGGGGTGTAGCTGCTGCATTACGTCCCCAGCCATATGTTGGGCACATAGTGCTCTCGTCATGCAAGCTTGTGCAGACAGCGGTCCTGGAGAGAGAGAGAGAGAGAGAGAGAGAAAACCCTGCGCATCACCGAGATCCAGGCAAAGTGCGGCACGCTCTACAGGCCGGTCACAAATCCCTCGCATGGCAATTAAGGTTACCGCCTGTCTAGCAGGGGTATTCTCGTTGTCGTAACCATGGAGCTGAGCCTTGGGGGAGGGCCGGCACCGTTGGGCTATCCTCGACGTGGTTGTCGTGGCCGCCAAAGTCCGCTGCCAACCTCGTCCATCCTGGGGTGTTCCCAGGCCAAGCCGCTCCAGGGCACCATCCATCCAGAACATGTCACTATTGTTCCACTGCACCACCGCCTGCACGGGAAGGTACATGATGCACTTGCTTGATGCCCCCCCCCCCCCAGGGCGGGACAAACAACCTAGGGTGAAGCGACAGAGGTGCTGCTTCTGCAGAGGATGACGATCTTGGACTACAGCCGACTCATCGGCCTTTGCACGTTCTTCTTCCTTCTCTATCACCCTACCCCCCCCCCTCCCCACTCCCCCTCCTCCCTCCCAAGTATTGGTCAAGTATATATAAGGTGTGAGCTGTCCGTGTATAAGACTCCAGCCAGCCTCCTGTTTTTCGTTTTATTCTCCTCCAGTGCACGCTACCTGTCGTTTCTCAATATTTTGCCTCTCGCTATTAGGTTTCTATCAAGTCATCTTATATATCAGGTCACCCATATACCCTCGCTACCCCAGTCTACCCTTGAGATCTTTGCTGTCTCAACGTGTTCAAAGCTTTTACACCCCATCTCACACTCTGAACACCACCTATCTTGAGTGGAAATCACTGTGAATATGAAGGCATATCTCTCGCTTCTGGTGGCCGTTGTTGCTCCGGCGCTGGCCGAGGATGTTCAGCCTCGCGGAGGCGGTGGTGGTGGCGGCGGCGGCGGTGGATGGGGTGACAAGTCCACCACGACCGATATCATTTACACTACAAGTATGTGACCTGGATTTTTTCTTTCAGGGCGTGGAATATCCTCCAACGCAGCAGTCTATTGTCAGGGCTAGAATGGACCCCCTGCTCCGATTCTGGAAGTCTGCTCTCTATGAGTTGGCCAAACAAATTTTTACCTGTCGCGCCAAAAGCAAGAAGCTGATAAAAGTCACAGCCACGGTCTGCCCTATCACACAGACTACTACGGAGCAGGGGACAACTAAGGTGTGGACTGACTACACGACGTCCACTATCGTGGTCACTAGTTGCCCTGGAGGTGACTGTGGCGGCGGCGGCGGCGTGACCGTTCCGGGCCCAACGGCATATACAACCACCACGGATGTCGAATAGTAAGTTGCCCCTCAGGTGGTCCAGATACTCCATTAGTCAGTCCTCTAACTTTGCGCAGCACGTACACTACAACGTGTCCTGTCACTGAGACCGTGACCGGGCCCGGCACCACCTACACCCAAACGTACACGACCACTTCTGTCTGCAAGGTGAGTTCCATACCGCATCTAGGGCTTCATGACGGCTGTCTTATATTCTGACCTTGCAAATAGACACTTGTGCCTTCCACGTACTATACGACCATTCCAGGGCCAACATCTTATGCTACGGTATGTCTTTAGTGCGAAGCTTCAGTTCCTCGTCCATTCCGTGTCCATGCTGACCTTCTTAAACGTGATTTAGACGGGCGTCGTCGACTATACTACTTTGACATCTCTCTGCCCAGTCACCGAGACCAAAACACTCAGTGGTGAGGTTGTGACTGTTACCTGGACTTCCACCGAGGTAATTACATACACTCTCAAGAAAAGAAGAAGCAAAAAGAAGAAGCAAAAAAGAAGAAACCAAAAATAAGTCCTTGATTCACTAACACCGCTGCCAGACAATCGTCACCGAAGTGCCCACAAAAATTTATACCACAGAGTCCCTTCCAGGCTACACTGAGACAGCTGCGGCCACTGCGTACACCACTATTACTTCCCTGTGTCCTTACTACACAACAATTACCGAAGGTGGCCAGACCTATACGCAAACCCTGACTAGCACCGAGACGATTGTGACCAAGGTCCCTACGGCTATAGCCAGCACAGTCTACACCACATCCGCGACGACTGCCTATGAGACGACTGAAACCTATGTGACTGAGACCTACCCCGTCACTTCGTACACTACTGTGGCGCAAGGATCCACGACGGTGGTTGAGGTGACTCAGACTCATTACGTCTCCGTGACCAAAGTCTACGCGACAACCGAAGTCTACCCAGTGACTAGCACCAAGGCAGTTGACACGACTGTCGAGGTCACTGTAGGCTCGGGCCAGACCGTGTCTGCCTACACTACCTATGTGGTGACACAGAATGGCACCGCCTACTTAACCACGTCGCTGCAGCCGACGACATCACTCATTCCTACCACGCGGACGACCACTGCCGGGACGGTCACCTCGAGCTCTTCCCCAACGGTGGTGACCGCTGGTGCCGACTCGCAGAACAAGCCAGCAGTTGCTCTGCTTGCTGGTATGTTTGGTCTGATGGCTCTTTTCTAAGCACCCCCACGAGCCAGCCTTTTCCGAACAGGAAAAAGAAAAGAAGAACCGAAAGTGACCAACTCTACTTTCGATGGCCTACACATACACGACCGTTCCATGATTTCTTACGCTCCTTATGACCAACGCTGGCTATGACTTTCAAAACCATGATGAGAAATTCCCCAATTGTAATGACTGGTGGTAATACGGTTGGGCGGTGGCGGAGTGGCTTTGTTTGGCGCGGACTCTTGAAAAAAAACAAAAACTATTTTCTCTACTTTCCCTTTTCTTCTTTCTTCCTCTTTTGCTTTTCGGGGATCGGGGGTCCAGGGAAAGGAGGCCGGACGGACGGACGGATGAGGGGGGTTTTTCACAAGCCACAGCAGGACAAGCTGCTATACGAACTGGGTGGGTACTTCCTAATACCGGCGCTTGAAGATACATGCACTTCATAGCAGTCTAGTTTTGACTTCTTGTAAATATACTTGAATTTGTCTCGGGATGTATTTTACGATGGGCACAAGCCCAGATGTGCTCCAACAAGGACAGCGTCAACCATACATCATCGCGTTTGCAGTGTTATATTTTGACCCAACACTCCTTTTGAGCGCTTCCCTACTCTCCAATACCACAACCCCCTCCCATCAGCTCGGTATCTCCTATTTCTAGCACAGTTCTACCATCCATCAACCCGCTTTCCCCACGGGGGCGGATCCTAGCATAATGGATTACCCCTCCCGCAATTCTCTGATGGAGTTTAGGACCAAAAGGGCACAAAAACTACCATCACCGCATATCCTCCTCGTATTCCTACTCACTACATGTTAGCGCAAAACTATGTGATCCACCACGTGCCACCCAACCGACATCCGGGGGGGAATGAGGGGGGGGGGGGGTTTTCTCTTTTAAAATTACTACTTTATACTACTCCATTAGTTCAAGAAACAGCTCTAGATCTGCCAAGAGAAGATCGTCCAGGCAAAAAGAACAGTATCAAAAAAGAAAAAAGAAGAAGAAAGGGCCGTGGGATACAGGAGGAAGAGTCATGCAAGGGGGTTATCACGACTGTTTTTAAGGTTATCTGGTGGGGTTGCGGAGCCAAAGGCTAAAAGAATCCTCCTCTCCAGCCCCACGAGGCTTCTGCTGCAGGTGTCGATCAGAGAGGCCCCACACCCTGCATGTACCATGTAAGCACTGTACTGAAATAGTAGTTGGCGGCATGGGTAGTCAAGTAGGTTCGATTGTTCCCGGGTCCCCGATGAGCAAAAGTCCAGCTCCAGAAGAGAAAGAAAGAAGGAAGAAGAAGGGGAGAGAGAGAGAGAGAGAGAGAGAGAGAGAGAGAGAGAAGTCTGTCTTGCAGTGAAGGGGTTTTCTTAGGTGATTCGGAATATCTACCACACAAGACACTCGGCGTCAGTCCTGCATATTATTCTGAGATAGACAACCAGAACGCAGACTGTAAGAAGAGCAGAAAGAAAGTGAACCACGGGCACCACATGGTTCCCCTCAACGATCCTTGGCAGTCGCCTCCGAGTCACCAGCAGCGGTCCTGACTGCCGAATGCTTCCTGCTGCCACGTCTCTGGAGGTCCTCAATGCCCATGTTCTCGACATAATCAAGGATAGGTGGCGTACCACCAGCCAGCTCCAACATTCTTAGCTCGTAATGGCCCATCTCAGCCTCCTCCAGGACCTTTCTGGGCAGGTCCTCATCGCCCTCGTACTGCCAGATCCACTTCCCATCCGGCTTCTTCTTGAGCTCCCACCCGGCGTCGGTCAGCGCCTCGGCACCCCACCGCCTCTTGTCATCGTAGCCGAGACCGTCCACGGCCAGGCGGATGCGCACCGAGGGGTGGATCTTCTCGCAGGTATCCTCGAGGTACTCGGGCAGCTCCTTGCCGTTGTAGGTGTTGAGCTTGTGGTATCTGCCTGGAGAGCGGACGATGCTGCCCGTCAAGGTGTATACGGGACTGTGAGCGCGGAGAATGGCGCCCGTTGCCCATGGTCTGAAAGGGTGGTTGTTCTCGAGGATCTCATCGTTGGCCCATTTGTAGTACTTGGGTGGGACGACCTTGGACGCCTGCTCTTTGAGTCCGTCGGGGACCTTGCTCTTGACGGCGCTAATTACCTTGGGTGCCTTTTCCTTGGGTGCTGGGGCTTCTTTGGTGGGCACGGCGGCCGCCATGGGATGTTCGCGGTAGTATCTCTCCGTATCAGCCAGCATTCGACGTAGAGATCCTTCGTCAAACTCGACACCCACTTCAACGAGTTGGTCCATCATCCCTGGTGACACCAGTCACTTAATTAGCACACACCAGCTCGGGACCATGACGCAAGAGCACAGTGGGGGTGGGGACTTGCAGGCCATAGACATGTTGGCAATTCCCTGGTCGGGCCAGCCACCGCCAACATTGCCGTGGTTTCCAGGAAACCAGACCTGGCGGAGATCAGTGTACGCCTTGCTCGATACACCACGTTCCCATATAGAGGGACTAAATGGCGGCCGGGGCTCGTCAAGCGCAATCGCATGAAAAGCATACTCGACCCGATCTGACAGCGAAGTGTCGTAGAACCGGAACTCGGAAGTCGTATGATCAATGCCTAGCTTTTTCATCCACGGGATAGACGGGACCCCGAGGCTTCCAACGGTGTCGAAAACCGCTACAGCCTTGACCGTGATGAGCTTCCCGGCACCGCCGTGCTCGAACACTCGTGTGTACCCTTTCTCGAGAAGCCTTCGTCGATATTCTAACACAGCTTCATCGCCCATAGGCTTTTCCTCAAAAGGGACGCCGGGGAATGGATCTCTGTAGATCTTGGTCCGCCAGTTCTGCATGTCTTTGAAGATGGGGAAAAAGTACTCCATGCCTTCTCGGGTAAGAAGCCCCAGGTTCCCAATCATACCGGCGATGCTTCGGGCGGTAAAGGCGCCGCGGGAGAAGCCGATGAGGATGATCTCGTCACCATCGACATAGTTGGCACAGATGAAGGAGTAGCTCTCGCGCATGTTCTAGCCTCCGTTATCAGCAGCAGAGAAATCTTTTTGGGGGACCAAGATTGAAGAAAGGATCATTCATTACTTCTGCAACGCCGGTGCCGAAAGCACCGCCTGTGAATGCGTCCGCCATCGTGCTCCCAGTACCCACACCAGATTGGTAATAGATGACCTGGACGCTTCCATCACTACAATTTCGGTTGAAAGATCGAGCCAGCCGTGTGACATTGGAAGGAGGCTGAGGCCTGCCCTTCTCGAAGCCTTTGTCCGAGTTCATCCATGTTCCGTCGCAACAGATGATGAGCCTCTTCTTCTGCCGAGCCATTTGGGACTCTTGGCCTGGTTTTCACTGTTCTTGTTGGTGTCCGAGTCGGCTGTTGATCTAGGTTCTCTATAGGGCATGCATGTAAGTATGTTGTGGTCCAACCAGAAGGATGTTGGGCAAAAGGAGCCACAAAGGGAGGTGTTGATGGCCTTTGGCCCTTGATGACATTGTCTGAAGGATGCAGAAGTGATGATCGATCACTGTTGACAGTCTTGTTTCAAACCTGGTAATGGTGATGATCAATCACAGCAGGTGCAACCCAGGACCACAACTGTTGAAGAGAGGAAAGTGCTGAGGACAAGGCCCAGGATATGAGGTGGGGCCAAATGATGTAAGATGATTGGTCAATTCACCACGTTATGCTAGACGACTTAGTACATCACAGCTACTGCTGATGATGTGTCTGAATAGATAATTGGTCTCGCAGCAGAAATTCAGCAGTCAGTTCCCTTCTGAACTCTGGAGACCACAAGTCCGCCCTGCTCGCGCCGATTATCTATTCACACCTCCATGTTGTGATTGCTTCATATGATCACACTCAACGCATATTCCTGAATGTACCCAAACCCTCCTCTAAAAAAAGGATGATCGAGTTGGCACACAGAAATTTCTGTTGCGAGGGCCAGACATCTGTGCGCAAGTTCTAAACCAGCCTTTGAGGTTCCGAGCTACCAGGCGACGTGTCGAGTGTAGAGGCAGCTGCTGTCAATCAGATGTCTGCTTCCCTTGTCAGTGTACAACTACTCATCAAAAGAGGAACCCCAAAGAGCTCTCACCTCTCCCTGTTTTGATTTCTTCCTCTTGTTCAGGCAACACAAAAGGTAGAAAAGAAGTGACTTTGCCCTGTGCCTTCTCCTTTCCTCCTCCTCCTCCTCCTCAACTACCATTTTACTGGTACTGGGCGACTGCTGCAGTCTGCGCAGCAGCACCCAGACCCAGCTCACTCTCGATCTGAAGACGCGCTACCGAGTCAGCGCTATATGACACACTGGGGCGCTTCTTCTTCCAGTCGGATTCGGAGGGCGGAGATGGCAGGATGTCAATGGTGGTGGGAGGCAAGGGACCCAGACGCAGGGCATTGGCGGCGTCGATCTCGAGGTGGTGCTTCAGCGCAGCCAGACACTGGTGGTAATAGGCGATTCTCATCTTGGTGAGGAGGAGAGACCGTTGCTTCAAGCCGCGCCACCTGTGAAAGAAAACGTCAGTGTCCCTGAATGCGTTACAAGAATGGTTTGGAGGGAGGAGGAATGGGTCATGGGGAAAACGTACTGGTCAACCAAGAACGCGAATGTCCCGCGATACCTTCCAGCACCCTGGTGATTGGCAAGAAAGGCCTCGCGACCAGCCAAAAGACGTCTCAGCAGCTCAACGACGTGTTTTGGATGACAACGCCAGCCTAGAAGCGTAGCGATGTCGTCGGCGAGGCCAGGTATGTCTCTGAACTGGCGAAGGGCCCAGAACGTCCGCAACACAGCGATCGTGTTCTTGCGCACCGTGTCGGACAGCGAGAACGCACGAGGCTTGAAGAGTTCGAGCTTCAAGTGGTGAGATATTGCCTTGTTACTGAAGCGGAAACCGCGTGGCTGAGGGCAGAAGGTGGTACGCATGTTGGAAATGGTGGAGATATCCCGTCGAGGTGGTGTTTGGAAAAAGGATTCACACTGTTTGGGTGTTTTGGGGGGGGGGGGGGTTGGATGTTGTAAACGCAGGTTGGCCTGGTGAAAGTAGAGGCTCCCACTATCAGTAGAAAGCACAGATACTAGAATTTTCTGTACAGTCGATCTCTTCCATACAATGCGCTTCGCTCGCCTCGTGGGGAACTGATGGTAATGTGACCTTATTCACAGGAGCGGTATTCAATCCAGCTGCTGCCACAACTTGAACTTTTCAATGGTTCTGGTCTGCATTTCGATGTTGTTGCCAGCACCTCGTGTGCAGTTTCATGTGTAGACTCTTCAGAATTTGGCAAAAGTTCTACGTTTCGTTCCTTTTCCAGTTTATGTATGTGTTCCTTTCAATTCATGCGTACTTTAAGGAGCTCATACCTAGAATTCTGTGCGTCTCGCGTGAACTTCACTTCCTTAAATGTGGCTGATCCATCTCCAACGTCATGGATAAAATACACAATTAAGGCACAGAAAATAATACGTGCGAAATTCGGTATATAGTATATTTGGAGACAGCATTAGAAAGATCTTGCCAACACATCACATGAGCAGAGCAAGGTATTTACAAACCAGGATAAGAACTGTTGAGATTTGGGATAGAAGCTGCGGTTGTCTGACCACATATGTGAAAACTCATCAACTCTCAATATGGAAATTGCGTAATTATGTAGACTGGCTGGGCGAGCAATGATATCGACATGAGCTTTTTTTCTCTGTACACTTAAAATTCTCGAAGTCAGTCCAGCTTAGCTCTAAACCACACGATCACCTATCTTGAAATCTCAAGCGCGTCTCCAGTACAACAAGACGTGAGCATGTAGATTATGATTATATTTGGAGGTTACTGGATAAATAAGAACGTAATGTAACTCAGGTACTATAAATAGTCAATCATATGACTTCTTAGACCAATTTACACATACTCTTCATGGAAACCGCTTTTATATGAGCAGTCCTTGACCGCAACATATGATTAACTACCCATTTTCTCTGATCTATTACTAACATCTCTTCCATTATTCGATACAGAAATCTCCCAGTGGCTCTTTGTTTCATTTTTATATAGTAAGTTTTCGTTTCAAATTATCACCCATTTCCAGAGTCAGGCCCCCCAGAATGCAGAAGCGACCGTCCCTGAACCCTATCACAGCTTTTGAAAACCAGGACGACCAGCCTGCTTCGTGTGACCAACTTCACCTCTACCAGTTCAATGTCCAACGCAGCACAGAAGGAGGGGAAGCGAGTTGAGTTCCCCTCCTTCTCACGGCAGGCAGCGCCACTCAGACGGGGTGAAGTGGGATGTCCGGCAAAAGCGTGGGGGTTGCCGTCCACTACGACCTGACGTGCACCACCAGATCATCTGGACAGAGGGATGCGTTACCATGGCCTTCTCCGCTTTCCAATGCCAACTTGATGACTTGACTCTCATCTCATGCTCACAGTACAGAGAGCATCATCGAGGATACCAGGCTCAACGCCTGTAAATCAAGACTCCGAGACGCTTGGCCATGGCCAAACCCCCGACACCCGGAGAGGGTGATGGAATCGAGGCCTTCTTCCATCGCAGTGGTGCGCCACCAGACACGAGACACCAGTGCCAAACGCTAGCCGCACATCTATTCCCCGGCATGAGAATAGAGGAGGCAAACCCCCAAGGGTACTGCTCTTACACTCTATACGTGGGCGCCGACTGTGTCTTGCAGTTCAGACCACCAGCGCACAGGCTAGATGTAGACCTGGCCAAGGCAGCCCGCGATGTCTATGGTGAACTCGCCCCGCACACCGAGCTACTCACCGTGCTGAAACCCTCTGTCATCGTCGCCACCCCACCTGCCTGTGCAGTCCAGGACCGCAGGATTGCAGATGACGACCAGAGGCCTGCAGACGAAGGCATCTCGATACAAGATGACGATGACCACCACCACCACAGGCCCATCCAGGCCTCCTCGTTCGACGTCATCTCCATGACCAGGACAAGAGGCATCTCGCTGGCCGAGCACCGCGCATCACCTGCTCACGTCTCTCTCACCCCAGGCCAACGCACACGACAGCGCGAGATCCTCGTGGCCCAGTTCGCCCACTTCATCGCCACCGGCTGGAACCATCGACGACGCGCTGGCCCTGCTACGGCCTCGAGCAGCCGCCAGCTCGCCCTTCTTCCGCGGCGGATCGGTGGGTCGATGAGGTGGCGGCTGGAGCAGATGAGGGCCGGGCTGCCGCGGCGGTTCAGGGCGGTGGTGGAGGGGACACTGGCACAGCTGGACGAGATCGTGACGGAGCTGCCGTGGGTGCTGACGCATGGGGATGTGGTGCCGGGCAATGTAATGATTTCTGAAGAAAATGAGGAGGAGGAGGAGGAGGAGGAGGAGGAGGAGGAGGAGGAGACGGCTTCGGCGGCGGTTGGCCTGGCTGGATTCTTGGACTGGGCGGAGGCTGAATATTTGCCCTTTGGCGTAGGCTTGTATGGTCTGGAAGCATTTCTGGGTGAGGAAGAGGCTGGCGCTGATGGCTGGTTCTCTTATTTCCCTGATGCGCAGGAAGTTTGTGAGTACTTCTGGGCCCGGCTGGCGGCGGAGATGCCTGGTGTGGACCTCAGCTGTGGCAGCTCCTTCCGCGGGCTGGTGGATGCGGCACATACTCTCGGAGTCTTGCTGTGGCACGGGATCGCGTTTGACGACGGTAAGCTGAACCGGGTTGTCGAGGAGGGGCGAGATGCAGGAGAAATCAGGCGTCTCGATCTCTTTCTCGGCTCTCGGTTGCTGGAATGTGAACACCCAGACGGCAGTGGTGGCATCAGCCGTCATTCTCCTTCTCCTGCTCTTGGGAGACGGCGGCACCTGTGGCCGCGCGACAAGGGCGCCGTGGATGGCCGGATTTGGACACGAGGCCTGCCTTTCCTGCACTTGTTTGGCAAGAAACCAACATGTGTTTGATTTGTTTCTCAGAGCAGAACTGGGCCCGAGTGCGCCGAGTGCGGTCTGCTCGGGAATTTTGATCTCCTCCAAGGCGTGTTCGTACTGGCAACAGACTAGACTTGGGTGGTTCTTATCTCAGATGGGACACTGGAGTCCGAGGAGCTCCGCGACAAGTCATTTCATAGGACGCACGATGGATCAAGTTGCTGGCTGTGTGTATGTTTGTGGAGAATGGTGCCAGAACTTTTGTCTATTCACGTCATATGCAAGTTTCGAGTGCCCACCGTTGGGCCTCTTGCAGATGACCGGCCCTTGTATATGTACAAATACCCATCGCGGAACCATGGTCCTTCAGAGTCTAGAATAAGTCGCTTATTCATCCCTTCCCGGCTATCATTTTCTCGTCGAAGATGGCTGCTTATCTTTTCTTGTTTTCTTTTTCTTCTCCTTTCTTTCCAATAACAAATAGGCCGTTTCTGGTGTCTCTCACTTCTTGAGGATCTTCTCCAGCTCCGCAACCACCGCGTCACCCATATCCTTGGTGGTGGCGCTGCCCGCAAGATCCTTCGTGCGGGTGCCGTTGTCGATGGCGTTCTTGACAGCCAGCTCGACGGCCTTTGCCTCGTTGGGCAGACCGAGGGAATACCTAAACATCATGGCCACGGACAGGATGGTGCCAATGGGGTTGACGATGCCCTTGCCGGAGATGTCAGGTGCCGAGCCTGCGTGTGTGTGTCTCAACGTCAGCCAAAACAAGAAGGAGAATGAAAAAAAAAAAAAAAGGTATCAAATAGTTGCTTCATAAAAGAAAAGGAAACTTTACCGTGGATGGGCTCGTAGATGCCGTTGCACTTGCTCTTGCCGTCGGGCAGACCACCCAGGCTGGCACTGGGCAGCAGGCCGATGCTGCCAGGGATGACGCTGGCCTCGTCGCTAATGATATCGCCAAACAGGTTGCTCGTCATGACGATGCCGTTGAGGGTGCGGGGGCTCTTGACCATGAGCATGGCGGCCGAGTCGATGAGCTGGTGCTCGAGCTGCAGCTGGGGGAACTCGCGGGCGAACAGGTCGGTGACCGTCTTCCTCCACAGGCGGCTGGTGGCCAGGACGTTGGCCTTGTCGAGACTCCAGACCTTGGCTGGGGGGTCCTGGGCCAGGGCAAGGAAGGCTGACAGGCGGGCGATACGCTCAATCTCGGCCCGGCTGTAGGGCTCTGTGTCCATGGCAAAGCCCTTGATGCCATCATCCTCCTGGCGGTCGCCAAAGTAGATGCCGCCCGTCAGCTCGCGAACGACGACAAAGTCGGTGCCGCGGCATACTTCTGCCTTGAGTGGCGAGCTGTCGACTAGGGACTCGGAGGCGAAGCTGCAGGGGCGCAGGTTGCCGTATGTCTCGAGCTCCTTGCGCAGCTTGAGGATGCCCGCCTCGGGCCGCAAAGGTGACGAGGGGCCCCATTCTGGCCCGCCGATGGATCCGAGGAGGACGGCGTCGGCCGACTTGGCAGCGGCGAGGGTCTCATCGGTAAGAGGGGTGCCATGAGCATCGATGGAGGCCTAGCGAAGAAGAAAGAAGAAGAAGGATGAGATGAGTTCGGTGTTATGGCATGTCATGCTGAAGAGGGGAGGGTGAGATGGGACCAAACTTACACCGCCAAAGAGGTGCTCCTGCAGGTTGAACTTTCCTGCTGATGGGCTTAAGGACTCAACAACCTTGATGACCTATGATGATTTGTGTGGCGTGTAAGTAAGTGAGTGTAAAGGTCGTCCCTCGTCCACCTCCTCGACCCCGTCAGACCCAGCTTTTCTCATGCGCCGAGCGAGGTTCATACCTTGACTGCCTCATTGACCACCTATTCATACAGAAAATCTCTCGTTAGCTTATCTCATTTATAAGTCTCTCAAGAGACGCACGGGACTTGGTGCTTGTCATTGGCATGTCATGTCCTCAGGGCATCACATGTTCGAAAGAGGTAGGAAAGTGTGGCGGCTCACCTCAGGGCCACAGTGATCTCCGCCCAGAACCACGATATTGTGCGTTGCCATCTTGAATTAATAGGAACTTTGCTGAAGAACAAATCAATTGCAAGGAAGAGAAAGTCCAAATTCTTAAGATTTTGGGAAGAGAGGTTCAGTTGTTCTTCTCTCTGTTCAACGCCGGACGTGGACGATTCTGTGTGAAAATCTGCCCCTCATTTCTCGTGGGCGTCTTTCCGGCTTCCGAGATCGGGGCCTGACCTTGCTCAACACGCTGAACGCGGAACCACGGATGAACAAAACCACCCTTGTAACGCGCTTGCTTCTGAATAGCAGCATATAAATGATGGACTTTCTGCTCCTCTTGAACTATCACTAACACTTCTACACGAGCTGCAAAATCAATTCACCAGCTTAAACGTCATGCGCATTTCAATTGTTGCAGGCACGAACACGGCACACAAGGCACGCAACGAGATTTGACACGGGTAAACAAAGAAGAGCTTGAAAAAGGAGGGGAAAAAATGACGTCGACTGCTTGCCCAATTGGCCGAGGCTTTCTTCCGCTCCGCGACGCCGGGTTCAGCTCCCGATGCATCTGAAGATGCTGTTGTGCTGGCTGAGGATCTTCTTATAGTCCCACAGAGATGCGACGGAAGGAGGGACAGCTGCACCCAGAGCCCAAATACAAATGTCAAATTGGAAACTGTGCTATAACGCTGACCTGAGCCTTCACCTAAAGTAGACTGAATAGGCGAACAAAACACCACTCTAGCACGTGTAAGCCGCGGGTCGTCGATTTGTTGTTCTTCTTTCCTGAACCATCGGTTTGCTTCCATCTCGTTCAGGGTCCAACCCCCCATTATCCGTCCAGACCCTTTAATTCTTGCGGAGGCAGCTAAAACGAAGGCCCCTAATTGAGGGCTACGTGGGCAGCCATATTATTAAGATGGGCCACCCGTTCTAGCCGGGTCCAGCCCCTGAAACGGCCCGCAAATCTGGCCCGAGAGAGAGAGAGAAAGGGAAGGAAGGCCTCGAAGCTGGCGACCTGCTAGGTGACGTCTTAGGGTCCTCGGTTGCTGCTTCTCCCTCTCTATTTTGGGTCGGGCGACGGCAAGTGAGGATGAGGTCGAAACCAAGGAAGCCAGAGCGATTATCAAGTCTTCAGGATGATGTGTACATGAGCCATCCTGCCTTGATTTTCTTCTTTACTGCATAAAACACATGTCATTCCCTTACTCGCCCAGTCACACGGTGACACGCGAGCGGTGTCTCGCGTATCCATTTGTCCTCTCCAAAGCTCGAGCTCGTGGGGGAAAAAGGCCCTTGTCCGTTACGACACAAGTCTGGCCGGGAAGAATACCCACTTTCAGGGCTCGACTTCCACTCTTGTATCAAGGCGAAGCTGGGCCTCCAAACCTATTTTCCTGGAGATCGCCAGGCGGTGAGGTGGACGTGGTGTCAAAATTGATGGACTTTGGTTGAGCCGAGTATGTGGCGCGATTGCACACGTACTCACTCACTTACTCGTTGTCTAGCATAGAGTTTCTTCTTCCCACCGCCGTCGAAGCCCTCCTTTTATTTGGAATAAACAGATTCCCACATACATCGTAACATCTCCTCCCCCGTCCAGGACAGAGTGGTGCAAACACTCCTACAACAGTCGTCATGGCGGCGGCTGCACCACAAGAGCAGCAGCAGCAGCAGCAGAAGGAGGAGGATGGAGAACTCCCTCCGCCCAGTGAGGCCATCACCCAGGCCGGTGGTGGCGTCTCCGGCGCGGGTCCCGCCCGCAGCATCACCACTGTCTCTGCTGCTGTGCTCCCATACCTCGAGAAAATCTTCAACTGTCATGCCGACACCAGCCAGGCCTGGCACCGTGGCCAGGCAGAGACCTTCATCCGATGCACTCAGGCTGGCGACCCGAATGGCAGCGCCGAGGGCCTCCCTGCCGACCTGGCTACCAAGGACGAGCTGGACTTCAATGATTTTCTGCGCTACATGACCAGTGATGCTACCAGCGCCGTCACACCCCTGAATGCACAAACGGGTGGGGACCTGTCCTATCCGCTGAGCAGCTACTTCATCTCCAGCAGCCACAACACGTACCTCACGGGAAACCAGCTCAGCAGTGATGCCAGCACGGACGCGTACAAGAACGTCCTGCTACGCGGGTGTAGATGCATCGAGATTGATGTCTGGGATGGGGACGAGTCAGACTCAGAGGCCAGCGGTTACTCGTCGAGTGACCTCGAGGATCATGACCCCAAGAAGGCGGCTGCAGCTCGCGCAAAGAGGAAGGCAAAGGTCGACAAGGCCAAGGCCAAGATTCCCAAGTCCGTGCTGCAGAAGCTTGAGCAGACATCGCTCGGCAAGAAGCTCGAGAAGTATGTCGAGAAGAAGACGGAGCCCAAGGCGCCCGCCTCGCCGTCTACCTCGTCAGCAGCAGCAGCAGCAGCAGCGCCAGCGCCAGCACCCGCAGCGAAGGATGATTCGAAAGTGAAAGTCGCCAGCCAGGCCTCCTCCTCTCCTGCGCCGCCGTTGGTGGAGAAGCTCCCGGCCCTCGCGGCGGCTGTTATCGAACCCCGTGTACTACATGGTTACACGCTAACCAAGGAGGTCTCCTTCCGCGAGGTGTGTTTGGCTATCAAGGAGTACGCCTTTGCCGTGACGGATCTGCCGCTCATCGTGAGTCTCGAGGTGCATGCAGGGCCTGAACAGCAGGAGATCATGGTCAAGATCATGAACGAGACCTGGGCCGGCCTCCTACTCGATCCGCCTGAGAAGGAGGCCGACGTACTCCCGTCGCCTAGCGACCTGCGTCGCAAAATTCTCGTCAAGGTCAAGTACGCGCCCCCTGGCCAGGAGGTCTCTGCGGCCGCCGCATCCGACGAGGATGTCTCTACGCCGGGCCAAGTCGCTGCCCCTGGGTCTCCAGAGGCCAAGAAGAAGAAGAAGCCCTCCAAGATCATTCATGCTCTGAGTGCCCTGGGCATCTACACCAAGGCCGTTTCGTTCAAGTCGCTTCACCAACCGGAAGCCACTATGCCGTCACACGTCTTTTCCCTGGGCGAGAAGAGCGTCAGAGAGGTGCACGAGAAGCAGGGTCAGGACCTGTTTGAGCACAACCGAAAATATCTCATGCGGGCGTACCCATCTGGCTTCAGAGTTGGCTCGTCCAATCTGGACCCTACGCCGTTCTGGAGGAAGGGGATCCAGATTGCCGCGTTGAACTGGCAGCACTGGGATGAGGGCATGATGTGAGTGGGAAGCAAAAGCATCCAGAAGCGCTGGCCTGATTATAATTGCTGACCCATTGTCCCTACCCACCATACAGGCTCAACGAGGGCATGTTTGCCGGCTCAGGCGGTTACGTTCTCAAGCCTCCAGGCTACCGACACGACAAGCCTAACGCGCCCGCCGAGACCGCCCACGTGCAGCACCGCACGCTGGACCTCGAGATCAAGGTTCTCGCCGCTCAGAACCTGCCGCTCCCGCCCGAGACCTCGGTCAAGTCGTTTAACCCTTACGTCAAGGTCGAGCTTCACGTCGAAGCCGGTGGGGAGCGCCACGGCCACTTCCCCGCCGACGGTCACGAGTGTGACCTGGCCACCGCGGCCGCTGCCAAGGCCGCAGCCGCCAGGCGCAGCGAGGACGATGAGGAGGTCGAGGGCGAGTACAAGGCGCGCACCAAGACCGCCAAGGCCACGTGCGATCCGGACTATAAGGGCGAAATACTCGAGTTCAAGGCCATCCCAGGCGTCGTCGAGGAACTGAGCTTCGTGCGCTTCATCGTGCGCGACGACGTCAAGTTTAGGCGGGATGATCTCGCTGCATGGGCGTGTGTACGCCTGGACCGGCTGCGGATGGGGTACCGCTTTGTGAGACTTATGGATGCCAAGGGGAAGGAGAGTGAGGGGGCTATTCTTGTCAAGGTCATGAAGAAGGTCTATTAGTTCGGGTTGATTGGGTTGCGGAAGTTTTGTGTAAGGGGAGACACACAGAGAGAGAGATGGAGGGAGGGGTGGGGATATTTGGCACTTTCGTGGCTGCGTGGCTTGGTACAGAGCCAGTCAGTAGTATCCTTTCCAACAGGTTTGGGGTAACATAAAAATCAAAGAGAGACAGAAAGGTTCTTATGATTCTATACTCTGTTTTTAATGGCCCATTGCATGCCTAGTGCTCTGTACAGTCTTGAACGCAACAAGTTTGAATTTCATTCTCCATGTACTCCCCTGGGCCATGATCTGTCTAATCGCTGACCCCTTAAAAAAAGCATGTCAAAGTTCCATAACCACCATCTCGCACTATAAATCGCTGAGAGCTCTTCCGGCTGTTTGTATGTGGGAGCCCCTTAAAAATCCCATTTGCCTGGCATATCAACGCCAAACTCCATTCATCCCTTCTGAAAATGACAATAAACCCCCCCCCCCCCCCTTCTTTCTCTCTTCCCAGGTCTGCAAGGAATCTCATTGTTGGAGACAATGCTCTGCTCACCACCTTTTATAAAGTCCCGTAGCCTCTTGATCTTTTATTACCACGACCAAAGAACCTTGTGGTGGAGCGTCCTCGGCCCCAGCCTCTCGTACTCGATGGGCGTGATCCACGAGTCGTTCATGGAGAGCTTTCCGAAGACGCTGGCGCCCTTCCAGACGACCACCTGCTCGTCCATGTCCCTAGCGCTGCGCGACACCAGGACTCTATCCGCGATGTCGGGCCGCCGCGCGCGGAGCCTCTCCTCGAGGTACGTGGTGAAGTGGGGAATCTTGGCACCGCCGCCAATCACCATGATGGAGCCCATGAGGTCGCGCGTCTTCTTCTCGTCACCCTTGGCGGCGTATTGTATTGATATCATGATGGCCGTGTCCAGGGGCGCGATGGGGAGCACCGAGTCCCGCTCGATGGCCTGCAGCTTGCTCACCGGCACGCTGGGGTCGGCGAACATTCCTTGCGGAGCCGGGGTGGCCTGGATTTGAGGCTGGAACCCATTGGTGGTCGGTGCTGGCGTCCCACCGTTCGGTGCGGGACTTGCGTTGCCGTTCAGGTTCTCCTTCCCAAAGACGAAAGGAGGCGGGACCGGCGTGCTGGCACCCTCTGGCGCAGGGGACGGGGCGTTGGAGGCCTGTGGTGTGCCATCACGGACGATGTTGTTGAAAGGATTCGGCTTCTCCTTCATCGGCGTCGCAAACTCGGCGGCTGCGGGCGCTGCGCCGTTGACCCCTTGGTTCAGCTGATTTATCGAGGGCTTGGACAAAGCCAGAATACTGGTCTGTGCCGCCGACAAGGGGTCGTCAGGGACCTCCACCTCGTAAGGGTTGTAGGAGCGGTCGATAATCTTCCGGCGGCCACGAAGCTTCGTCGAGTTGTCGAAGATCTCTGGGTCGTAGAAGCCCATTGGGGCCAGTATGACCTCGTCGTATGTCTTGAACTGGTACTTCCGTGTGGGCTGGTTTGGAGCGCGCAGGTGGAACTGGAAGAGCTGGACCGAGATCTCTGCCTGTGTCATCGTACAGTGCTTCACCTTGAGCTCCTCGGCCAGAAGGAAGTCGTGCCGCCGCCGGAGGTTGATGTCCGCGTAGGGGAAGTTATCGAACAGCATCATCTTGATAAACGTCTCGGTGACGTCGTAGCCGCCGTACTTCAAGTTGATGCGCGAGTCTTCCAGACACAGGCCGTCCTCGACGCAGGTGATGGACGTCTTCTGCGCGCCGACATCCACAACGCAGGCCTGCGTATACCCTGCTCCGAAGGTCGCAGCCATGCTCTCCTGTATGAAGCAGACCTTTGAGAACTCGAACCAGTTCATACAAGAACGGAGCGCCTGTTCGACGTATCTCTTGTCGTAGAGGTCGGGGATGACAAAAACGCAGCTGTATTGCTTCCAGGCGCTGTTCTTGTTCAAGCCAAGCTCTTGCCGGATGGTCTTGTCGAGAAGGGTCTCAAAGTCGTCGTACAGATGCTCCTTGCTCGTGTAGTCGTCCTCGTTAAGCCAGCCGCACTGCATGGGCCACCAGAGCTTGAACTTGGGATTCGAATCGTCTGGCACCCTCTGCGCCGCATTGCCAATAAAGCACGAGGCGACAGAGTTTGGATCCTCCAACGACTTGATGTCTGTCCACTCGACCTGCAGAGGATCGTTATGGACGGGTATGATCTCTGGGTCTGCTCGCCGGTTGTAGTTAACAACGAGCTCCTTGGAGTTTGGCAGGACCTTGCGCTTGTTGGCGCGCATGTCGATCTTCAGGTCACTGGACTGCTTCGTGTACTTCTTGGACCACTCCTCGCCATACTGCTCCTCGGACGTCTTGGCCTCGAACTGCCGTCTGGGCAGAGCCTCGTACTGCTCAGATTCGGTCTGCGGGAATCGAGTCGCTAGGGTCATGGGTATGGTCTTGGGCAGCGCGTCGCTTGCGAAACCTATGCGGAGGTTTTGACTGCCGGGGTGGATGACAATGATATGCGAGGGATCATTTTTGGCTGGAGCGGTACCGTCCTCATCTGCGGCGGCGCCCATTTCCTCCTGCACATCTTCTGCCAGCAGTGGCACCTCGCCTCTGGGGTTAAGGGCGCGCTCGCGGTCTCGGTCCTTGGCCGATTGCACGATTCGATCACGGTTGGCTTCATTCTGGAGTCGCAGGGGCAGGATCTGGTCGTCCCGTTTCATGTAGTCCCTATATGAGCAGGAGAGGGGTGAAGTCAGCCATTGCTGAGCCTCCTATCAGGACCAGAAGGGAGAAGAGGAAGAGCCACACAGAGAAAGAGAGGACCTACGTATAGTAGTTCTTTTGGTTGATGGGCATGACATCTGGCCAGCTGCTCTGCTTCATGCCATTGTCAGTCCGCTCGAGACCTGTGTCAAATACCACCTGTCAGCAACAGTGCACAATATCATCACTCATCATTGCAAAAGTCCTGTGTCGCATCCCATCCATCCATCGACCCTTCGCAGGGAAAGAGACAGAGAGAGAGAGAGAGAGAGAGAGAGAGAGAGAGAGAGAGATACTGACCCTCACGGGCGAGCACACGCTCGCTGACCTTGCCAACCATTATGACTTTTGTTGTGGTGATGGATTGGCGATGGTGTGATCAGGAAGGAGGAAGAGATGGTGGTGGTGCCAAGACGAAGTTTACGAGGTTGTATAGTAGTAGGTCATCTCGAATTTCGCGACCCGCGAGCTCAGCAAGCTCTAGGTTGCGCTGCCTCGCGTGCAACCTGCAGAGAAGACCCTTGACGGTGAATGAGGAGCAAGTCGATTTAGCTGTGTTAGAACTTAGTGCCCACTAGAGAGCACAAATGGCCCGTGCACCAGCAAGCATATCCCCCAACCCGGCTTCACCTGGGGCGGCACTGGACAGGCCTGGCTCTTGGAGTGCTGGCTAGCCTTTTGTTTGCCCTGCAAGACAAGACGAGGCCATCACCACTCCTCTTTAAGAGAAGTGGATTTATTGATTCCGAGCATCATTACTAATTGACTGCTCTAGCGATACTAGCCCTGCTCTCTATATGCAAAATGAGACATCTTGCTCATGAAAGCTAACCTAGTGTTTCCACGTATTGTTCAGTCTTCATGCCTGTTCAAGATCAGATCAAGATCAAAATCTAGACACCTAACAGGTTGGCACTGAGGATAGCGAACAGTCACCCAGAGGCTGCTGAAAATATCACAATTTGTGGAGATCCAAGTAGAAACATGAAAATCCGAGGGTATCTTCCATTATTGTGAGTGCCAAGTGTAAAAGAAATTCCAAGTTTGACCACAGTCTGAAAGCCAATAGGAATTCAATCTACCCAATTAAGCCTATAACACTTGAAGACACTGCAGACTTCTAAGCAACTCTCAACTGTTTACAGCAACAAATATGTTTCTTGCTGAAGTCACCATCTGTCTATTCCTTTCTATTTTGTCATTATTTTCGATTTTTGAGTTGTTGCTTACCTGCCCCTCCTGGCGTTACAAGGAAGTCCATCACCTGACAGCAATGACGTCGTTCCCTTGCCGCTTTCAACTTGCCTCTTTGCCTCCAAAGAGGTCAATGAAGACAGCCGTTCCAGAATTCCAGACAGGACACGTCTCTCTCTCTCTCCCCCTTGACAAGAACCACTTCAAAACAATCAGCGTCAAGTTGTGAAAAAATTGGCTCGGAGTCATACTGACCGACTGACTGATCCTCTGACTCCTTTGTTTTCTTTTCCTCCTTGAGAAGGTTAGCAATCTCTGTCAAGGAAGCCTGGACTGTTTCCTTTTGAGTTTCCCAGATCCAAAAACACAGAAGATCTACAAACTCACCTCCCTATATTAAATCAACAAAGGCTCGAGTTCCAGCAAACAACTCGCTAAAGGACCGTCAAAATGCCTCCGATTCCAATCTACTCTCACAGTCCCATCAACGCTGCCAAAGCAAATGGCGTGACGCCCCAGACAGCAGAGAAGGAGCAAGGCGCAAATCCAGCACCACCGCCTACAAACACACAGGGCACGCCCGGACCACCAGCGGACCACAACGCCTACCCAGCAGCCCAAGCAGGCGCTGTCCCTTCCATGCCAGCACCCACAGGCGCAGCCTCTCTATCACAACAGCAGCAGGCGCCCCTCCAGCCTACGCCCACACAAGCTCTCGCGTCGTCAAGCCCGCCACCTCCTCAACCAGGTGCCTTTCCCGTGCCGCCCGGCTCATCGACGCACCCGCCAGCAGCCAGGTCCACAGGCCTTCCGCCGCCGCCCAAGGCTGGCGAGGCGTCCTCCACCCAGGCGCAGACTCCGGCGTACTATCCGCCCCAGATGTCCATCCCCGCGCCGCCCGCCTCGACGACACAGGGCGCTCAGCGCGGGACCAGCACCGCGTTCGTCGCGGTTCCCTCGCCGCTGGAGCATCCGCCCGGCTACCAGCAGAACCCAAACGCGGGTGAGCTGGACCGGTACCAGCGGGCCGCGCAGGAGGCCCTGGAGAGGGATGAGGAGGCGAGGCGGCGGCTGGGAGGCGGAGGCAGCTACGGGGACGGAGAGGCTGGGGTCTGGGACAGCGTAAAAGGGGCCATGGTGGCGGCCGGCGAGAAAATTGCTGCTGCCGAAGAAGGGGTCTGGAAGAGGATCAACAAGGAGCTGTGAGACAAGAGAATGCTTTCACGAGCTGATGTCCTTTTGGACGAGGGGTCCTTGTGTGCACGAGGGGACGAGACACGCACAGATGGGCAGTAGTCCGTCCGACTGGCCTCATTGTGACCTGGGACAGTCTTTCGTGCGTGTCTATGTGTGTGTGTTGCATCGGACATGTGAAGGTTATGCCGCCTGAGCTCGGTGCAGGAGGATCATGAGAGAGCTCGCTCTTGGTGTTGGGTGACGTACTCCATCGTCGCGGCCTGCCAGGGTCGGATAGTGTGACATGCTCATTGAGGCGATGCAAGGAGGCCAACCAACGATGTAACTCGTAGGGAATATGGAGGTTTCTTCGGACGAGGCTCTCAACCGACGGAGTTAGGATCGTTTCCAACAAAAGAAGCTACTTAGTTACAAACAATCTAGACGAGGCAATGTAGCAACAACAAACATGGCTGTTCACACACGTCCCCTGGCGAAGTCCTCTCTTTCTCCCCCCCCCCCTTTTTTTTTTTCTTCTCTTTCCCTTCCCCCTTTTCCCTTGTTTGTTTTTAGGTGCTTACTACTCTGCAACAGTCACCAATCTACAGTACTGATGGGAGCCTCTCGCATCGACCTTAAGAAGGATGACGAAACAAGGCTGAATCGTCATATCTAAATCAATCCGCCGAGGGAGTGGAGGGGGTGGGAGAAACGGCGGGCGATCGACAACCACTAAAGACTACCGGGTTGGTCTTATTTTTGGTGGTCAGATCTTTGCTCAGCAGCGCCTCCCCCCCCCCCCCCCCCCGGCGGCCCGACTGGCGAGATGCGGGATGCGTTGCGTATTGTGTCATGAGGGATAAGGGGAAAAGAAAAGAGGGAGGGAAGGGTGGGATGGGATGGGATGGAGGGGTTGTGTGGGCTTGTCGCTCATCGAGGACCTTTTGGAAGAGGGAGAAAGGACTAATTCGGCCAAATTCATCCTATACAGCGCCGAACACAGGTTTGCGTGCAGGGGGGAGGACAATAGCTACGTAGAGGGCAGGTGAATATCACAGCCCGCTGTATAGATGTCATCATCGTTTTTTATTTTACAAGATAAATCAAGACTTCTTTGAGGGACAGAAAACCGTCACACGCTTAGTATCGCGCGCTCACGGAAATATCCGAGGCCCTGTCTGTGCTGGGGGGCGGGTCCACTACTGATTTCCTAACTGTTTCCCTTCCTCTTTTGTTTTCCTCCGCTCCGTCTTGCTACCCAGTGGGGAAAGGTGAAGCACAAGGGGAAAAAAGAAGAAGAAAAAGAAACACTAAAAGCTACCATGTCCATTGCTCGTGTTTCTTGTGGCTTTGTTTTCTTCCCCATGTCTGTTTTTCTTGTCTTTATTTTCCTTACTTTGCTTTGCCCACTTGCGACAGATATGATATCCCTGGATGGGCTATTTACAGAAGTTTCGGAAATTAAAATTGCATGCAACAAACCAGACAGGGCCGAGACTCTCACAACAGCCAGGGATGACGATGGCTGTGATTGGAAGGGGGGGGGGGGTTCAAACAAGGCCGTGCTCTGCGATGTGGACACAAACACCAACATACACACACATACTGTAATACTACTACTCTGGAGTTACTGTGGATAAGGGGGTAAAAGGCAGGTTTAGGTAGTAGTACTGTGTGGCCCTTATATGCACGAGCCTTGTCATGACGGGAAGGAATGGGGCTCTCATGACTTAAGACACCCAAAACGGACCCGCTGGGTCCCGATAAGGTAGGTGAATGGAGTCGAAATCGAAATAGAAAGGAATAGAGGGAGAGGGGGTGTCTGGAGGTCGTCAAAATCTAAATAAAGGGCGTTGCAGTGTCTGTGTGGATGGTGTCACTTTGAGTGCAGGGTGGGAGCCGGGGAGGAGGACACCAGAGCTACCTTAGACCGAGGTCGAGGCACTCGGGATAGGACTTACAAGGAGAGGATGAACCAAGTTCAGCTCATATTCAGCCCGCTGACGAATGGGCTGTGTCCGGATGAAGGGTATAAACGTCAGAAATAAAGTGTTCTGGGGGGTGAAAGCATCTTGCAAAAAGAAATCTTGGTCGGCCTGAACGTCCTATCCACACATAACACAACACACAGACTATCTCTAAGTAGTGGGTCAGGTAAGGCCTCGTCAGCTTTGCGCGCTGCTGCCGACCAATAGGAACCTCAGGGCCATAAGCCAGGCTGAGTACGACCGAGTTGGCGGCCTCCAGCCCAATCAGGGAGGGGAAGGGGGGGGGAGGGTGGCATGGTCGCCGATGGCAAGGCAAGGCAGGGGAAGGGGGAAGAGGGAAGAGCCAGCGATTCTCCAGACGTGGCCGTTGTAGGGCAGAGTCGTGTCAGGGCCTGATCTCCATAAGAGCCCGATTATAGACCGCAACAAGCCCGTCATTAGCTAGATCAACCAGGTCAATTTCCCCAAAAAGAGATGAGCTCTTCATGCGTCCAGCGATCGCCCGCCCGCTAAACCATCCTCAGGATGTCATCAAGACTGCACGCTGGTCCCTGTTGGCGGGCGCCCCGGGGGCAAGGTCGATGGGCGGACAGAGTGCCGGGCCCGCAGAAAAGAATAAGTCATCGAAGCTGCCATGGAAGCATCGCTTGTTTCCCCCCCAGCAGCCCCAACGGCCCCCAGCAGCCCCCCCCCCCCTCTCCGTTGGGTTAGGTGAGTGATCGAAACATTTCGCGGTATAGTTGCCCAGATTGGCTCTAGCACCATGCCTCAACGGGCTGCAAACTTCGCCCGGCTGCTTCACAAAGGGACGAGGCGGGCGTCTGTGGGTGAGACTGGAAGCGGCCAAGGACCGGGGAGACGCGCGCTCGGCGCTCGGATGCTGAAGACGTCAAGGTCCCATCTTGTCTGCTGCAGGCTACCGCAACTCGGTACCATACAACGTGCATCCGCAAGGTATTCCCGCAAG